ACCGAAGGATTCTAGCTAGTTGATATCCTATTAATCTGCCATTTATAATGAGTTTATGTTTGTAATAAAAGGGTAGCGAAATCGATACAATTTAAAACCTTCTTTACTTAAGAGTAAGTTAAAGTGCAAGAGTTTAATCTAGCATCCCTTGCATAATAGTTCGACGTGATCAGTGCCCTTTAAATATATTTATGCAAGAAAAAATATATAATAATACTACTTCAATACAATGTTTGCGTTGCTGTTACAACAGGAGCGTAAAATTTGAGGCTTTTTTATGACTAAAATTCACGGAAAAACAGAATAAAAAATAATGAAGTCAACTTGATAAAGGTATGTTTTATTATCAAACTGACAGGTGAAAAGTAAACTCAAGTATTTCTACTGGCTAGGTAGATGACCCTTCTTATATACTATAACAAGGGATAAAAGTTCTATTAATTAGATTGACAAATAAGTCAACTAAGATCAACTAATATCTAATCATGCTAAAAGACAACTCCAGCAAGCTTATTATGATTTAGCTTTTGCCTGGATGAATAATTAAACTCTCATCCGAAGTACCCTGATCTATCCTTTCTATAAGGATAATTAATATCGATCTAGTAGCATGTATCCGATAGGTACAGTCTACTTAGTCTATATCAATAGTACATATCTGAGTGTATATCGCTAAGCATACATCTTTAGCATGTATCTGGATATATGGCATGTCTATAGCATATCGTATGCATGTCTGTAGCATGTCTCATATATAGTACAAGTCTGTATTACATAAAGTATCCGTAGCTAGTATCACGGATATAAGCATGTGTCTTATAGCGTGGATCATGAAGTGCACATCTGAAGCAACAAGCTGATATCGCATTAATCTTGGTGCCTATCCAGATATGATAAACATTCGTAGTCAATGTCGGAATACAAGTATAAGTCTATAGCGCCATCCATCTTTGTGGTGTTATCTATAGCCTATATCTTATATAGTATGAATTTTATTGTTGTGCCAGAAGGGCTACAACTGTCTATAAAGATTAAGGTATTCTTGATGGGTAGATATGTCTGTGTTGTGCAACAACATGGACAAGCTATGATAAGTGAAGTGCATCTCAGCTATCTAAATACTGAGGTTCACCAGATGTGATAAGCGTTGTACAAGATAAATTGCTACTTTGGCATTCAGAACTTAGTATAAATAGAATAACTCTTGTCTTCATCAATAAATCATTAGTTTTTGTGTCTGATCTTATTCAAATAAGTCTTTTCTTGTTTTTATAATATCGAACATTTTTTATAAGCTACAAATAATAATCCTTTTATTCTTTGTGCTTAACATTTATAATAGTACTAGCGTATCTGAAGTCCATATCTTCTTATAGTATAAATCGATATCGTACATCTAATCCTGTGTACATACAGTTTATATCTAAATCTGGTAACTGGATGAACTGTCGGAATGCAGATCATAGTGGATGTATTCCACAGTGTCTTCCCAAAGTGCTCAAGAGTGTCGACCAATGATGTCTTCAAAATATCGACATACAAGTCCGAGTTTACTGAGCCTTCAATAATGGCAGTACCATAAACAGGCTCCTCCGCTGTTATACAACTACAGAACATGACCCCACCGTCATTTCCCTGCATTTGAGGCTTGACTTGATGAGGCTGCATGGTTCGGTCACCATTCGTCCAGTAAAAAGAATTACCATCTGAGCCCCAAAGGTTTATTCTTGTTTTATCCGAGAACACCCAACGGCGCCAATCAGCAATAGTAAGATGCCTATGCTTTTTAGCCCACGCCAATTGAAGCCGCTTGTTTGTCTTGCTAACAAAATTGGTCTTTACTTTTCTACGAGATTTAAGTCCATTTCGTCTCAATGACTTGCGGATGCCATTAATTGACATATCATGGCCCATCGATCTTAAAATTTCTTGTGCTGCTCGGGGATTATCTAAAGCACCTGATCGAAGTTCTCTTGCCACTAGGTACATAGTTTTAGCACCAACTTTTTTTGGTCTTCCGCCAAGAGGTCTAGCTGGGTCAGGGCAATATAGTTTTCTGAGCCTTGTAAGGGTAGAATTACCCACTTCTGGATACAAATTTTTTATCTTTGAGAGCGAAAGACCACGTTAGAGCAAAGATTGGAGAATGTTGCGCAAATCTTGTGTTAAACGAGCAGGCAAAATGAAAGTTTTGAAAAAAAATAAGAAAGCAAAGAAATAAAGAAAATACATGAAGAAACTAGCTTCTTTTACACTTTTAGAGTGCTCCTGGGATATTAAATATCCTGAGCATACCGCGGGTAGTTTTTTAGATTTCTTCAATACGCCTGTTGGAAGTAGAGATATCAACCATTTTATATCATCTAGAATTACCCACCTAACATTTTTGCCACGTCTCACTTTAGCTGGTTAGACTGGGATTAAAATATAGTCCAGCCATAAGGTTTTTATGTTGCTGTAATCCCTATAGGCTGTTCTATCGAACGCAGTATGGGGTGGCTTTGTTTTCCGAGTTTTGGCAATATACTGGGTAAAAGTCAAGATTATTTAAACGAACGGGACAGTTTTTCCCCCCTACAGTAGCTTGTGGGGTTAGTGGTGACAGAGAGCAATAAGTGCTGCTATTGTGATATCTGGCAAATATTGCTGATGTTTGATTTAAAGTGGTAATCAATGCAAGAGCACCGGCAATAAGGGTCAATTTGAGTAACCTTGTTGGAATTGGATGTGCTACTACTGTCGTAGCATAATTTAATAATGTAACCTTGACAGTTTAAGATGTGAGGTTTGTTATTGAAGAGTAAAAGCCTTCATCTGGAGTATTGTGCAACTATGGCATCAGGGCATAGTTGTCGTATTTGAATATGATGCTTGTTATTGATTTTATTATACTTGGATAAAGATAACATCACTTATTACGATTACCATGGGTGTGATGGAATACAATGTGATCAGGAGTGATTCATTCACACGATGTGCGAAATACGTAAGCATCTTTACGTTTGTATGTTTAAATGGTTGTTGATGCACATTTGAGCGCTTTAATGGTAAATTCGAATAGCATGAATTTGAATGAGTGATAGTTGATGAATTCCAGTTTTCAATCAAGTTGCGTTTAAGTGGCAATTTCATTACATCCTGTACTATGCAACGTATAATACATTTGCCTCTCAAATATGATCTATATCCTAAACAAAAATAGCCCTTTTTGTACCCTCTGATTCTTAAATACCCACTCAAATTCATACATGTGTGGCATACACATGCGATGGCTGAACGGAGGTTGAATTTCAATCGTTCTAAATGATGATTCATGAGTTTCCTAAATCTATCGACTTTAAAATTACTTGATTCTTGATAGTAAACATTCATTCAAACTTATATGAAACTTGTAGAGAATTTAAAGGAGAATACAATGGTATTTATATCAAGTCTCTGGTGTACATTGTTCACCTGATATTTAGTACGATTGTTTTTGCGATTTTTTGACTGTTTTCTAAAGATTAATCAGTATCTGTCATCAAAACATTTTGTTAAGCATTACTAAGCATTGTAAACTAAAACATTTCCTATCGAATGAGCTTTTGATTGAAGCACTGGCATAACTCTATCATGAAATATTGACAATATTGTCCTGAACAAAAAAAAGGCCACCCAATTTTTTCGCTTGTTATCTATCACAGGCAGATTTTGAACAGAAATCCATGATTTTGCATGATACTCTTTTTTGACCATATCTTGACAAATACTCACTGGATTCGCACAAAGCAAAGACCATTCGATAGCTCTGCGTTATATCCATTATGTGTTAAGTTTTCAGGTACCAGATATACGTTCCCTTTATTATGAATTTGCTCAAAACCGCATATTTTATTGACGACAGTGTTTACCATTGGTTGATTGTGTAAAGCCTACTTGATACGCCTTTTGAGCAGTCTATGGCTTTGCTAGTCCATACTGACTCCTACATGCTGACCACGACATGATATTCACTGAAGCACAATCCAAAATTGATCTCAGAATCCTTGGCAGTGCACGTTGAAGGCCCCATCGTGGCTACGGCAATGTAACCAGTTGCTCAAGTATCATCGTCTGTACCCCCTATAGGACGCTCATAGACTTCTCTAATCAGGCCACTCATGATGATCTTGCTCTCCCTCCATTTAGACGCACTGATGATTCAAAAAAGTACAGCTATTAAACACCTTTTTGCTTCTACTGAGAAGTTGTCCTCACACTTTTTATTTTAGGCTCATCTTGTCTCCCGCATTTCTTGCCCACCAAACCCATGGCGAAGGAGGAATCCCCAAATAAAGTGGCGACCTATTAAAGTCCTTAAAGTCGATAATTAACACGATTATTCTGCTTGTATTCCCAAGAAAAACAGAGCTGCTCTTGAGAGATTGGCTTTGAACCACACGATATAGCACCCCCAAATGTTTAGGTACTCAGTCGTTTGTGCTGACGACACTTGAACGATTTCATCAATGCGCTATCAAGCATGGCTGATAGCAGCATGACATTGATCTTGTCAATGATTCTTGTGCGCTTTTAGATAGAATCATTGTTCAACTGAGTGCGTCTAATCATATCTCAGCCAACAGAGGATATTTTCGCCTGAAAAAATAATGTAAGTTCGATTTGTTTATTTACGTTTCTCTGCCATGTACCCAAATTTTGGATACAACAGAATTGAAAACTTTATTGAAATGTGCTCCAGCACGCAAAAATAGGTTGATCCAGCTTGCTACCCAGATTAATTATTTCGTACTCAAATGCCAAACATTTGCAGATGGATGACACTGTATAGTTGGCTGCCAATTGACCTATCAACATGATACATGCCCATTTTTGCACACAAAGAGATCCTATGTATATATAATTGTACCTGTGTCGTATGACATTTTTTATTATTTTTTCAGAGTAGAGGGTGAGATTTGAAGATAAATTTACAAGGGGAGGGGGGGGAGGAGTGAGGGTAACATGTTTATATAGTAACATTATTTTCTTTCAAATTGCATTGAGCAGTTATGACCAGCAAAGGCTGGTTTCTTGGTGATTTTGTATTGATCCATCCAGCTGGAAACAGTGGACACTACTTGCTCTTGCGTCTCTTTATCCACTCGCTTTTGTCCGCGTTTATACACAATGTCGATTTTGACCTTGTTTCCTTTATCCAAAAACTGTGCTGCCTTGTTTAATTTATGCTCCATGTCATGCTCACTCACGTTCCAGCCAAACACAATCTCCTTCAGCACAGATTCTGGCGATGTTTGCTTCTTCTTCTTGCTTAGTTTCTCCTTTTCAAACAGTGATTTCTTGTCAAAAAGACGGCACACAGGTGGTTTGACGGTGGGATCCACTTCAATCAGGAAATAACGAGAGCGATCAAATTCCAGCAGCACGTCCTTGACTCTGCAACGTTCCTTTACTTGACCTTGTTCATTGACAAATGTAATGAAACGAGAGCTGATTTCCTCATCACGACGAGATCTACCAGAAGGTGATTTTTGGACTTGTTGAGGTTGCTGTTGCTGTTGTTGCATTGGTTGCAATGGGCTCAATGGACGGAGAGATTGACGTTGACGTTGGATGCCATTGACTGTGGAGCGAATAGGGAGTGCTTGAGCGAGAGAACTATACTGGTTCACTTGAGAGACCAATCTCAAAGTAGGCTTCAATAAGTGACGAGTTGACAACATAATGTGATGGGTTAACCAAACAAAAAAGGAGGCCTCTTTTTATAAATGTCGAACTGTAGAAAAAAAAAAGCTTATTGAGATTTTCATTCCCCTGTCCAAATCTAAACTAAATAGCATGGTTTCTACCGTCACGTTCAATGCTGATTTGTGGAGCCATTTGGTGCTGGGAAAGCAGCACACACACACACACACACACAAACAAGGAGATTTTTCTTTATCAGATGAAATTAGGATATAAGTTTATATACAAGTAGTAAGAATAATTTAAATGTTTCTAAATAATCGAAGCAATATCGTCCAAGGTGTTCAAGATGCTTGATTTCTTGACAGTTTCGCCAGAGATAGACTCTAAATTTTCACCTCCGTATGAAAGCAATGGTGAGATCTCGACTTGGATTTCCTTGTTCAAATAACGGCCACCTGCCTTGTTAATGAATCGCTCGGCTTGACTCAAAATATCAGCTCTGGATGTCTCGGGACAATCCACACCAGCACCCGGCCCATTCTTCAAGGGAGAAAATTCATCCATGCGATCTACCTGAAGCACACTGAATGCTTTGCTGTGTCCAAATACATCGAATACAAAGCGCTCCAATTTGACTCCATTAGGCTTACTGGGCTTGATAATCTCACCAGTGGCAGTATCGACATGAGCAATTTTCTTGTTGGCGACATGGTACTCTAGTTCATCCGCAAACGTAGGCACTCGCTCCAAAAATTCAGTCGAGAAGAAATGATTGGCAATGTTGGCTGCGCCAAATGCCAATTGTCCGTTCTCCAAGCGCTTTTGTGCAAGCTCTTGACTTATTTCAGAGTACTCAGCTACACCATATTTACCGTTACGACGAGCTACGACACCAACAGGCTCTTCAGGCATGCTCTTGGGCACCACCTTGATGCCACAATCTGTGTTACGAGAAGCACAATAACCGATGAAGACGGGATCGGCAACACGGGCTAAACTGTTATCGACACAGTAACAATGAGAGTAACGAATGCCTCGCTGCTTGAGCGATTCAATGACACCCTCTCTGTGAAGCGCACTATAGATACCACCATTGCCATCAGGAGCCACAGCCAGCTATGAAGGCACGCCAGGTCAGCAATCCCATTCTAAAGCACCCTCTATACCCACTTTACCTTTCCCTTGCTCTCGAGCATGAATTTACCATCCAGAGTAAAACAAGGCATGACACCTTGCTCGAAAAAGATGACATTTTCAGGCTTTAAACCAAAGTAATTGTGCTTTTTAAAATAATCGCGAGTAGGTTTATCAGTGGGGCCCGAAGTCATGATATACCACGGAATAACAGCGTCTTGGCCATCCTTGGCGGCCAACGTTTGCAGACGACAGATACGTTCCGCTTGCAATTGGAACAGGGACTTGTGAGATGGCAGCCCAATGTCATAGCAGCCCTTGGGTTCAGCAGATCCCAAGCGAGTGCCTTGACCACCTGCCATCAAGATGACAGCCACCTGATTTTGTTGGATCAAGCGCATTCCCAGTTTACACCACTCTTCACGGTTGGAAGCAACATCCCCAATCACCTCTGTAGGAAGAGGCTCCAACTGACATGCCAGGTTCTCAGGCCCCTTCATCGCTTTCTTACCGGTCTTGGTCACCTTCTCGATGTCTACCTTGCTCAATTGACGCAAAAACGCTTCTTGTTCACTGGCAGACAGTTGCTCAAAGAAAGTAAATACATGGCCCTGACCAGCTTGGTGGTACTTTTCTCTGAGTCCTTGATAATCCATGGTCATTTTATTGCTAGTGTTTATTGATTGATGCAAAGAAAGAGAAAAGAGCACGAGCCAAGAATGATGGATGGCCCATTAAATAACAATCTTGGGCGTGTCGGCGGCCTAATGAGGTATTGTTGATTTCTTTTCGCGGCACCACACTTGTTGCCTATTTATATCTCATTAGGGTTTTCATTGTTTGTATTATAAGATTGACCGCAAATGACATGTAGAATTGCACCAGTATTAAAGTCTCAATCCTACCTTCTATGCCTGCTTATAGTATCATACTGTATGATTGTGCCTCTTTAGATTACTGCCTGAATTCATACAACACTCGCTGCTCATCATGGATCACGGACATGGATGAAACATCTAATTTTAAGATTTTATTTTTAGATATGTTAGTAAAAAGGACCCTCTTTTTTTATGGCTTGGACTAATTATACCAACCCACTCTCCATCGACCTGTCATTGGCAAATGATCATGATGCCCATGTAAGGAAGATTGTCTTAAATGCCCAATGCAATCTGTATGCTCGTTACTGCTGCAGTATCAATGTTTGAAAACACAATTAAAAGACTGACTTTGACATGACGAAATGCTTAGGTGATTACATTCGTGTTGAGCCCCGCTTTAAATTGCCTCTGCTGGTACCTTGGGTATAGCAAGAGTCATCTGTAATCTCGGGAGACGTTGTCATAGGCTTGGTTTCTGTTTGGCGCTAATATAGTACTGAACCGACTCAAACAGAGAGAGAGAGGCGCTATGAGATGTGCCATCGAGCCACCTGCCATGTATACACAGCAGATCTTACTTTATTGATCGCAGGAAATGCAAAATTACTTGGGCTGCATGGCATAAAATATTTACAAGGCTGTTGAGTCACATAACATGATATATTAGATCAAGTGTAAGCGTTTGTCCATGGATTATATAGCTTGACAATGCTGTGGGTGAGTTTCTGTTGGCGGCAATGTCGATCCCAATTCTTTTCAATGCTACGTGCTCAAGGTGGGCCATCCATTATCCCCACGCGGCCCAAGAACACATGACTCTGGATTTCGATGGCAACCACCACACGATCAGGTAGTGCAGATCCACGATGATTTATAAAAGGTGCATTATTGTGATTTTTCTACATTTCACTCTTTTTTCTTTTGAGATACACGTATACCGCGCCAGTTGATGAATAGCATACATCTGGTCATTGTCTTTTGCTTATTAGTTATAACAGAGAATGCAGTGCATGCTACTACGAATCAAGCTGCAGCAAATGATATAGGGTTCGTTGACTACACCAATAGCCTAGCCAGTCCATTCTCTGCTGCGTTCAAAGATAAAGAGGAATGTCCACCCTGCTTCAACTGTATGTTGCCTGGTTTCGAATGCCTTCAGTTTGCAAATTGTACAGACTATGACGGTAAATGCAAATGTCCTCCTGGATTTGGCGGTGATGATTGCAAACAACCATGTAGGTGATATAGAGGTGTCTGTCTTGATGTGCCATGTATGTGTACTCACTCATGCTTTAGTGTGTGGTGGTTTGGACGAGGGTAGAAATCGATATCCGCGAGAGAATGGCACTGTCTGCGATTGTCCTGATGGATGGGAGGGTATTAACTGCAATGGTATACGTACAGCAATCCCATCTCACGCTGGCATGATAAAGTAACCGTGATTGCATAGTGTGTACCAGCGATTCCGTGTGTGATGCCTTAGTGCCAACAGGACAGAATGGTACCTGTTATCGTGGAGGCTTGACTGTGTATGAAAACCATCAAATGTGCAACGTTACTAGTAAGTCTCATTGGCCTTGCATGATTATATATATATATATACTGACTTCCATCTAGACAGAAAGATCTTGGATCAACTCAAGGACCAGATACCTCAAGTAACATTTTCTTGCAATCGACATGATGCAACCTGTGATTTCCAATGTAAGTTGTGGAGCTACTACATGTTTGTTTATCACGAATATTTACATTATTGCACTTGTAGTCTGGGTGGATCAGATTGAATCATTCTACTGTCATTTGGATACTTGCGCTTTCAAGCAAAGTAAGTAACAAATATGATAGAGTACTATCAATAGACTAAGATCACATGTCACAGCATATGAATATGATAGAAATACGACGAAATACACCTGCGACAAGATTGACTGTCGATGTATCAAGGACGAGATGCTGTGCGGCAAAGACGGATCCATTGATTTGACCGACTTTTTGAACGATGAAATACAAGGACCTGCCAGCTTTAATTGTAATGGAAAAGAGTGTGTCTTCTCCGAGCCTGCCATGAACGATTTGATCTCTGCTGTCTTTGGCGATGACTCCATCTTTCTCAACTGCAACTCGGGCGAATGTTTGCATTATACCATGGTGCCTGGCTTTGAGCGTGGTGAACGTCCCATCAATTGGATCATGATTGGCAGTGGTCTAGGAGGCGTCGCCGTGTTTTTGATATTGGTGGGATCCGTGGTCACCTTTTTAGCCAAGAAATCGACTCGACATGACGAGATACGTTTAGCAGATGATGAAACTGGTAAACTCATGTCTGAACACACGCCTGTCGATCTTGTATTTGATCGCATTGGCTATACGCTGCCCAATGTCATCAATCCCATTCTAGTCAATACCACAGGCAGAGTGAGATCGGGAGAGATACTTGCTATATTGGGTCCATCAGGTGCTGGCAAAACAACGCTACTTGACATTCTTGCCAACCGTACAAAGACAGGTCAAGTGACAGGCAGTTTGTATGCCAATGGTAAACAAGTGCCACGTGAAGAATATGCGCAACTCATTGGTTATGTCGATCAAGAAGACACCATGATTCCTACACTGACAGTGTACGAGACCATCTTGTATTCTGCCCTACTGAGACTACCTCGCTCAATGAGTACAGCTGCCAAGAAATTCAGAGTGATGGAGGTCATGCAGGAGCTCAACATTGACGGTATCAAGGACAGCAAAATTGGTCAGCCTGGCAGTCGATCTATCAGTGGTGGTGAAAGAAGAAGAGTCTCTATTGCTTGCGAACTGGTCACATCGCCCTCCATTTTATTCTTGGATGAACCCACCAGTGGTCTAGATGCTTACAATGCATTTAATGTGGTGGAAAGTCTCGTCTCCCTGGCAAGAAACTACAAGCGCACCATTGTATTCACTATTCATCAACCACGTTCCAACATTGTGACACTATTCGACCATCTTGTCTTGCTGGCAAAAGGCCATACCATCTACGCTGGACCACAGACACAGACACAGGCATATTTCAGTCAGATGGGATACACTTGCCCACCTGGCTTCAATATAGGCGATTATGCCATTGATCTGACCATGGGAGCTATCAAACGTGATAATGATCGTAGCAGGCAAGTCGATGTTGTTGTCGTCCAAGATACACCAGAGAACAACAACGCAACAGACGGATTGACACCACATTTGAGGCAGTTGGCACAAGCGTACAATGACAGCAACATGGCCGCCGAGTTGAGAGAAGACATTGATCATTCTATACAGGATACCAACAACAACAGTAGTGGCAGCAGTAGCGTCATCTTATCTGGAGACACAGCCATCATCAGCACACACAAAAAGCCCACCTTCATCACACAATTCCGCATCTTATCAGACCGCACCTTCAAGAACCTGTACAGAAACCCCATGCTGATGTTTGCTCATTACGGTATCACTGTTGTGCTTGCGCTGGTATGCGGTGGCCTGTTCTATCAAGTGTCCAACACCATTGCAGGCTTTCAGAACAGAATGGGCCTGTTCTTTTTCTATGAGGCCCTGCTTGGGTTCATGTGCTTGACATCTTTGCAAGTCTTTTCTACAGAACGCATCTTGTTTATCCGAGAAAGAGCAAATGGCTACTATTCACCAGGGACCTACTTTTTTGCTAAAATCTTTTTTGATATTATCCCTCTGCGTGTGGTGCCTCCATTGATGATGGGATTGATATCGTATTATATGGTGGGTTTAGTGGAAGGCGTAGATGAGTTTCTCAAGTTCCTGCTTGTTTTGGTCTTGTTCAATTTGACAGCAGCTGCACTTTGCTTGGCAATAGGCGTTGTTTTCAAGAATATCTCAATGGCTAATCTCTTGAGCGTCTTGGTTATGCTATTTTCCATGTTGTTTGCTGGCTTGCTGCTCAACAAGGGTATGTTCACTACACAGCCATGCACACACATATACGACCGATATTTACATTCAATTTATATACATTATAGATAGCATGTCTCCTGCGTTTGCGTGGCTCAAATACCTGTCCTTCTTCAACTACGGTCTAGAAGCGTTACTGGTGAATGAAATGCTCTACTTGCAGCTTGTGGAAGAGAGATTTGGACTCAACATTGATGTGCCTGGAGCCACTATTCTATCCACATTTGGTTTCAATGCCAAGAATTATTGGCCAGATGTCGTTCGCTTGGCTTCCATGTTTACGGCATTCATTACATTTGTATTCATTTGGTTGGTCTTTGTAGTCAAAGAGAAGCGATAATCTCTCTTGCTCTTTTTTTTTAATACGTTTCAGGTATAATAATGCATGAATAAATAAAATAGGATAGTTTGACAGATGATCTAATCTGTAATTCGAAGTTCTTGCTTGCGGTCTTTAGCGTAGACATCCTTGTACTTGTTATAAATAGAGAAGAGCTCGTCAATGTATAGTTTTTGAACAGCCAAGATTTGTTCCTGAGTGGGATCCGTTTCGCCCTCTTCTAACGCAGGAACGGGAATAGGTTTACCAACTGGATTTACAAATCATTGTGTATTAGCGATTATTCAGCTTAAAATGCTCGAGATAAAAGCGAGACTTACCAACTGTAGTAATCTGATGTCTGAATGGAATAATTCCCACATCATCTATATAGCATATTATATGTGTGAGTATATACACATAGATTCCCCGTTTCCACTTGTGATACTTACAGTTGAATATGCCTCGAGCATGGAACAATGGCATGGTGAATCCAAGCATTGCCTGCATCTTCTTTTGGTACATGAACACCTTGCTTCCCTTTGCATTATCCAGCTGGTCGTACACTTCATTCTCGCCAAACGAAAACACAGGCACGAGTGAAGCACCATGCTTGATAGCCAAACGAATGAATCCCAATCTTTTACGCAAAACTAAATCAGCTGTGCCCGGTCTCGCATTCAAAGATTCTGCAGCTCCTCCAACGACAATAGCAATGGATCTGCCGGGTCCTGATGATAGAATGTTTTCGCATGATCGACGAGATACAGAAGCGATACCGAGCGCCATAATGACATCTCTGTAGAATGGAATGCGAAAGTTTGAATTCAATGTCAATAGGGAAGGTGTGATGCCAGGGAACTTTTCAGAGAATCCTGTAGCTTCTGTGGCAAATGCTAGTTGTGCTCCGTAAGAAATGATACCATGGGGATGATATCCAAAGACATAGTTATGCTTGGGATCTAGATCGTGCTCCTTTATACAATTGTTGTATGTCAGCACCTAGCTTCTGCTTATCTACAACCATATCCACCGTGCCTACCTTGATCAATTGAGCGGGAAAATAGGCTGCAAAGTATCTCCATAAAGTCCAATGTCTAGCACGTTCAAACCGTCTTCCACCAGACTCGGGCGCTTTATCGACATAGAGGAATGAAATGTATGCAATCAGTATGGGCCAAAGGAATTTATATGTTGCCATGAAAAAGAAGAGTGAAACCAGTATGAACATCATGCTAACCCAGGTACAAACAGCCAGCATCTGTAATCGCCTTTCAATTGGAATTCCTGTGATAGGAGCCCAACGCACTTGACTTGTGGGCTTTGATGCTGTTTCCTTTGTTGTTTGTGATGGCTCTGATGCCACTAATGTTTCTGATGATGAATTCATCTTGTATATATATATACGCTAGAATGAACGGAAGGTTTGTATATGTGTGTTATAAAAGGAAGGATATAAAAACAAGAAAAAATAAAAGAGAAATAGTTTCAGCAAAAAGTTTTATATATATAACACTGTTTGAACATTTGTCACACCTAGTTAGCCCTTATATTCACATGCTTCAATCATTGTATTACACGAGCTGTTTACTCATAATCACAATGATAACAAGTGTATAATTAAATGGATTACACAGAAAAGAAATCTACAGAAACTGGCCCTGGCATCTGTAGCATGTTGAAAAATAGATATTTGCATTGAGGTTATGCACCTTTTTTGTCGATATCAACTCTTTTTACATTGAAATTAGCTCCTGACTCTCTCTTGTTTATTTGGTTGCTATGCCAGATACCATAGCAACCAGGAACAGAGAGCTTGGAATTTACCTTGACAGCCAACGAAAATCGAATCTTCGCATACATTTCATAGTGTAAGAGGTTGGGAATGCTGCATAGTGAAACCAAAATGTAATATTCGCTAGCGTGGCTATAACTGAACCTTCTTTCTTGTAGCCAAATCCCGGTTGTCATCCACAATTGCCAGGATACATTTGAAAATCTTGGCCACTGATGTGTTTTTACTACTTTTTGTCATGATTGCAATCAAGCTATACACATTCTATCCGAGAAGCTTGGTGATTTAAGATTATATCCACCATATCCATGAGAAATATGCATCCAGATATTTGATTATAATGCATGTTATAAAACGTGGTCAAATTAGCGTCAAGGCTACACAAAGCAACAAAAAAAATGATCTACATGAATTTCAATGATTTTAATAATGACAGAAAGTGAATTATGAAACATTCGCCTCGATCCAAGGGCCAATGCGTTCAATCATGTATGTTGTTGAGCTGTTCACGAATGTTGGTCATCTTAATTATTATATGGTTCTAGAATGAGAATTTGTTCCTTTGGGCCTCTAGAGGTGATACATCATGTCCCTGTTTATATTTAGAGGTAAAACCAAGAAAAGCTTATGATTTTCTTCTATTTCATCCACCACATCATTAAAGCAAGGGATTCTCATAGCGCTCTAAATGGTAATCTCGGGTGCAAATCCACATTGTGGAGGAGACAAATTTGTGTATTTTCATAATCAGGCCATGTCCATGAGTGTGAATCTATACCTGGATACGCCACCAACAACCTCGGTTGGGCTTTTATCCTTTGTTTCTTTTTTAATTGAAAATGTCATCATCATTATTATTATACCGTTTTAAATAGATAGAGTTTGATAAGACAGAAAATTAGAATCTGCACAGATGAATAGCAGCTGAATCCATCATATAGGGTCTAGATGACATTTGCATGTATACAAGGAGTTGTCTATGACGTTCCATTTGTGTGGCATTATAAGTATATTTCAAAGCTGGCAGAAGATTTGCAACAGCGCCTTCATCTTCAATGTACTGCAACATTTACTTAACTTTTGTAATAAGAAAGAAACACTTCGGCTAATCCAATGCCTTAAGGGTTCCTTTTGTAAACAGATGGGTGTATAAATAGAGAAATATTGCTTTTTATAGTGAATTGCTCTTTTTAGGGTTTTGGTGTATCACTTTTTTCTATAGTGCCCCCCTTTTTTTCTTATATAAAAGAAAGCATAACCCTCCATCGATGTTTATTTCCTCTTTTTCTTTTCTCTTTCTCTAATCGACCCTTATTCGACATGAAGCTTTGTGGTATTAGCACAGCTGTATATGCAGTTCTCTCGGTGGCACTTCAATTGAGTCAAGCAGCAACGACTGCCTCTGCCTGTGATCCCACTACATGTAAACTGCCAAACTGTCTCTGTCCTTCATTATCACCTCCAAATGGAATGAATGCTTCTGATGTTCCTCAATTTGTTACCATTACATTTGATGATTCCATTCAACCTGAATTGCTAGCTACTGCAAAAGATCTCTTGAATGTCAAGTAAGTAGACTCTCTCCTTGAATTATGCTGTCGTCTCCTCTTTGTCTCATCTCATACATTCTCTCTCCTTTTTTCTTGTTTATGAAGGAACCCTAATGGTTGTGCTGCAAAGGCAAGTATATATATTTTATGTTATACAACACCCTCTCACTCGCTGTGTTGTGTGACCCTAATATCAAAGAAAATGATTATGTCTAACGCATCTTATTCATCAAATAGGGCTCTTGGTATGTGTCCATGCTTTATACCAATTTTGCCTTGGTACAACAATGGTATGCTGAAGGCAACGAGGTCGCCGAGTAAGTCTAATAGATTGCATAATGTGGCTGCATATAACTCACTCAAATCTTCTTAAAGCCATACATTTACTCATGTTGGTAAGCATCGCAATGATATTCCTGTAGCATCACATTATACTCATGTTTGTTTGCTTTTTTTTTGTTTGCATCTGTAAATAGGCTCTCCATCTTCACAGTAAGTGGAATGCATGCTCGATGTTTGATAGATGTCATACATTAACACCGTATTGCTAATAGAGAAATCGCTGCTGCTCGCGCCATGTTGAATCAATACGGTGGTATCCCTCTTGGCAAAATCAAGGGTTTCAGAGCACCTTTCTGTATGTCATTTTCAGCTAAATGATGGGATGAGAGACTGAGTATATCCTTTTATAGTGAACTACACTCAAGACACTCTGCGAGAGATTGCTTCTCAAGGATTCCAATACGATACGTCTGCAACTGGCGTAGTCGATGATTGCTACTGGTAAGACTTTCACCGACTGACATGTCTCGTATGTAAACTTACATACACCGTTGTACAGGCCATACACTCTTGATTACGGTTTAGCTAATGATTGTTGGAACAATGTATGTGGCTCTGAACTCAAGTTGCCTGGTGTCTGGGAGATCCCCATGTATGCAGTTCAGGATAATGCAGGAACCGCTCAATTGATGGACGTGTACCTTGCTGGCTCTCCTTCTGATGTCACTGCTTGGTCCAACGCCAACTTTGATAGACATTACAATGGCAATCGTCAACCTTTTGGTATCTACGTTCATCCTAGTAAGTTGGCTATGACGTGGTGAATGAATACAGTAGCGCTCAACCCTACGAATCCATATAGCCCACTTGACAAACTACCCTGGCCTTGCTGATACGACTGCTCAAAAGAGTGCAGTGGTCAGTTTCATTCAATCACTTCAAGGAAAGCCTGATGTTTGGTTTGTCACCAATGACCAATTGTTGCAATGGGTAAGTGCTATACGGCCACTATCTAGATCATTTTATGCTCACTCTATATACACAGATGCAAAACCCTGTTCCTGCAAGTCAGTTAGCCAACCAGCCTTACATGCAATGTACTACTCCCAACATTGGCAAGGAAATTTGTAACGGTTTAGAGAACATTACTATTGCCAGTAACGTTGTCTCTGGTAGTTTGCTCAATTCGTGCAATTTTAACACTGCCAATTGGGCCACTTGTTTCAACTGTCCTTCTTCTGAGCCCACTTTGGAAAACCCTACACCCAATGCTGCTGTTGCTTCTACTGATCCCAAGTTCCGTCATCCTGTTCCCAATAATTGCGATAGTCTTTGGTGGGATCCTATTGCCGGTCAATGTTTATGCTCAAACACAACTTGTGCCTACAATGATACATCTGTTCCTGTTGCCACAAATACCACTGTGAACAAGGTCGTATCATCTACTGGAAACAATTCTCAACAAACCAATGCCGACAAGAATGGTGCTGCTCAACTCACTGCTACTGTGATGGGTCTTGCTTTGAGTGCTGGTGTTGCTGCAATTATGGCATTGTAAGCACATTATCCATATGAATTGGAGATTATGCCTCTCCCTTCATCTCTTTTACATTCACTTGCTCTCACACAATTGAGTGGATCATCTAATTCATCCATCCCATCATTCTTAGCCTTCATATGTTATTGTAAAAGTAATTTCATTTAAAATTGTCTTTCTTTTTCTCACTTTTTATGTTCACACTGTGCTTCTACTCTTAACAAGTGTATGATTTTAAGATTATCCAAAGGGGTCAGACTGACTTGATCAAATGTTTGAAGCCAACTTGTCTAGTTTTTTGACTAAATAATATTGGCTAAGATGGCATGCTTTAGTATCCAAAATAATAGTTATCCACCGTATCTTTCAATTGTACATACTGGGGTGGCGTCGTCGATTTGGACGCTTGCGCAAAACATAATTGGATGGTAGATGTTGATATCAATTCTTCCTTTTACTTGGGTGTTGGTGCCTGATAATGATTGACAAACTGCTTTTCTCACCATTAGTTTCGTAATTGCTTTTTGTTTGCTCTGGACAAGGCTGAACAAGTTCCTTCATGTATTTTTCAAAATATGAGTGTTAAAAGGATTGGCTGTGGAAAGTTTTCTGCGACAATCTGGGGAATTGAATTTGCCGTCAACTTTTTCCGAAAAGAATTGATGAAAACATTATGCTTTTACATTTAAAAACGCCCTGTTCTTAGACGTGTTGACTTGGGTGATAGAATAGATTCAATCGTTTATCCTGAAAATGCCATAACTAGGATTATAACTGAATCTTGTTGCATGTCAAAGTTTATGATCTGATGTGATCAGTGCTTGAATTAATTGTTTCTACGCATTTAGGGATCCAGTTTAGAAATGATACATCAAATCTGTCTTTGCTGAAAACTTTTTCGTTCACATATTCTTTCTCTCCAAGATTCACAAATCTCTCTCCAAACTGGATCATGACGTGATGGATAGCCTACTTCTTGGTGAATAAAAGGCAGCCATGAGACATGTTGGTTACTGAAAATGCTTGAATCGATATTGATAGGTATGAGGAGGTAGTAATCATGGCCAAGCTGATGGACGAGACTTGCTGACAGTTCGCAATTCGGATTCACCTTCTCAGCCTACTAACAAATAAATATGCGCATCCAACAAACAAAAGTTCATTGCTAGCCGAAATCAACACGTATTCTTAGTTTAATCCACACCACCTTGAACATCCCATCCCTCTAATTTGATATTTACATCTTCAGAAAACAATACATATGAGTACTAATCTAAATTTATTTAACCCTTTTAAATAACTGAAAAGTAATGTATATAGCTCGTAATAAAACAACTAGAAATAAATCATCATCCATGCTTTTCTTTATTTTTGCCTTGTTGATATTGATTGACTTTTGATTTCATATCTGTGTTGCTGGAATTGTAAGTGTGGCAATGATGATTATACAGAGAATTAAACGAATGGTGCTTATTAATATGACTTAAATTCATTTTAAGACATATAGCCTGTTATATATATATACCCATATAATTCTTGAAGAAAGAACTACAATTGATCAAAAAACCGGTCAAACTATTGAAAATTCTATTCTAGTGGTAGCCGTTTCATTTACGAAGGATCCTTGTCCGCTTTATCGTAGAGCCCTGAACACAATTTATCCGTCTTACTATTCCCTTAGCCAATGTCGTTTACAGTAACAGGACGTTAAACAATGATTTAGTTACAATAAAATAACAATTTCCCTTAAAGAAAAGGAGGATGGTATCTAGTGTTGTACTGCTACTGAGTTTCCAACAACATGTATGAATGGACTTTCCGTTTGGTTATAAGACTAAATATGATATTCGCGTTGTGGGCAGTTATTAAAAGTGTGCTGCTGACCTGATAAAACTCCTGTTAACCCGAATATGTTGTAAACTTCAGGCTTCCATAATATCATTGATGTTAAAGTCGTAAAATTACTATAAACGCGCATTTCAAAAAGAAAGATCTGTACCTCAGAATTAGGATAATAAAGCATCTATCACATAAAAATTAAGTTCCGTACAATGCAGAATTTCAGAGACATCAAACAGAAGTGTAATTTACTTACTTCTCTGGCAATACAACCCACTACGCTGTCGTTTTAGGTCGAATTCTGTTCAAATCTAGTCATTTTTAAGCACGAATAACACATGCCACAAAGCGTTTTGGGCGCTTGGAATAGCACCACACGCCTCCTCTTGGTTACGCTTTACTTACTGAGGCTTTACCTCAAAAAATTTTGAGTCATTGCAAATCCATGAAAATCCTCATATTTTTCATGTGTACTAGTAAGGGAAAATTCTTGAAAATCAAATGATCGCGTTTTTCACCTAAAAAATGAAGACTTTTTCTATGATACATATTAGATCAAATTGATCGTAAAAATGAAATGCAACACTGGAGATTCTTTTTTTGAGGCTTTCATATGCTAGATTCTGACATAATCACAGAAAACCTGTTTTCCTATTTTTGGAAATTGCTCACTATTTTTGGTCTGAGAGCTGAAAGTAATCAGCGCCGCTTGATGCGGCTTCTTTAGTTCTCTAGAGGTGTATTAGAAAGTTGGGTGTGACAACGACAGTTTTCATAGTCAAATTTAGCAAAAAGGTTTAAAGGATGTGAGATCAAGTCAAATTTGAGCACGAAAATAACCACTGCACAATTTCAAATTAAATTGCCGCAGCTACAGCTGCTACGGCAGAAGACTGAGGCCAAATCTACTGGTCGTGACGTCGGATAGAGCGCCCTCTCATTTTCCCATACGCTCGTTTTTTTTCCCTTTTTGCAAAACGCGTTTAGTATCAAACCATGGTGGTTTTGGAAACCGTTTCATTGATAATACCACTCTAGCTTCTGATAACGCTGTATTGTACTTTGAGAAAGACTTGGCGCTGCTTTTTTAACGTAGAATATATTAGGTACTATTCGATAACGAGCATTGAAAGGCATAGAATTAACACTAATTGAATTTGTTTATTAGGTTTTGATAGTTTTTTTGCTTGTTTGACGTGGGTACTGCTGCCATTACTTCTTTGGTATCTCTGCTGTCTGCGGCTTTGGTTTATCATGTCTGGCGACTGCTTCTTTGGTCTTTGTCTGGTCTACTCTCTTTGGTGCATGCTCATTCTCTGGTTTATATCTGGTGATTGAGTATACCCTTATGGCCTACCTGTGGTGGTGATAAGAGGTAAGTAGCTTCTTTTGTCTTTGTCTGCTCTCTGCTGATGGCGTTTATTCTTTAGTTTTTCTATGATGCTGCTGCTGCTTTTGCTGCTAATATGGTCTTTTCTGGTCTACTGTATTTGGTGCATGATTGTTGTCCTCTGGTTTAACTCTGGTGATTGCTTCTTTGGTCTGTCTCTGGTCTCTGGTGTCGTTTGTTCTTCGGTTTTTCTATGGCGCTGCTGCTGCTGCTGCTGCTAATATGGTCTTTTCTGGTCTACTGTTAGTTGGTGCATGATTGTCCTCTGGTCTGTCTCCGATGATTGCCTATACTCTTCTGGTCTATCTTCTGTGGCTGTGGTACGTGGTAAGTATCTTTTTTCTTCTGGTCGCAATGATATGAAACTTCTTTGAACGCTTATATCTTTTCTTCCTTTCTCGTGATAATGCATTCATGATGTTTGCCTTGTTGCGACTTTTTCTTCTTTTTTTCTTTTGTTGGTAGTGTTTCCTCTGTAGCTTTACATGAAACAATATTAGTCATTATGTTGTATCACGAACTTATAATGTCACTGTTGCTTTTGCAGCTGTGCGTATTTGTGTCATCATGTTGCTTTACATTCGACTATTACTACCATGCGCGTTGCTCATGGTTGCATTTTTATTGCAACAACAACGAGCTTTTTTGAACATCTTTGATGTTGTATTTGTTATGCTCTTCTTTGACTCGCTTCGTGTAAGTGTCTCTTTTTTTTTATCTACATACTACTATACTCTTGTAGTGTTATGTTCATTTGTTCCTTTGATTATGTTTCTTTGAAGCATACCTTTTTTTTTTCGTTGTGTGGATGTGCCTATCCCTGAAGCTCAACAAGACTTTATCCGAGGCTAGGAGGTGGATAGGCTGCCTCCACTTGATTATCACTACTTACTTTAGTGATGATTGAGGGCCTTAATGCCAGAATCTAAAGCTAGGTGGTGTAAGTAAGGCATACTCTAGCACCTGGGGGAAGTTTGATGATAGTAACGGCTATATTGCTATATATAGCGGCGCTTAAAATTTTGCCTCACACCAAAACAGGGGGAAACCCTCGCAAAATTTTTTTTAGGTTAGCGGAGTTTTCAAGCGATTTGATTGGCTCAGAGGTTCAGGGACCGAAGGATTCTAGCTAGTTGATATCCTATTAATCTGCCATTTGTAATGAGTTTATGTTTGTAATAAAAGGGTAGCGAAATCGATACAATTTAAAACCTTCTTTATTTAAGAGTAAATTAAGGTGCTAGTACTTGATACAGTTTCCGTTAAACAGTTTCATGCAAGGGACGCCCTTTAAATTCACTATTATGTGGGAAAGTTAACATAGATATATATTATCTCAATACAAACAGCGTAGCGAGTTTCCCGGTTGATTCTTGCATGTAATCAATACAGTTAAAATAGGTCTAAGTGATTCACAAGAAAATAAAGGAACAACAAAATACAATAGAAATCAACCATATTATTTTATTTATGTATAATAAAATGAATTGAATTGATTTATCAGAAATAAATTATTTATAAAAAGAGTATATATGAAATTATTAATCAGGTAAAGAAAATCGTTTATTACATTGGATATAAGAGGGTTTATATACTATTCGAATTGAGGGATTTGATGTGAGGGTAAGGTATTAGATGGGTTGATTTGGGTGATAGGATAATAGATCCAATCTATTATCCTGAACATGCCATGATATGGATCGTAACTGAATCCTGTTTCATGTCAAAGTTTATGATCTGATGTGATCGGTGCTTGAACTGATTGTTTCTACGCATTTGGAGATCCGGTTTAGAAATGATACATCATGAATGTCTTGGAACTGACTAAAAAAAGGAGTGTTTATGTACAACATTTGTAGCTAGCTTGTAGGGTTAGTAGTAATAGAAAGCAATAAATGCTGCTGCTGCTTTATCTGGCAAATGATGTTGATGTTTAATTTAGAGCAGTAATCAACACAAGAGCACTGCTGGCCATAAGGGTCGATTAGAGTAACCTTGGTGGGCTTGGATGAGATATCGTCGTAGCATGACTTAATGTAATATACTATATTACTAGAGCTGAATTAATGGATTAGATGCTTGGAAGCGTTTTATTTAGAACCGGTTAGTGATATCGTGTTTCGATGTAGTTTTGCACACGATCAAAGTGGTTGTATCAAATGTTCTAACAAGTTCTTGGGCTGTTCTAAGGTCGTTTGTGTAAATCATGCTAATCATATTTTACAAATCATTTGTTGGCTAGATAGTAAACGCATTTGTAGTATATTGTAAACCCTATCATAATTAAAAGTACGTAAGTGCATCCTCTGGATGCGTTCTCAACAAAAGTGTAATTCTTTGTATTTTGATATGACACGTTTTTGAATTCCATAAACTTTTTAAACTTGAAGTCCTCATATTTTATTTTGAATGATGCAAACTCTACTACTGGTTCTGTTGGCACTGATGCTCACCATTGCTCTGTATTCGAAGATGCAAAAAGTCTTGGTTCGAGTTGGTCTTTGTCGCTTTTACAAAGTGAACACAGCAATTGCATTGAGCAATAATGATGTTATGCATAATGGTATGGAAGCTCGCAACGAATACGCTCGCTTTAATCAAGCTTTGAGCGATGACGCTCTATCTACTTTTGATAATGAAATTAAATTCCAATTGCTCACCACTACCATTCATCATAGTGTCGATAATGAGATCCAGCCCTAGGGGACGGATCACGAAGCAAGCATGGCTCGAGGCAAAAGGATGTTATGCAGACGGCCTTTTGAGGCTACAAGATATTCCATCACTATGCCTGAAAATGGTGCCCTTGCTTCAAATACCGGAGCATTGAAGCGCTCGTTGATCATGGCCAACGAGAGCTACAATCTTTTGTTTGATGATATCGTTCAGGCAAGCCCATCTTTGTTTATAAATCCTAATGTGAGCGGAATAGTGTCTTCATACACGCCTCATATTCAATAAAAGGGACACACATTCAATTACAAGAAGTTCATCTTTCCTACGATGGATACTTGTTTCGAGCAGTCTCAAGATGTACTTAAAGAGCATCTATAATTTAGATTTCTGCCTGTCTCGTAATGGATTAGCGCCTAATCTAAGAAAGGTTTCCAATCTATACACTTGGGATCCTGTTATAATAAAGAGTTGTCGTGAGCTGATGTCTCGCCTTGAATTAATTAATTTTTTTCGACCCAATTTACCTTGCTTGTCAAGGTTGACAGCCCCACTGAATAAGCATTGGAATACACATGTTATAAACAAAGTATGGAAACCTGGATACACTGCATTGATGAAGCAGTTGCAAAAATTGTTAGACAGCTCAGCAGTGTTGATTATGCTGCCCAACATGCATTATCCTATTCGTGCTGCACCAAATATATCTGCATATGCAATCAGCGCTGCGATGTATCAGATAATCAACAATAAAATCAGGTATCATGGTTTTATTGCACGCAGCTTGGAGCCATTAGAGCAACAATGAGGAAGCTCCAAGCATGAATTAGCTGCTGTTGTGTACGCATCCAAAGAGTTCCATCGATAACTGTATGGGCGCTCATTCTATTTGTTTGTGGATAATCATGTTATTTTGTTCTTACATATAGAATCAACATTGGACACAATGGTGGAAGCCTACTATGATACTATAGTAGTATGAATATCTTGGCATTTCACATGTCTGTAATTTATATCATGTCTATAGCGCAGGTCTTCATTATATATTTATCCGTGGTGTATCTATACATCCAACATCAAATAAGGAGATAAATGAGCCTCTCTGACTAGAAAGAAAGATTTGTGAGGCAAGTGATAGAGAAATATGTCCCCAAGCCAAGTTTTGATCGAAATGCTGAATAACCTGGCTTCTAGTATTTGATCAAGTCAATCTTTTTTTTTTCTTTTTTTTTTTTTTGGACAATTTGACGTTATACGAAGGTTGTATATTTTTTCATAGAACTAGGTGATGTTCTGTATTCTGAGTAAAGACAGCCTTCTACAAATCAACTGTGGCAGCCAGAATGTAGACACAAGTGGGACTGAGGACCCAATTTGTCCCTGCGCTTGTCTCTGTCTTTTTTTAAACTTCGTCTCAGAAAAAAAAAAAAAAAAGGGTTCTTCATCTCCAAATTTTCCATGTCGAGTGTCGTAGAACGAGTGCATCAATGCCTTCTCGAGAGTAAATTGAATAAGGATCCGCATGTCTCGGTCAAAGGAGCATTGACAATAGTCGACATACTCGTTGCTGCCAAATGTTGTTTTCGATGCTGCCTTCGTTTTCTAGGATGTACAAATTTTCGTATTTATGCCTTTGAAGAAACGGTAAGCAACAAGCATTGTATGTCGAGTATTGAGGATAGTAACTCATATTTGTTATTAATAGGAACTGCGTGATGCATTCAATCAGCTGTTGTATCAAGACCGTCAACTCAGTTACAGTGTGAATGGAAATGCAGTATGTTCAGCTTGTCTAGGTTCAATTCAGTTTGCCGATTCCTATGTAGACAGTGTATGCGAGCAACTCAAAAAGGAGGATTACAAAACAGACAGCTGCTGCTTGACATGCACGTTGCCTGTAAGTATCTTACTGCGTGATCATTTGCTCAAGGTACATGTCATGAATACACTGGTCGAGGTATACATGGGTCAAGAATACGCATCAGATCTTGTCAGACTTTACAAAGATGTCAACGTCAGAGATCCCAAGGATTTCTTCAAGTATCTGTTTGGCATGAAGCTGAAAGAGAAGACTGGACTTCACCTGGACGCTGACGGTGCTTTGCTCATGACAGTGATCATCAGCCATGAGCCTACAGCAAAAGATCATTTGTTTTTGGCGGAATTGAAAGAACCATTGCTGAAGATGAGAACAGTGCGTCAAAAGGTAAGAGCAGACAAGGCAGTCAGGTTTGACATGGTTGATACTGACAATGAATCAGAAAATTCGAGTAACTGTGGGCGATTCAAGACCTTGCATAATTGAAGCTTTGACGAAACTAGACAACGAAGAAGCCAAGAGGTTTGTTGAATAAAGCAGATCTCATAAGGGAAACCCTAATCAAACATGGCATGATAGCCTCACCGCAATTCCACCAGCCGAACCCACCGAAAGAGCAAAATTCGATTCAGTTACCTTATTGCATACTTCATCGTATGTAGGTGGACGCTACCTCAAATTCTCTAGAGAATACAGCCAAACACCATGGGCAATCAAAGGTCGCAAATTGGCAGAGCACTCGGTATCCGACTGTTTCGCTGAAATTATCCGCAAATACCATCGAGCCGATGATACAAAATTTGTAACAGCAGGACGCGAAGATGCCAATGTCCGTATGCTAGGAACGGGTAGACCTTTTTATTTGGAACTCATTAACCCCAGAACACCTCGCTTATCCGATGAAGAATATAGACAGATTGAGCAAGAAATCAACAATCAGCCTATTCACAAAGACAATGTGCAAGTGCGACATTTGGGATACATTAAACCCGAGTATACCAGCATCATCAAGGAGGGCGAGGAGACCAAAACTAAGAGATACCGAGCTCTTGTATGGCTGTCTGAGCCACTGACTGATCAAGTCATTGAACGCATCAACAAGGTGGGATCATCGCCATTCACCATTCAACAAAAGACGCCTGTGCGTGTATTCCAACGTAGATCAGCTGCAATTCGTCCAAAAGTCATCCACACATCCACCATTGCTAGACTACACCCAAATGTGGATTTGAATAGTCCTGAAGCACACTATGGTGTACTGAAGCTACATACGCAAGCAGGAACCTATATTAAAGAATATGTACACGGTGATCTCGGTAGAACATTGCCCAATTTGGCCTCTGTGGGTGGTATTCACTCTGCTGATTTATTGGAATTGGATGTGATGGATGTGGATTTGGTATGGCCTCCTCAATTTGGAGCTATTGCTGACGTTGAAGAGACATCTGATGTATCAAATGAAAATAATAAGCGTCCTTTATCAAATTAACAATAAACACTCTGTTTGATTTCTATCTATGCCTCTGATCGCTAAATGATGCATTGATCCACACCGGCCACTGGGTTGGACAAGCTATAACAAGCCACAACCCTGATTGAAGTGCCTGCCAAACGATAAACAAAAAGCTCTGAACTGCTGCTTATTTATTTTTGTCCATATGATAAAAAGCTCATTTAGCAAGTTAAAACCTTCCTTGTTTTTTCGCCAAGTAAGGCATGCCGAAGTTGTAAACACCCCAGCATCTATATTCTTTGGTGGCCATCATAATAATTGGGGTAACTACGAGGTTGAATGCATTATGGTCATGACCACGCACCAAACATTGCATTACAGACAGAATCAATCGCATTGCCAATGAAGCCAGTCGAGTCAAGATTGATTATGACAGTAAATATGCTTTCAAACTGAAGCTGGCTGCAGAAAAGTAATCATACAATGCTCAATCAGTGTTTAGTCGAGACTTATATGTGCAATTAGGCGTGGATTATCATCTGTAAACGAGCTCAAGAAGGATATCTTGGCAAGAAAAGTGGACTCGCAGCCACTATCACCACCGCAAAGGCCAACCACTAGACAGGCGCCTTCAACATCAACGCCAAAAGCAGTGAGTTCGGCTAAAAAGACAAATACGAAATACGAATCAAGTGCTCCTGTATGTGTCCTTTGCAACACACGTATCAATCTCACAACTCATGTTGAAATTAGACATTAGACAAAATCGTGAAATTGGATTTACTAGCAAAAGAAAGCAAAGAGTCCATTGCCAAAATCTGGACACGGCATTATGCTGACAAGGATGGCATCACAGCAGTGATCCCAGTTGATACCTACTCGACAATGTTTCAAGTCTCACAGAAATATCCATTGGTAAGTAACCATTTCTTACTGTGCTTGGACTACATCATTGATTGCATCTCTCTTGCACACCAGTTCATACTACCCATGCCTCGAGACACTGGTCTGGAATTCTTCTTTCTCCAATTCCAGGCACATCAGTGCAACATCACATCACTGCTCGAATACAAGACAAGAGGCGAAAAAGCGAGACCTTTCCTGACAATCACACACTATCCAGAACTGGCAGACACCAAAGGCATCGTCTTGATGCGAGGCGAGATAAACGAAAATCCCAAAAAGATGATTTCCGTTGCTAATGCTCAGTTCCTAGCTTTTGCTGTGCAACAGTTCTATTCCACAAACAATCCTACATCAGTGAAGTTGGTGGAAACGTTCAATACATCGCCCGAGGAATTCAATTATCAAGATTTGATCAAAGAGTTGGAGAACATTATTCCATTGCAGTAAACAGTCTTTCGTTCAGATGATGATCATTTGTTATATTGTGCTTTTTTTAATGGATTTTTTGATGATTATAATGTTGTTTGAAAAATATACAGTCTAAAGCGAACCAGTTACGGTTAAAATATCGTTGGCCTCAATAATGCTATTGGAATGATTAGCCACTTTTGTTACATAACACATCACTCGCAAATACACTTACTCCATGACATTGAATTCAAGTGTACCATCCTCTCCACCAATGCTTGCTCCAGTAGCTTTGTTGATCCATTCACCATACTGTGTTCTTGTTCGCTCTTCAACGACGGCTTCTGTGACATCTGCGTTCTCACTTTCATCAGCTTCTTGAACTGCCTCTTCGACTGCTTCTTCCTCATTGATCTTCCATTCGTAAGTAGATGTAGGGATACGAGATTTAGGGATGGAGGCGTTGAAGGTACCGTAGATCAAGAGACCGATATGATCCTCTGATTGCAAATTAATACGTCCAACTAGCTTTGTTCCTCTCTTGGGCTTCCAAACAAGAAATTTGACAGTGATGAAGAAATGACAGAATGGGGAATCGTAGAGAATCTTTCCTTTATCTGCGATGAATTGAACATCGCTGTGTGCAAGAATGATGCCATCTACTTCGGGAACATATCTACATGGTAAACATTTAGGCTTTTTCCAGAGGGATCTCACACAACACAAACATACTTCATTAAAAAAGCGTTCAGCTGCTCATTGACACCCTCCATTGTCTTCCCTGACCACATGGGAGCTAAATGCAGATATAATTTGACAACTACTTCTGAAAAGGAAGTAGCAACAGTTGGAGCAGGTGAGCCTACGGAGGATGCAGGCGAGCTAGGTGCAACAATCTTTGTAATCGACTTGTGCTTCTTTTTATGGCCCTTTTCGGAACTGTCCTTGTGTTTGCGCTTCTTTTCCTCGATGGCCATTGTTGTGAATGATGTTGGTTAAAAATGTTGTTGGATTGATCAAATGTAAAATTTGTCAGTTTGAAGAGTTCAGTGTGACTCTAAATCATGATCAACTGGTGGCTGAGATGTGAACTTTTCAATACACATCTTTGTTTATGCCGCTTTATAGCAGCTGTGGTGGATTATCATGTTCCAATAGAGATGATTCTACCGCTTCAATATGCGATAGTCTCTAGTATCTTTGTATATTAAGCTGTCAGTAATTATAATGGCTTTCACAATTGACATTTTGTTTCCTTGTCATTGAACTCAGATCAAGAGCATCAAGAGGCATTTAAAACGAGCATAACATTTAATCGTCTTCCGGACTGTGTGCATTGATCAGATAGATCTAGTCATGCTTGAATCAACAGGCACTTTAAATAAGGAGCTCTTCCAGAGCTTTTGAATAGAATATGGATACCAAATTTACACTGATTTTTCGAATGTAATCGGACTTTGGCTAGAAACTCATACCAGAGAGGAAACTAAAGGGTTTGTTGCTGTTTGATCTAAAGAACTTTGTTATGTTAAGTTTATATTTTGAGATGGCATGAGCTGCCTGTGATGATATCAAACAAGCTACTCTCATCTCATTGACAAAGATCTGTTCCTAAAGCAACCAAATACAATGTTGACCTAAATTTTTACAGTTTGATCGTGGTGATTGAGGATTGCATTCCATCGTAGGACATACTGACCAGACTGAGCGGCAGTACTTCCAAACTCGCAATATCCTTCTTATCAGCTTCGAAAATATTGATTATCTTTATGTAGTAGGAAGCATTTTGTCAGCCAAAATTGGTTAAATCTCCGGCTGTTTGTTTTCTCACAATCTTGGTCTATTTCCGACTTGTTTAATCTATCTTGTCCTATTTCACTATGTAAAGTGTCATGATCATCCTATACACCCTTAAGCTTCCTAAGAGTACTTTTCAAGGCGCATTAAATGGTACTAATTATAAGAAATTATTTGAACAAGCTTAATGAGCAATATGAGAAAATATGAAATGAGGTTTTTGGCTAGAATATTGAGATTTTACATGTAAAAATCTCGCAAACAGAGTTTCAAGTGTTGCTTTAGGTCGATACGTTCAATTTGATTTAATATATGTCATAGCAAAAGTCTTCATTTTGGACGTCAAAAACGCGATCGTTTGATTTTCGATGAAAATCATGAGGGGCATCTCATGGTTTTTGGGTGATCTTGGTCGATGATGTTTAGGTCCCAAAAAAGTTGAGCAGAGGTATCAGGAAGTGAGTGCTAGATGAAGGCGATGGTTTGGTACTACTCTGCTGACCTAAAACGGCTTCTAGCGAGAAAACACAGTTCAAATTCGTCTAAAGTATGGTGTACTTTGCATGCTTTCGGGTAGTAAGAAGCAATTCAAATATGTTATCTGCCCGCATCTGCGCTGTTCCCATTAATACTAACGTGGAGCATCGTAGAAGAAGCAGATCTAGAGTTACAGGTTAGTTTGGAGGTTTCAAAATGAGGGTAGACAGCTGAAAGGTTTATCAGAAGAGTCTTCTATCAGTTAGTTCGTTGTCAATTAGAAGTCGAAGTATAATTTCTTTCTCCCTCCTTTTTATTTCTCAAAATTCGTCATATTACAACAGGAAATGTCAGGAGGTATAGCGAATGAATTGTGCGCGAACTACCGATGCAGCAAGGAAGGTTACTACAAACAGACAAGGGGACTTTATATATTAGAGTGCCTAAACTCTCGCATCAACAAAGAGGTGCAAGAATACGCAGCAAAATACATGCGAGATACAAGCGATAGAAAGATCTAAAGAAGCAGCAAGCCATCTTGGTACAATTATTATCAGGGTTCTGAACTATTGTAGTCGAACTCAAGCAAAGTCCATTGACATCTGGGACCTTTTAACAGGGAAAAACGAAGGGTCTACGATCAAGACGGTTTCTGGGTCGTATACGAATCTGAGGCTGGCCATCACAAGATTAAGGCTGTTGGAGATAGAGGAAAGATACATCAGGATGTCAAAAGTCAGACGGATGTTGGTGGCCTGTTAACAACAGTGAATTACTAATGAAATGGTCCAATGATCCAGACAATGTGCGGTGCACTGATCATTTTGCTATTTAGGAAGGCAGAACAAAGAAACCCAAAGACATGTAGGGATATAATTATAGTAAAGTTTATGGTTTTATTCATTTTTTTTTTTGTTGAGTTTGAGGGCAAAAAAAAAAAAAAAAAAAAAAAAAAAGAAATAATCAAGCAATGATTCTGTGACCAGACAAAAAAGTTGAAGAGATGCTAAACATTGATGATAAAAGTAGATATATACAAGAGTGGGATTTTTTTTTCATAGATAAAGGGAGGGTTCATAAAAGGATTTAAACAGTGACATTATGTTTTTGCATACGGTGTCTCACCATGGCATCTTTTCTGCTGAATGTTGATGGACATTGGTCACAGGCATAAGCACGTTCACCATTGTGCACAGTGGAGATGTGTCTTGTCAGGTCGTGTTTACGGTCAAAAAACTTTTGGCATAAGTTGCAAGGGAAGTCTTTACGTCTATTCTTGTCGTGAGTCTTGATGTGAGTACCCAAATTGTAGCGACGGTTGAATGTAGCATGGCATATATCGCATTCGAACTTGCGTTGGTCTTGGTCATTGCTAGAGGCAATCTTGATGCGCTTGTTCTTGTTGACAATGGAATCGTTGTTCTTGCGTTTTTTTGATACAATTTCCTTTTGTTCAATGGCAGGTTGCTGATGCACCACAACTTCAGGGACAACGTTGACTTCATCAAAGAAACAGTCGTCAAAACAATCATCAAACAAATTGCTGGCGTCAAGGTCTTGAGTAGGATTGGCGTTGTAAGAAAAGGACACATCTTGGTCGTCGGAAGGAAGGGGAGGGAAGAGGAAATCAGAGGATTCGTCATGACAGGATGTGGCGGCTGTTGTTTGCACATTGTCATTCATGCTATTCAGCAATAACTGAGATGGGTCACCATTGAATGTATCAAGAGTGTTCAGCAACTCGGGAGAGACATCAGAAGAGTTGATGGTGGGAGTGGGAGCAAACAAGTCGGCGGTTGAGATAGCAGGAGTGCCATTGCTGTTATCTTGCCAGGATATGTCGTTCTTCAAATAGCTGGCGACCTGAACGTCATCTTGGTTATCAATGGTATTAATATTACCAAAAGATTGATTGATATTATTATTGATATAAGGTGAATAGAAAGGTGAATTCTGCATGTGAGCCAAGCTAGGAGTAAACACAGAGGCAGGTGTAAAAGGTGTATTCATACAAGAATGATCTAAGAAGGGAGTATTCATCATTGGAGATTCAGCAGCTACCACAGCAGCAGCAGCAGGAGTTAAATCGCCAATGAAGGTAGATAATGAATTTGATTGTTGATGAATATTGTCAGATGCTGATAAGGCAGAAGACTTTTCAATGGCATTGACTAGAGCGTTGTATTCTAAAATCAGTTCACATGCTTCTACAAACTCTGATTTTCTTCTAGGTTGAAACTCACCATTGAGGCCATTCCAGACTTGTTCAAAGTCGAATTGCTTAGCAGTAGAGGAAGAAGCGGTAGATTCCATCTTCACGGCAGTAGTAGAGGGTTCGAATAGGAAATCGTGCAATTCTTGAAAGTTGAAATTGGGGGTAGTCATTTTAGATGATGTGGATGATGATGCGAGTGAATGAAAATTAGAAATTATATAATTTGATGAATAAATAATGAGATAGTCTGTTTCCTCTTTAAACAGATAAAATAAGGGTATAAGAAAATGATTTTTTTACAAAAAGAAAGAGGGAGAGTTTTTTGAGCTTCTACCTTTTATACCGCAGCATTTCCAAAGGATATTGCGCAGCAATCTTCCATTTGTGAAACTACAGTATGAGTCACAATCCCGCGATCCTGTTCAATGTTGTTGTCCCTGGCGATGGGTGCGTCTCATCATTTGACGTTTTGATCTGCCCTGATTCTATGTGGTTGCCATGGCAACTGAGCTGTCCCTTCTATTGAGGATGTGCATTTCTCATTTGATGTAATTTCTCGCAGCAATCTCTATTTTCAAGCTTATGATTGACTGAAATCAAACGCAATGTGATATCTTTGGATATAAACAGATCTTCATTCGCCCTCATATTTAATAGTATGGTCCAGATGGATATCAAACGTGAAATATATCTCTCCAATTTGATGGGGCTTTCTCTCACATTTCGTTGTAAAAAAAGCGATTAAAAGGAAATGGAAGAAATTTCTAAAATAGGACGAGTAAATCGGTGGCTCTAAAAGTGTTGCAATATTCCATTTTTAACACGATGCACAAAGAAAGTTGTCCTTTATCTAAAAACTCCCTTGTTTGCTCTTGCTTGAGCAATTAGGCCAGAACACCTGGTTCTAAATATAACCTTTTGTCGTGCATTTCTCACTCTCTTTTGTTTTTTTCGAAATGGAAATGATGTGGTCAAATTGGATTAGTAACCATTTTAAAGAACAGTTTCCCAGAGTGGAAAATGGCTGGTGGAAAGTTTAATCAAGTGTAACGAATCTGATTGCTGTAACACGCAATAGCGCTGACGATTGAAATACATTAGGACCTAGCATCAATCAACCAAATCCTTTCGTTATTGACATGCACTAGCACTACTATACAATACCTTCACTATATATACTGGAAAACTATGTTTTTAAAAAATAGACAAGCAAATCACGTTCTTTCAAATAAAATTCTAAAGAATTGAGAGCTGGACAAAGATGAGCAAAATCACCGGAGAAGCCGACAACGGGAAGGGGATTTGGGGGGTTTACCGTAGCGAAGCAAACGTGCAAAACTTATGACAACTAAGTATCTAATCCAACATCCAGTAGCATTGATCTATATGAGGGCTTGATCGCAGCGAAGCGAAGTTTCAAAACCTTAGTGTTCAAGCAGCAAATTCGGTTACTCTTTTCCATTATTATCAAGCTTACCAGCAACATAGCGCATCAAAATTTGCATAAATCAGCTTTACCAAACCCAATATGCCTCCTACTCGAACTAAAAATTGCTCAAGCTACAGAACTGTCTTTCCAGTAAATTGCAGCTACCAAAGATGTGATCCACGCCGTGTAAATAAATTCTATAAAGCAATACATAACCAAATTTGACAGTTTTCAAGCCTTTATATCTTAACATGTAGGCCTTTATGAGTCACCAGAATGATGCCAAACAATTGTACTTGAGTAGTAGTAACTTTCTGACACTTTTGCTCAACTTTTTGAAGACCTAAAAAACATGGCCAAAAATCGACCAAAAAGCATGAGGGGTACCTCATGCTTTTCACCGAAAATCATGGCTTTCTCCGCTAAAGATCACAATTTAGGTGAAAAAGGCAGGACCACCAACTTTGGTGGCTCTACGCTGGATTCCAGCCATAATCCAGGCAACAATATGTTTACATATGCTTCATTCTTCAAGGATATCAACTCGCAAAAGAGAACTCCATTCAAGATCACCCCTTCCATTTCTAATAATGGTGTTATCGGCAAAGCTCTTGACTTCACGTCCACCTTCGTTGAAGCCCAGGATGATTTCTCTCTGATCATCGACTGTGTACAGTTCGTCGGCATGCACTTCAAGGAGAAATCGTTATCAAGCTGTCTCCGTGAACAATATCCCAAAGGTCTTGGTATTCGACACCGTGTGGTTGGCAAGAATCACAAAGTCATTGAAATCAACTTCCCCACAGAAGAGGATTGTATGGAAGCCTTGCAGAAAGAGTTTATTCTCCAAGGTGCAACTATCCAAGTCAACAAGACCCTGGACAAGCATGCCAACATCTTTCGAGTTAGCATTTCGGCCATTCCTTACAAGCCGGTGGAGGTACTCCAACCTCTGTTGATCAAAGCCTTTGAAGAATATGGTGATATCCTCAATGTCGGGCTCTGCCACTCCAAGGATGGGGATTGGTTCACTGGACGCGGCTTCGTCACCCTTAATATCGACAAATCCAAACATTATGCAGCCGAGTTGAAGCCTCAGGTCGCACTTGATGGCTCGCAGGAGAATCTCCGCTTGACATGGGCAAACATGCAACCCATCTGTTCGGATTGCCATACCGATGATCACGTCAAGGCTGACTGTCCTAGGAAGAAAAGGAAGGCCTGCCATAAATGCGGTAGCCTTGAGCATCTGATTGCTACTTGCCCCCAGGCTTACTGGAATAGGAAGAAGGACCAACCATCCCAAGACCGTCGCCGTCGCAATTCTGACACCCAGGGGAACCCTCCCGCTCCAAAGCCTACTGGAAGAGAAATTGATCTTCTAGAGCTAATGCAAGTACCCAAGCCGAAGTACCTTAACAAACAGAAGGCAACGACTAGAGGCGAATCCTCTATGGACACCAGTGACACGGAATCGGTTGCATCCGCGGCATCTTCTGAACCTGTGCAAGACGTTCCTATGCAAGCGATTCAGGAGACAATCGAGCCTCATGGCACAGAGGTTATCACTGAAACTTCTAGCACAGAGGTTCCTGCTGACTCTTCAAACAGCGAAGCTCTCAAGGATGACAAACTGGGTGCAACCCAGGAGGATCAATCGGCCAACCAGCCTGTCGCGCCAAGCTCTGACGAATCTGAATACGAAGACACCAGTAGTACTGGAGAGGAGGACTCGGACAGTCTCACCACAGCTAACTTCAGGAATCGTTACAATCTTCGTGATGTCAGACCACCGGTCTCCAGCCGTAAGGATGATACAACGCCTGAGACATCCCACAAGAGGAATGCAATGGATTCCACCCCCATGGGATCGGATGAAGAAGGACATGCCAAGAAGCTCTTCAAGCAACAAGAGCCTCATGGCACGGCGGATGCAGCGTATGGCGCCTCATCAACAACCACTTCATTATAAACTAATGATTGGGACAACACAAACTAAAAATGTCAATATTAGGATAGGTTCCATCAACTGCAGGAACCTCTACAAACAATACAACATCGCTGCTACCAACAGCTTTATACGGCATCTCAAAGGAGAACTATGCAATATTTTACTATGTCAAGAAACTAATGCTCAATCACACTCCTTCGAAAGCATCACCACCAACTTTAAGTACCAATTCCAGTACCACCAAGCTATATGGACCACTCATTGTGGAATAATCAACTTTAATCAAGCTCTAAATTTACAACAATTGCACGTTTTCAACGAAGGAAGGGGTATCTTAGCCAAAATCTCACTCGTTGACAACAATATGCCACCCATCTATATACTTAATATCTATGCACATGCAGACGATTATAGAGCCAGAAACCGTTTTTTTGGCCAAATCACCAGCCACCTCAAAAGCATGCCTGAAATCATCCCTTCATTGATCATAGCTGGCGATATGAACTACAGTTTCGACACCACCACATACCATCATACTCACCGTGCAGGGAAACCCAAGCAGTTTGCCGATTTCTTGAACACCCACTTTTCCGATTGTCTCAATCCAAAGAATGAACCTCATGCGTATACCTTTCGGCGTGGGTCCACCATGTCGACCATCGACTATATGTTTGCAGGCCACGACATAGCCTCCAAAATGAGTGATGCCACTAACTCGTTTATCAGGCCAGATTGGACAGACCATGCTCTCTTGACCAAAACATATACTACTGGATTGACTAACTGCGGTAAAGGACTTTGGCGAGCGAACCCTCACCTCGCCAAGAACCATAAGTATCGACAGAAACTAGACGACGAGCTTAGAACATTTGTTGCGGTGAAACTCGACAGCTCTCTGTCTGCTCAAGAAAAGTGGGATCTTATTAAAAAGAAGGCCAAACAGGTTACTATTCAGTTCACCAGAACACACGATCATTGGAGGAAGGCTAGAATCAAGACACTGCAAAGTGAAAGGAACAATTTGATACGACGCTACAGACATGACACTACTTGCTTGAGGCTACTGTTGCAGGATGTGGAGAACGAGCTAGCCAAGTTGCAACAGGAAATCGTGGATATTCAGCTTCTTAAGGCCGGGAAACGATGGCTTGAAAATAGTGAAAAGTCGCCTGGATACATAAAGCAGACCAGTAAACAACGCCTTGATCAGCGAACCATCCCCAACTTGAAGCACCCTCGTACTGGGGTCGACTGTCTCGACACTGCCTCCAAGCTGAACGCCGCAGAACGATTCTACCAGAAACTGTACACCGAAGAACGGATAGACTCTACCTGCCTGAACAAAATGCTGGACTACATCGACACCACTCTGTCAGCCGACGACGCCAACCAGATCACCGCATTAATAGACTACGACGACATTCTGCTAGGGTCTGCTCGAACTCCCAAAGAAAGCAGCCCAGGATTAGATGGTATCGGGTATGAAATCTTATATCTCATTATATCTCACCCTAGCTGCCGAGACATCGTGCACCAAGTATTTAATGACGCTATCCAGCACGCCAAATTTCCCAAATCATGGCAGGAATCTTGTATTATCCTTCTGTTTAAGAAAGGGGACCGGAGCGATCTCGCCAATTATCGCCCCATCACATTGATTGCGGCCGACTGCAAAGTCTTTACTCGTATTATGAACTCTCGTGTCATACCAGTAGCCAACAAACTCATCAACCCATATCAATGCGGCTTCTTGTCAGGTCGATATATCGGTGATCACGGCATGTCTCTCAGGGTAATTATGGATAACGCTTCATCCGCCAGCTGGCGAAATGCAACCAACTTTGTCGAATACACTGGAATCATGCTGGACAACGCCAAAGCATATGACAGAGTCCACCCCCAGTATCTCTCACAAGTACTGTTGAAGTTTGGATTTCCACCACAATTCGTCGCCTGCATCCTCAACCTGTTTTTCGATAACTTCATCCATGTCAACATCAACGGTTTTCTGACGAAACCTATCGCACAACGACGAGGCATTCGGCAAGGTGATAGCATCTCACCTGTCCTATTCAATCTAGCTATTGAACCGTTCCTCTTATCCATCATCAACAACACTGCAATCTCAGGCTATAGTCTTCAGCACACCAAACTACCCAAAAATGTGCAGATCCCGTGGGTGTCTCCTGCTCCCGTTAAGGTCTTAGCTTATGCGGATGATGTTCTCACGTATGTAAAATCTCATTCAGAACTAACTGAACTCCAAAGAAGACTTAAGACGTACAACCGGGCCTCCAATGCCAAGATTAACTATGACAAGTCAGTGGCATTTCCCTTGCACGGCGGTAGCATGAAAGGGTCTGAAGGCCTCAGAGTCCAAGATCACATCATCAACCGGCTCAAGATGAAATGGTATGACAGCCACTCTCCCGGGTATATCAAATATTTGGGGTACCCCATCTGGTTCTCCAACCATCAACGCGATGTATATGTGTCTGAACTCCTTGGTAAAGTCAAAGCGGCGGTGACGATATATAGTCAACGGAATGTGTCTCTGTACGGTAAAGCCAACATCGCCAACAATATGATCCTATCAAAATTATGGCACGTCATTCGCATTGTATCGCTACCTCTGGATGTCTTGAAGCAACTGAAGTCCATTATATACCAATTCGTGATGTCTGGCCTCTTCCCGCCACTGAAAGGAAACTCATTTTTCCTACCGCGAGATCAAGGCGGCCTAGGATTGATTGACATTGGAGCTCAACAGCATGCTCTTCAGTTTCGTTATATCAAGGTGCTCCTTCAAGGAAACAAGGGTTCGGTCCCGGACTTTACCTACCAGCTCCTGACCAACGCTCTCCGCCTAGCCCATGACACACCCGACCATGTAGTGCCCCTCTTCTTTAAAGCAGCGAGATACAAGAACACGCTGAATGGGTTCCACCCATTCCACTCAATTTTCGGTGCCATGGACATTTGCCGCCAACGAAGCTCACTGTGTATTGATTGGCAACGGAGGCCAAGCGCGCTGACCATCCTGAGTCTCCCCCTCACTGCAATCTTCACCTTCGATGAAAATTTGGAAGAACTTGAATTTCTACAGTGTGAAACCGCCAAAACCAGCAAAGTCCAGGAATTTTTCAAATACAATTCGGAGCAAGCCATGTTTCAACTTGTTCCCAAGTCCACATGTAGCAAGAGAAACACCTGGCTCAAGCTTGAAAAAGCCCTCCTACGACAAGAGTTGCATTATCAACCATTCGTACACAACAACAGCACTGAAGATGGTATCGACCTGAGACCATTTGCCGCATCACTTCGCTTCCAACAACTATCGATCCTTCAGCTCTCAAACAAAAACGTTCGTTTCATCATGCAGTCATTGGACACATTAGACGTTGGCCGCCACTTCAACAACAACATCTCCAAAAAGCAATGGACAGCCTTCTATAAAAACGACATGCACTACTCGGCTCGTAATCTGTGGTACCGGATGCTCCATCAGCAATCCCCTAATAAGCTCGCCCTCTTCCAAAGACACTTGCCCAATTTAGAGTCTGATCACTGCGATCTATGCAACGAAGTAGAAGATGCCAAACATCTTCTAATTAGCTGTGCTCACAAGATCGATGTATGGAACTCCACCTTCAATGAGTTCCTCAGCTATCCCAAAAATGCTGACCCTCGCCTCGTCTACAACAACATTATGCTCCTCAAACTAGAACGCTATCTCATATACAGCTACGATATGCAGTTCACTATATATGACTTCTTCGCCACTATTATGCGTATGATTTGGAGAAATCACTTCCAACAGCTCTACAATTATATACCTTTTGATCCCTCTGTAGTATGCCGCCAAATCCGCGCCGAATTGATAAGATTGTCAAATCTTAGGAAACTCTAAATAGCTTATATATGGCACGTCACTTTGTTTACATACACTTGTCCATCCCTTGATGCGTTTAATTTATTTCTAATAAATCAAATATCATCCAAAAAAAAAAAAAAAAAAAAACTTTTCACCGAAAATCAAACGATCGCATTTTTTTACCTTGAAAATGAAGACTTTTACTATGGTATGTATTGGATCAAAATGTTTCTCTCGATCCAAAGCAGCCTCTGAAACCACTTTTATGAGGTTTTCGTATGTAAAATTTCGACTTTTTGATTAAAAACCTCTTTTCATATTTTCGTAAATCACTCGATAAGTTCAGTCAAAATATTTATTACAGTTAGCCCCATCGGAAGCGCCTTGAAAAGTACTTCAAGAGTGAATTAGGAAGCATAGGATGAGCATCACAGCTTATATAGTCGAACATCTTAAAATAGATTAAAGAAGTCGAAAAAAGACGAAATCTGTCCAATCTTGAACAAAAATAATATGCTGCGTTTCAGCTTATTTTGACTGTGGCAATGCTGCTAGCTGACCTAAATGCCTTTCTGTGGATGACAATGATGATTGCGATGTTGATTAAATGGGGACCATGGAATTGAAAGGACAATTGCTTAGCGCAAGTACTTTTTTTGGGGAGCTTTGCTTCATAAAGGTGTCTTTTGCAATGAAAATATCTCAAAAAAGTCGCTGTAGATCTTACGTAAGTCCTGTATTTACTTATGGCCAGCTTCATGTCGCCATCTTATTATGAGCATCAGCAGCAGCGAATAATATGACAATTCTATTATCAGAAAACGCCGACATCGAGCGTAGCGAGATAGATCGGGTAGTATATATATTGTGTAAATGCGTAAAAGCTTGACCATGTACAGATGCAGTGAACATTCATCCACAATTTTATTTACAGAACTTTTTTCATTATGTCAGGATAATATATACGAATGCTTTTACGTTTGTTTCTTATCACTAGTCTTTTTGGTTACATTGAAGGGCACCAAATTCTTTACATCTGTGCCCAACTGAGTCCAAGTAATCTCTCCTGGAGCAGCAGTGGAGGTCGCCGTCTCCTGCTCTCTCATTTGAGCCCTCTTTAAATATTCTGGTGAATCCAAATAATCCTTCAATTCTTCGTAATTGTAAATGTTTGCCTTGTAGAACATGTGAAGGAAACCGCCAAGCACGGGTATCAAACTGAATATAAAGTCAATAGCAATGTTGAGCAGCATGTGCATGAACAACCATAATGGAATACCAAATGTTGTAGACAAATAGACTTGATACAATGAGAACAGACCACCCATAGAACCACCAACAACAGGAATGAAACCTAGAATAGAATCAAGACCTAATGGAATAGGCGAGTGAGGTACAGCGTTATCCAACCACATGGCAATTCTCTGAATCTTCTTTAACAATTTGGTTCTCTTGCGATCTGTCATTTTAGCTGTTGGTAGCGTTTGGTTGAGATAGGGAACATTGGCTGTGTATTTTCGGAATTGGCTGGAGCCTTGAACACGAACAGTTTCCACAACTTCAGGTATATGCACCTTTTCAGCTAGTTTTCCTTTAAAGTAATTCATTTTGTGATGTATATAGAGATCAGAGATATCTAAATGATAAAATTTCATGCCACTTTATATACCCACCAAACCTTTTTACGCTTACATGACATCATAATGGCATTCGCTTGGTATATCGTCATTTTGGAGTGATTATTTGTGCACTGATGTCAGTTTTCTCTTTGCCATTGGACGATCATTGCTAAATTTGTCTACACTGATAAAACCCAAGTTTTATTGCTTTTACTTAAAAATATGAAACCCTTATGAAAACTAATTTGTTGATCGCTCCAGAGCGTATTTCAGAAGCTGATATTCCAATTCATGACGAGAAATTACTGGATACTCCTGCCAGAATGCATCAATTTCCGCTTGATTTGTTACTCCACCCTGCATGAGAAGTAAATGTCTGCTATTATCATTTTCAATGCTGATTCTTTTACCTCCATCAATCGAATAATGAATTTTCGACGAACAATAGACAACTCGAAAGATCTGATCAGGTGCAAACCACAATCATTCATATTATGCTGTTGTGGAATTTTGTGTTGGTATATTTCAGGTATCTTTCTAAGCGGCGAGTTCGCTTCCACAAGGTGAAAGCTTTTAATAAACTCAATTACAAGTTCGGCCTCGGCTCTTCTGTCTACATTCAACGAATCCATGATATAAATTAGAGATCTATGATGCAAAATGTTATATAAACCGTATGCACACTCTCATTATTATACAAATTTACCTCGTTTTTCCAGGGAAAACCACAGCAATCAAGAACCAATGATAACTAATTCATGATTAGTAACATGCTTAACCAAGATGCCAAATCATACTTTTGACACACTGGTATGAGCCAAGTGCGGCTCTGACGAATCTTCTTGCTGCTTATCCACGCTTTCGTCTCATTATATATATCCATACCCTTCCTAAAAATCCTTGTCAGTAGCGATCCAAAGATACGCATTCACAGAATCCAATACTTTACGATTTAGCTGATTTGAGTCTTGTAAAGAAGAAACTACTCGATACAAATATATAATCGCTGCATCGGTATTTATCCTCAATTGTCTTTAATGAAAAGTCGATGATAGTGTCGTTAAGCCAATTTCCAGGTTGTAATGTTTGTAAGTCTCGATTAGTTAGTGATATCCTGTTTGTTGTGGTATGCAAGACCTCATGGTCTTCATTGTGAGTGTCTGTAACTTCTTTACTGTTATCATCTTCTTCATTATCAGAGAGTATAATCGTTGTAGGTGGTGTGGTAGGTGGTGATGGCAGTGGAAATGCTCCAGGCATTCCTTCATTTGCTTCGCTTGCCTTGTCTTTTTGTCGGTTTTTCTTCTTGTTCTTCCTACTGTTTCTTCTCTTCTTTTTCACTTCTTTCACTGGACCTTCTCCTGCTTCGCTTTTCCTTTTACTGTTTTTCCCCTCGACCATACCCTATAGTACATGCTTAATTTTTTCCTGAATGAGAGTTCAGCTTGATAAACATACCTTGAAGTAATCGTATATAGATTCCATAAAGACAACTGTTTGAAAGAAAATTCTCCCAAACATGCCTCCTTTTTTCGAGGAACCTTATTAAAATCCTCAAAGAGCAGCGGTCACACAAACAGTGGGTGAAGGCTGCTGTTATCTGCATTGCATTTCTCATTGATCCTGGTCAAAACTACACTGTGAAACGCTTGGAAATTTTCCCTTACAATTTTTCTTTAGTTTTCTCAATGAATCTTATAATGACTTTGGTAATTCAGGCTAAAGCGACCTTGATTTTTCTAACTCACTTTTGATTAGGTCACAAAAGCTCATTGCTTTGACATCATAGCAGTAGAAATACCGACTATTGTTGCATTGAACACGTTAAACTCAAATATAATGTCTCCTTTTGTAGTGAGACGTACACTGGAGGTTTTTTTTTGGAATAAAGAGTGATCTGGTAGAGGTGCACTTGCGATATTATGCCTTTTGATTCTACCATTTTTTGTCATCCAAATTTTAATGTCCAAAAGGAGCTTCATATGGTCCATTTATTTGAGCGTATAGATACTCAGCCTATATAATGTACTGATATCTTGTTAAAGGAAAACAACGATCATTAACTAACAAACAAGTATTCAAATGCCAAACGTTCTGCTATATTTTATTACGAATCCTAATAATTTGACGGTAAAGGTCACTCTACTGCACCGCATATTATCTCACGCAGCTTTTTGGCTTTTTTAATAGCTATCTCAATTGATGTCTCTAACTTGTTCTATATGTGAAAATCAGGCTTGAGAGGACTAGATGAGCATTATCATAGCTGTAGCCCTATATTTCCAAATATGGTGGATAGTTGACAGCTAAATTCCGCTCAGGGCGATATTTTAATTGGATAATGCAATAGGATAGATTGGAGTAAAGGTGTTCAAATTTTGCTGAATTTACCCTTCAAAATAGTTCAAGATAAGTCGGCCTATTACTCATTTTGAACATAAAAGCTGTGATCATATAATAATTTAGCACATCTCTTAAAGTATTTTTTTGGAATAATCCTGCAACAGAAGTTACAGTTGCTACATTATACGAATTCTCACAACTACTTGTTTCATTTCTTGCTTATTTGCACGTGTATACACAAACTCTGTCAATCTTCTGGCATATACAGTTCTCTGCGTGATTTTTTATATTGGATTTATGCAAACGAAGAGAAAGGGTAACGTTATATGCACAGAAGACTCATACTCTTGTCTACAACAATAACATATTTGTTAACGTTACGAAGTAAAATTTCATGAACATAATGAAAGACCAACGGACGGAAAAGTTTATTTATGAATGTAGATGCGGCTATATAATTCATAGCAGAAAATCAATTTCAATGCTGAATTAATGAGAATATAATAGACCTGTATTATAGTGTATGAAAACAACAGGCTTATTTAAGCCAACTTCCAGGTGATATCAGCAACACCCTTACCCTTGCTACCGCAGACACGTTCAAAGAGGACAGGAGTCAAATCAAGATCACCATGGCTACATTCAGGACAAGCATCCAAGATAGTAGCCTTAGTAGTACCCTTGGGACCAGTGATTTCAATTTCTTTGCCACACCAGTCAGAGTCCTCGGACATCTTGCCATATTGAGGTGCGTTGAGAGCAACAATTTCAGAGTCATCGCTGATCTTCTTACCACTACAGGCAGCTTGAGTACCACCATTCTTCTTGGGAGAATACCAAGTGGCAGTACCACTGTAAGACTTTTCATCATCATTGTCATCATCACTCTTCTTGCTCTTCTTTAAGACGGGAGCAGCGAAATCATTGACAGCAACATCATTAGTAGACTCGACAGGAGCAGCAGCAACCATAGCGGAGAAGACGGCGGCAATGGCCATGAGAGAAGGAACAAATTGGAGTTGCATGATTGATGATATAAGAAGAGGGATATATGCAAAGACGACCTGCGCTTATTGATTGTTAAAGGAAGAAGAAAGACAGGGAACTGGAGAAATATGGACCTCTTATATACTTAAATCACACAAAGGAAAATGCTACACCATTTGAAACCATGAATTTCAGGACGGACTGAATACGAAACTTCTCTATCGCATTGATGAGATGGCCCCCGATCCGTCCCCAGTAATTTGTGGCTCTTGTTGGTTTATCGATGATATATGGCCAGACTATTTGGGCTTTACCAATGTCTTTTGAAAAACTCCGTGCATCGAATTGTTTGATCTACATATGTATTATAGTCAAAACATCAAGAAAAAATTACGTAAATCTATGTCATTATGTATATTCCTGGAATTTCAATCCCAAGACACTTAACTCATTTCCACCTTGAACTTGGGTGCCTAAGATCATCATACAGATTCCATATATTCAAAATAATTGAACATGCTTATACGGCCATTACAGTCGCGAAAAGCATTACGTTGTTTGACAACTGTTGACTCACGACACTCCACGTGGTGCCACTTATATTCCACAACCGAAAAAGTGTAGGTGTTACTATCGTGATTACTGCTAACAAATCTGTAGTTTGAATAAAGCAAGGGTTTATCGTACTCATGTAAGTATAATTGAGTTATGCAGTTACACAGTTAGAAATTACACGGGTGCATTGACTGTTTTCAGTGGCATATACATGTACTACATGCCCTCAGACCTCAATTCCTCGATATGATATCCTAATGGTGGAGATAGATTTATATCCGCGCAACAACCCGTATTATGCTTCATTCTGCATATTCCAGACCCTTCTCCATTTATATAATGCACCTTTAAAGAGCAATGGCAATTTACTAGAACACTTTTACTTGACTTGCTCAATACTTATTTTCATTCTTGGCAACAAAATTCCATAAAACTTGAAATAAACGTAATCAATTAGTAAACGTTACAATTAGGTGAAGCATGAGTAATTTTACATTTGTCAAGTTATTTGACTTGTCCTGAAAAGTGCTTCGTTAAGCAATGAACGAAGCAATGTGTCTCTGATTTAAAAGTCCATGCTTTTACGATTATCGTATATCTTGTGCATTTTCATGTATCATGATGACAGGCGATATTAGATGATATTCCAAAAATACAGCTTAATTCCTTTTTAGCATCTGTGAGCTTTATAAACATGGATTCTTGTACTAAGCGTTGCTTGAAATCCAAGCAACACCTTTTGGGATGCGAGCTTATTTTATAGAGATGTTGATAGATCCAGGTAAAATTTACTATTGGCACATCTGCGCCATTATATGATTCAAAGGCGTCAAGCATGCACATACTACACAAATTAATGGGCTGGCATCATATAGCGTCTCTGCCGAATCATCGGCATACACTTACTAAACACTAATCAAGCGTTCGTGTCAACAACGACGACAATACCAAGTACCTGTACATCTGGTAAGCAAGTTAATTAACATTGTTTCAAACTTATATGGCCACTCTTTGCATTGACTTTAATACGACTCAGTAGTTAAGAATACCATGATGCGAAGTCGATCAAGCAAAATAACCATACGGTAATCCATGCTGGCTCAAGCATCGTATATGTAACACCAACATTATACTTCATTCTAAATATAAACATTAGTTAATTCAGTTTGGTATTATCACCGTTCTCATCATTATGTGTTTATACAAAGCAAGTGGCGGAACCTGTCCCGGAGACACAATGTCCAGGTTTACAGTTAAGAGCTTGGAAGTCAGGCAAACAGCATTCCGTTCAAATGTAGGAGATGAGTCAGTTGAAATCTCAGCAGACTGGTCTTTGGCAGGCCGAGAACGACAACAGAGATTCGAGCCTCTGGGCTGAAATCGAATGATACTTACGTAGATGAATCCTTTGATACCCAGTAGCATGAAAACATAAATATGTTAGCATATAGACCTATGCATTAACGTACTATATTACATTTTTTTTTCGTGTATTTTGTTTCAAAAAGCTATATCAGCTAGCAATGGATGGACCATTCATTAACATCAAAATGAGCTGTTTCAAATTCCATTTGCAAGAGTTTCATCAGTTGCTTTGATTTTAACAAGCAATTGAGAACTAGGGAAAGGAATACATAGTGATAATTGAGTTTATTGCTAAAGAATGCAATGCCTTAATGATATCCTGATCATGAAAGATGGAGGAATGAGAAATTTACTGAGAACCTTGCTTGCTGCCTTGGTGCTTTCTCTCCTTCTTGTGGTGCTTCTTTTCCTTCTTATGATGCTTAGTAACAGAGACATCAGAGCTAGCACTGGATTCGTCCTTGCGAGATCTTTTACCGAGACCCTTATGAGCGGGAGCTTTCTTATGAGGAGATACCTTCTTATGGTGGGATGATTTCTTGCCATGAACAGGGGCCTTCTTGTGAGCAGGAGCATTCTTATGAGCAACGCTCTTCTTATGAGCGGGAGCTTTCTTATGATGGGCAGCTTCCTTCTTGTGCGTAGTATCCTTCTTGTGCGTAGTATCCTTCTTGTGGGAAGATGCCATCTTATGAACAACGCTCTTTTTGTGGGCAGCTGCTTTTCCATGAGAAAGTCCCTTCTTGCCCTTATGAGCAGGTTTCTTCGATTTGTGGGAGCCAGGTGCTTTTTTCTTGTGGGCATCAGCAGCAGCTCTCTTGAGCAACTTTTCATTGAACTGTTATATATAAAATTTAGTGAGTTTTTTTCTCTCTAAAGACAAATAGTCAAAGCTTACCTTTACACAGACATGATCGCCTGCACTCAAGTCATTACATTGAAATTTGGGATCAAAATATTGATTCCATTGTTGAAGGTTTACTTCAGTGACACCGTAAGCGGCAGCAATTGATTTGCAATCGTCAGCCTGGACAGCTATACAATTAGGGTTACTATGATATAGAGCTAAAGATTCGCCAACTATTTTCATACCGTTGTAAGTCTCTTCGCAAGGATGAGAGTAATGATCAGCTGCTTGAGTCAAGCTGGCAACGGAAAGGACAGAAGAAACGAGAAGTAGAAGCTTCATTGAACAAGATAAGGATTGGTGAGGATAATGTTTAAAAGACTTGAAGAGATCCGGCTCTTTATATACCTCTGATACTCATAAGAAATATCGCCATAGTGGGTTTATGATATTATAATTAGATCAATGATCGTATTCAACTCCATCTTTGATGTGTAACTATATTGACAAAATGTATAATGTAACGACAAAAAGTTAATTAATATTGATGTACATTGACAGTGATTCCTGTTTCTATTATTAAATGTCAAATTGTATCCATGCTATACATAATATGATTTTATAACTATCGAATTCCAGCTTTCCACCCCTACATGCTGCAAAATACTGGTATGCCCTTTGCTGTGTAATTGTATTATCCATTGCCGAATTGTATCAATTCAAACCCATTGCATTCTACTTTGAAGTGTCAAGGACAACAATAGCATAAACGCTTGTAAATTGAAACGCAACAATAATACTGGTTTCGCCAAGACTTTACACATAGTAGGCAAATATAAATATATAATAACTGGTGGCGAACTACCAAATAAGTCCTTATTATCCTGATTGAGACATCCAATGATTTTTTTCAAAGCGATTTCAACCAAAAGTGCTTAATTTACCTACTTCTAGAGAATCGCTGCCAAGTATTCCCATCAGATTTTCAGAATCCAAATAGACTTGCGTCAATGTAAAACAAATAAATTAGGATAATGTTTACCAAGCTATCGTAAATCAGTGCATACATTATACTGCATGCGAATTTCCGTACCTTTTACTTTTTTCCATGATCTAGACAAGGCAAACGGATATACGGCAAATCGAGTGTAGTATAAAAATATTATCAATTTAAATCATGCTCTCTTGCTACACTTATATATGAATTACACAGAGCTGTATATAAAGGTCTTTATCTAGTAGTTGCACAGCAATTTATATATAGATGCCATTTGAACGGAAAGCCACAGTGCCCATTACACTGAGCACCAAAAGCTTCCTTCATTGCGACTTCCGTGTTGGTCAATATATTTGATTTACACAAATCTCAAGGAAGCGCATTCACTTCCGACATTGAACACTAACGTATTAATTCAAACTGAATATTTTTGAATCATGCGTAAATAGATCAATCTTATTTGCAACAGCACCACTGATATTATTAGTCTTTGATATCTTATGTAATAGCTTGGCATTGATGAGTGCTCACTTCTGGTTCAAGACGTTGTCAAGTATTACTAAAAAGCCACTATCCAACCTTCTACTATTACGTGAAAGTTATATTAGCAGCCTGTAATTGCGGATCTGCCTTTTCCTGAATGCCGCACGTTTGCATCGATGGGAACAGTTCATATATGGGCAGGCAACGTACTTGCGTTGCCTTTTTACTACTCAAAAGTATGCAAACACAGCATGATTCGCTTGACTTTGAGCCTATTTTCGCGAGCTAGAGGCCATTTAAGACCTCCAGAGTAGCGCCAAACAATCACTTTCATCTAGCATTTGCTTATTGATATTTTTGCTCAACTTTTTGGGGACCCAAAAAACATGGCCAAAAATTGACCAAAAAGCATGAGGTACCCCTCATGGTTTTCATCGAACATCAAACGATTGCGTTTTTCACCTTGAAAACGAAGGCTTTTATTATAATACATATTAGATCAAAACGTTTCTCTAAATCCAAAGCAACCTCTGAAACCACTTTTGTGAGGCTATTATGTACAAAATTTTGACATTTCAACCAAAAACCTCATTTCATATTTTTTGAAATTGCTCGACAAGTTCATTCAAAACATCTCTTTTATTTGGTACCATTGGATGCGCCTCGAACACTACTCCAAGAATGCTTAAGGATATATAGGATGATCATAATGATTTACATAGTCGAATCTTACAAAATCGTTCAACCAAGTCGAAAATTGATCGAATTCGACCAATTTGATGCAGCTACTATTGAGCGGCACTTAAATTATGGGCTTGTTGGCTGGCAAAATCGATTTTATTAAAATCAATAATAAGAGAGGCTTTTGAAGCTCGTACGAAAGGCAATTACGTATTGCAAAGCATTACATATTAGTATTGTCATCTTCTTTTGCTTTTTTTTTTGTGCATTTTCATGTATTCATATAGATTTATTTGGTGCAAACTGCTCACTCAAATGCAAATTTCAGTGCTGACTGCAAAATTATGGCTTAATTCAATATTGCATTTGGTACATCGATCAAGTTCGTTACAGATGATCCGTAAACACTTTACATATTTTTTCAGAGAATCGATCAAACACAGCCTATGAGTTTTAGAGATATGCATAACGCATAAGACTTAATAATGAAAAACTAATTTAATGGGTAATTATATATAAATGAAGGTTATAAAGTGGTTGCCGCCGTTGCTTTAAAGCATAGTAGCATGAACAGTTCTATCCTCTTCCTCATGCTCTCGTTGGTCGTGATGAATACCAGTTCTCTCTCGTTCAATGGCATAAAACTTTTCTAATTGGATTGGATCAATAGGATACGTGTTTTGAGGAGCAGGGAATCTTCCAGTCTTGACATCTTCATGAAATTCTCTCAAAGCAGATGTGATAATTTGATTCAAGTTGCAATATTGTTTTGTAAACCTAATAAGTATAAAAAAAATAAAAAAAAAAAAAAAAAAAAAAAAAAAAAAAAAAAAAGCATCAGTATACAGGAGAGCATGCAACCTAGTCGAAACTTACTTTGGAACAAACTTGTCAAACAAACCCAAAGCATCGTTTTGAACTAAAACTTGGCCTGAGCAATGCACACCAGCACCAATACCAATGGTTGGGATCTTCAATTGTTGTGTAATGTAGCCGGCAATTTCGGCTGGAATAGCTTCAAGAACCACACCAAATGCACCGGCCTCCTGGACAGCAAATGCGTCCTTTAACAAAGCACTTGCCTGTTTGGCTGTCTTGCCTTGGACTCTGAAGCCGCCTAATGCAGATTGTCTTTGTGGTGTAAGCCCAATGTGAGCCAAAACGGGGATTCCAATTCTCGTAATTCTATGAATGGTTTCTGCCATTTCAACACCACCTTCTAATTTAACGGCCTACAATTAAAGTTAGACAATGTTCTCACAATCCACATGTACAACAGAGGACTTACATCGCAATTGCCCTCCTTCATGAAACGGAGGGAGACTCTCACAGCATCATCAGGACTGGCTTCATAACTTCCATAGGGTAAATCTGCTACAATAAACGGTGCTTTTGCACCTCTAGCAACTGCTCGGCAATGGTGTAGCATGTCCTGGATTTATTATTAATAATGAAATTATGATTTGTCATGTGAAATAAACCTACCTCGACTGTAAGGGGATTTGTTGAATCAAAGCCCAAGCTGACCATTGCCAAAGAGTCTCCAACAAGACACATATCAATACCAGATTGATCTACAACAAGGCCTGAAGGGTAATCTTGTGCTGTCATCATGGAGATGGCTTCCTTCTTTCTGTACAAGCTCTGAATGGTTTTAATCGATACTTTAGGCCTTCCTACAAAGCATTATAAAGTGGGGTAAGTAAATTCAGTTACACAACGTTTTCATCATGAGACAAATTTACTTTGCGCAGCATTTGAATTATCAACTGGTCTACTAGAGTAGTTTTTAGGCTGATTTGTTTGGAAATGAGGCACAGTAAGTGCAGCTCTAGGCACCATGCCTGGCCTCTTGAACTGCAAGAGGCTTCTTGAGGCGATGCGGGAGATAATAGACATAATTATCAAGTTGTATTAAAAGAGAAAGAGAGGAAAAGAATGAAGGAGTGGTTGACAGAAGTTGATTTCTTTTGTACTCAAAAATTTTTTTTTGTCAGCTTTAATATGTGGGTGAGAGAGGAAGGGAGAAAAGCTGCCTGGATGATTGATTATCAATGGATTTTATTTAGACTCAGGTTTCAAACAACAAAATAGCGAAGAGGGGTTGAACCTTCCAGAAGGGTGATTTGTGAGATTTCAAACGTAATCCGTCTCTTTGAGGGAAGATAAAACTGTATAGATATATTACAAAGATTAAGAATAGTTCATGTATTCCTAAGATTTTTACATGTAAATAGAGGGGAGGGGAGTGGTATTGTGTATTAAATAAGTAGTAGCTTAAAATTCAATGTCATCTTGAGCAAACATGCCACCCAAAGCAACCTTTTCACCAGTGCTGAATGCTGGCATTCCCAAGTAAGGACATGTAGAGCATCTAAAGGCATCACCCAATGCACAACTACCACATCCACCCGTCTTCTTGGGTGTAGGATCCACTTCCACGATTTCATCTTGAATATCATCCATCAGATCCAATGATACGACGTTATTTGATTCCATCTCTTCTTCCTCTGCTCTTCCGCATGTACAGTTTTTACAGGCCTTTCTCTTTCCATCTGTCAATTCACAATCATCAGGCCGAGTCAAGGAAGCTTTACTGGGCTTAATCTTGTCGTCCTCATCCAACAAGGCATCTTCATCCTCCAAATCATCAGTGGAAACAGTAGCCCAAACAGCCTTCTTTGTTGTGGTCGTAGCGTTCTTCTTCTTGCCAAACTTCAATGTCATCTTTTGTCCAACTTCGTAGGCAGGCTTCTTTGCCTCAATATGAGCAATACCGAATTTACCTGTCAATCTGCTCACACCTTGCTCCACCTTTGCAGTGCCCCACAAACGGAAATAATCAGCCAAAGTTTCATCAGAAACAGGGGCTACATTTGTCACTTTGACATCCACAAAACCAGCGAGCTTCAACATGGATTCCAGGTCGGATGCCTTGCGAGTAATGGGACATACGGTATTGGCTAAATCGACGAGCAAGACCACTTCCTCCAGCACTAGGCGACCGCCAGCAGCCAGGGTAGTCAAGTAGCGAGAGAACATGTTTGGTGTATGAGTGGAAATAGAGGGCGTGAACAAGTTGGAATAGATAATGTTGAAGTTTGATTTGCTTAATGGAGCATCAGCAACTCTATCAATGACCTCAAATGCGGTTTGTCCTGTAGGTCCAACGGATTGTTCAGCGGATGATTTGACCTGAACAAACATGCTTTGATCCACGGTAGCAGGAGCTACGAATAGAACGTTTTCACCAGTAGAAAGTGTATCGAATGTCATGTTGGTTAATGTGATGGGTAATGTAAGTATTAGGAGAGAAAGAAAGAAACAAGTAAAGCAATAGAAAGGATGCGAAAAATTTTTATTGCAGCAACATGACTAATCAGTCGTCGGGAGTTGTGCTGCTGCTCCTGCTGCACTGTTGTACCATAGAGCTTGATGATAAGGACATTGATTTTATTGGCCATCTACATCTAGTTCTTATCTATCCATCTTTTATTGGTTCAATAGCCCTCAATGATCAATGTGGACGAGGGCTTCTTTACATCCCTTTTCGGTCTATTCATGATGCTATCTTTTGCCTTCCAATCATAGGGCAGTTGAAACTTGAAGTTGCTCTGCGTGGGTAGACATGGCCAGTACTTTTTCTGTATTTCTACAATTGTTCTAAATGATTCAATTGCACCAAGATTAGGTTTGATTCCGTTAAGAGAGTGTTTGAAATTCGTGTCGTTGGACAAGAGTTGTGCCATACTGGCTGTCGCACTATTGGCAAGTGATTCAAGTTCATATCCGCCTTCCAAGCTTAATATTAATCTATCATTACATAATTCGCTTGCTAGATCACATACAATCTTGGTCATCAAGCTGAACCCTCTTGGAGTGACACTATAACCACCAAGCTGTAGAACATGTTAGCAAAGCACTTGCGAATGTAAGCATGTACATTACATTCTCGGGATGTCCTTCTGCAGCGTCAAATCCAGCCGACACAAATATCTGCAGCAAAAGCATGTCAGGTTACATTTCATGTGGAAAGATGTTTAAAAGATTATTTACCATATCGGGTTCAAACTGCCTAGCGATAGGTATCAACAGATGATAGAACGCAGCTATAAATTCTGTATCACCCATAGCCTCTATAGACAACTGTTGGTTAGAGAGAAATATAGACACCTATAAATTGCTGCACATACTTGGCTTATCTTTGCACTCGTTCAGTGCAATGTTGATGTTGAATCCAAGCCCTTCCGACTGTCCACATTCATCCGGTGCTCCAGTAAAAGGATAAAATTTGCCATGCTCCCAGCGATGCACACTGATGTAAAGCACATTGGGATCGTCGTAGAATATCTTTTGTGTTCCATTGCCATGACTACAGAATTGGATTATTAATCTCGGGTAGCCAGACATCTCATCCTTTTTTCGCCGTCTTACTGTATGTCCCTATATGCATGCCATCAGTACGGTATTCAGGAATTCACAGACCATCTTATTACCAGTCAATGATCAGTATCTTTTTGATTTTTGCCGGGTATTTCTCCATAATGGCCGACACAGCTACTGCCACATTGTTGTAGAAGCAATAGCCCATAGCAGTATCGCTCTCCGCATGATGTCCTGGTGGTCGAATCAATGCAAATCCGTTTTTCAGCTCTCCTCGCACAATGGTGTCTGCTAATTCAATCAATCCGCCAGCCGAGATTTTTGCAGCTGTTCTAGAATGTTCAGGATGGTATGTCGTATCTACCGAAATGCCCAAGTGTCCGCAGTCCATGCGAGACAGTAGCTCTGGAGGGTTGAACAGTGTGGATGGCGATGCTTGCTGATGCTGTAAATGCGGTTCTATTTTTAAAATGGGTCTTCCTCCTCCTCCTCCTCCTCCCACTCCACAGGAAGTTGGTTTCAATATAGGAGATGAGGGTGGTGAATAATTGAGTAATGCTGCAATGGATGTGATTTTGATGGGTTTTTGTTCTTGTGCTGTGTTGTTGGATAATAGCGGATAATAGTTTCTAACATGTGAAAAAGTATGTACACGCAGTAGTTCATTGGAAGTAACTTCTCGAGCATGAATACGCCGGAAATAGCGCAGAAGCCTAAGCACACATAAGTGTGAGTCAGTGACCCTTGCTCCCCTTCAAAGCTTACCTTTTGGCATGTAATGAATCGAAAATGGATGTCAGTCGTTCTGGCCGCTCTGGATGAATCATGCGTTCTGATTCACAAGGACAATTGTGCAGGTTCATCTGGGTATCTGTAACAAGACCAGTGTTCTTTCTGGACTCGACGCCAGCTACTGAATAATAAAACTTTTTGAAATCTGCCCAGGATAGCTTCGACTCTCTTCCCTTTGGACCAAATGACACTGTATCACAATCTGCTACGACCCCATTGTAATCGATCCAACTGGCTTGATCCGGTGGCCAGCCTTCATAGTGTACCAAGATGCATGTTGGTGCTAGATCCACAATGCGAGCATAATAGTACGCTTCTTGTTCTTGTTTGTACGCAATGACTTGGTCCCCTACACGCTTGTGAAAATCTGAAGGAGAGAAAGAAAGAATAAGAAAAGAAGAGGGGTACATTATAAGTGTGTTCTTATGGCATATCATTGCTTGCTTGTTTTTGTTTGATTCATACCATCGATCATTAATGAACATTTGCCATATTTATTTTCAAAAGCATCATGATGGCTATGCATAGTTTTAAACTTTTTGGTATCCTTGATTTCAATCAACTCTGTTTTCGGTGGTAAAATGTCTGGTTTTCGCTTTATTGTTTGCTGCATTGGATGCAAGTAATTTTTTTCTTGTTGGTTCATGGGTGCCATCAATAAATAATTGGGGGTTGGGGTGGGGGTTGCGGCTGATTGGAGTGATTGCTGCTGTGGTGAATGAGTTGATGTGGAAGGAACCTGCTATGATGATGATGATGATGATGATGATGTCGATCAGAATTATGTCATTTCATTGCGTATGCATGTTAGTTTGTTACCATATTAACGAAAAAGCTTCAGGCCAGGTATATTGAACAGTATGGTGTGGTTTATAAAAGCATGTATAGAAAGAGTAATGAAAAAGAGAAAAGAGCAAAGAAAGAGAAAGGGAAAGGGAACCACGTATCAACAGACAGATGGAAAACTCCTTTTCTTTATATTTCAAGTCAGATTTCAACAACATTGGAAATCCATGTTTACATTTTTGTGGCAAATGGATCCTTTTTGCACCGGAATTGAAATTACAGCTTACGCAACAATCAATGCAGATCGTGCTCTCTTTTTTTTTTTTTTTTTTTTAGTAGCTTATTTTATCATTTGAATATGGCACTATGTGTATCCATCATTTGCTTGATATACTTGTAAGAATATTTATTGATTTAAAGTCTAGGGCTTGATATAATTTGATATGATACAGTTCTATGAAATGATTACAGGTGTATATATTAGATCTTTCATTTAAAAGATTCTAAGAGAGAAAGGATGCTCGACGACGCCGTATTGGATATCCATGATAGCTTCATTAATCTGCAATTGTGTGTGAAAAAGTAAGTAATGCTGCTCTGTGAACTGCATGCTAGATGAAATTACCTTTTGAGTGAGAGGTCCAGCTTCTGACTCGCCATTGGGATCAGTTGGAATAAGGATGTCTTCGCCCTTGTAACCAATACGCTTAATAGGGCTGACAATACAGGCTGTACCAGCACCAAACATTTCAATAACACGGTTCTCTTCGACGGCTTGAACAATCTCGGGCATAGTAACTGTGCCCTCACGAACAGCAATACCAGTCTCTGCCTCCCAGCTCTTGACAAGGTCGATGACAGTATTACGAGTGACACCAGGCAAGATCAAACCGTTAAGAGCAGGAGTAATCAACTCACGACGGCCCGTTTCACTGTTTGACCACAGCATGAAAAAGTTCATCGTGCCCACTTCTGTGACATAATGTTCCTCACCAAAGAGCCACAAGTTCTGCTGATAGCCCTTGCTAGCAGCGATCGATTGAGGCAAGACGCAAGGGGCATAGTTACCGCCAACCTTGTAATCACCTGTACCCTTGGGCCAGGCACGAACATGCTCTGTGTCTGCCAACAAACTGACAGCCTTGAAACCAGTGGAGAAATAAGGACCGACTGGACTAGCAATGACAAACAAAAGAGCTCTATCAGGAGCACGAACACCAAGAGCATCTTGAGTACCGATGATAGTAGGACGAAGATAGAGAGAATAGCCACGCTTGGAAGGAATCCAACGCTCTTCAATGCGAAGGAATTCAGTAATAACCTTGATCAGTTCCTCAGGGTCAAATGTCTACATACCATTCCAATTTGATGAGTGATCGTGTGTTAACTGTCGATGATAGGTCAAACTTACAGGCATACCCAAACGAGCAGAAGACTTGTTCAGACGAGCCATGTTCATATCAGGACGGAAAAGTCTGACATGACCTTCAGCATCCTTATAGGCCTTCATACCTTCGAAGCACTATACAATATGTCCGCATCAATAGACTGACAAAGATCACAAGAAGACTCATAAAAAGTACCTGGAAACCGTAATGAAGACATATAGCACTGGGATCTAATTCAAGCTTGCCATAAGGCTTGATACTAGGAGCGGCCCATCCATTTTGAGCTGTCCATTCAATGGAGATCATATGGTCGGTGAAGTGCTTACCAAAGACCAATTCACTTTCAGGGATCAAAGGCTTTAATTGCTTGTTGGTTTGGATTTCAAGCTTTTGAGCATCGAAAGTTTCAAAGGCGGTTCCAGTCATGTTGTTGATTTTAGCTGAATAAAGAGTTTGGCAATCAAAAAGGAAGAAATTGTGAGAAATAGGTAATTCAATTCATTTTATATGTGTGCCACTGAAAAAAAAATGAGAGCTATCAAAAAACGGGTCCGAATTTCGGAAGGCCAATGAATCCACAAAGATAATGAAATGTGTTGCTTGGATTATGCCGAATTTATATTACATTTGGCCCATGAATTGTAGCGAGCCAAGTGAGAATGCTTATATGAGCACTGTATATGCTGGAGTGCTCCAAAATCCCTTGATTCAATATTCAAATGCTCGCAATGCCTCTCAATTGACATTCTGGCTAAAAGTAAATGTCGTCGTATCTTAAAAAGTGCCTTCCGATATTTTCTCGACGATTGAAGCAGCGAATTTATCATGAACGAGTGATAACCGATAAAGAGATTCCATAGAGGGCATGACGCCAATCTAGTGTGATGTTAAAAATGATTTGTATATTACCTTGAGATGGTTTTACCTGCCCCTTTTTGATAGAACTCTGGGCACACAATTTGCCATTTAAGCTTTCTAAAAATGGAAAGTCTCATTGGAGTTATTTCTTTGGTAAGATAATGATTAAAATAGCCATTGAGAAATAAAAGCATAGGATCCATTAACTTGCACTGGTATGAAAGTTTTGGTAGTCTAAGCAATTGTATTTAGCCTAGATTAGATCCAGTGAATCTTTTGATGTTGCATTATGTTCATCTAAATTCTACAAACACAATCTTACAAGCAAATGTATGAAGCACAACCAAATTTGACAGCTTTTAAGCATTCATAGCTTGACATATAGACCTTTCTGAGCCACCAGAATAACGTCAAACAATTGTACTCGAGTAGCAGTAACTTCCTGACACCTTTGCTCAACTTTTTGAACAAAAAAAAAAAAAAAACATGGCCAAACATCGACCAAAAAGCATGAGGGGTACCTCTGGTTTTCATCGAAAATCAAGCAATCGCGTTTTTCACCTTGAAAACGAAGAATTTTGCTATGGTATATATCAAATCAAAATGTTTCTCTCGATCCAAAGCAACCTCTGAAACCCACTTTTATGAGGTTGTCATATACAGAATTTTGACATTTTGGCCAAAAAACTTATTTCATATTTTTTGGAATTGCTCATTAGGTTCTGTCAAAACATTTATTTTGCTTGGCATCATTGAAAGTACCTTGAAAGGTACTCCAAGAGTGTATTAAGAAGCATCGGATGATTATCACAGTTTATATAGTCGAATATCACAAAACAGTTCGATCAAGTCGAAAAAAAAACAAAATCTGTCCAATCTTGAACAGAAAAAATAAACTGAGTTTGAATTGGTTTTGGTGGCGGCCTGCTGCTGGCTGGCCTAAATGCCTTTCTGTTGATGACAATGATGATTGCGATGCTGACTAAATAGGGGAAATAAGGTTGAAAGGACATTTGCTAAGCGCAAATACTTTTTTGGGAAACTTTGCCTCATGAAGATGTCTTTTGCAATGACAGTATCTCAAAAAAGTTGTAGATTTTACGTAAGTCTTGTATTTACTTATGGCCAGCTTCATGTCGCCATCTTATTATGAGCATCAGCAGCAGCGAATAATATGACAATTCTATTATCAAAAAATGGAGAATGTGATGTACAAATGCTACATAAAAATTGAATTTTCTTTCATAATGTCCCAATAATAGACTTCGTTTGATATCAGTAGTGTAAGCAAGAAGGATGCTGAGGAAGATACCTCCTCTACTCCTCCTGGTTCTGATATAACCTTTTTTTTTACTAACTAATAATTGGTTGTATAAAATCTACTTGATATACCAAAATGTTATAATATCTGACTTATAATGTCTTCGGTGAGAGCCCGCAGGACGACGCCGACATCGAGCATAGCGAGATGGATCGGCTAGAACTCAAATACTATGAAAAAAGCAATCAGAAGCATATAAAATTAATTTATAAACATGCTCATGCGATCCTAAATGAAAAAAAAAAAAGAACGACAAACCTGAAATCATACCAACGAGGATGTTCACATCTGAATCAATCCTCAAATAAGATTGCTGGAGCTAACTGTTGGTAAAAAATAGGCACATTCAGAATCTGCCTGCTATTAACGAGATTGCAGCCATCATTCCTAATATATATTCAAATACAGGTTGTAAAGATATTCTTATCACATACCAAAATAGCCCTTCAGCCAGTGGCAATCATTTCTTTTAAACGAATCAGCGAAACGCATATGATACTGCCTACATACCATGTTGAATGCTGCAAATCATGATGAGCAAGTTGGAGTTACATATATTTTGGTAGCAAGCCAGGCTGGCTGGCGTTTTCAGATATATAAATATCCAAGAGGATCACAAGAAAGTATTCAGGCCAAGCAATTGTCCTTTCAAATTCTTGATCCCTATTTAATCAGCATCGCAATCATCATTGTCATCAACATAAAGGCATTTAGGCCAGCCAGCAGCAGGCCGCCACCAAAACCAATTCAAACTCAGTTTATTTTTTCTGTTCAAGATTGGACAGATTTTGTTTTTTTTTCGACTTGATCGAACTGTTTTGTGATATTCGACTATATAAACTGTGATAATCATCCGATGCTTCTTAATACACTCTTGGAGTACCTTTCAAGGTACTTTCAATGATGCCAAGCAAAATAAATGTTTTGACAGAACCTAATGAGCAATTCCAAAAAATATGAAATAAGTTTTTTGGCCAAAATGTCAAAATTCTGTATATGGCAACCTCATAAAAGTGGGTTTCAGAGGTTGCTTTGGATCGAGAGAAACATTTTGATTTGATATATACCATAGCAAAATTCTCCGTTTTCAAGGTGAAAAACGCGATCGCTTGATTTTCGATGAAAACCATGAGGTACCCCTCATGCTTTTTGGTCGATGTTTGGCCATGTTTTTTTTTTTGTTCAAAAAGTTGAGCAAAAGTGTCAGGAAGTTACTGCTACTCGAGTACAATTGTTTGACGTTATTCTGGTGGCTCAGAAAGGTCTATATGTCAAGATATGAAGGCTTGAAAACTGTCCAATTTGGTTATGTTTTGCTTTATGGCTTTTAGTTACGCGGCATGAATCACCTCTTTAGTAGCTGAAGTCTTCTGGAAGGGCAGTTCTACAGCCTGTGTAATTTCTCATTTGAACAGGAGGCATATTGATTTCGGTAGAGCTGATTCATGCAAAATTTTGATGTGATGTGTTGCTGGTAAGCCTATCTACAATGGAAATGAAAAAACGAATTTGCTGCTGAATACTACGGTTTTGAACCTTCGCTTCGCTGCGATCAAGTCCTCATATAGATCAGTGTTACCAAGTATTGGATCTAGACGCCTGATTACCATGGCATTGCACTCTTGTTTCGCTACGGTAAACCCCCCCCCCTATAAATCAATGCTACTTAATGTTGTATTAGATGCTTAGTTGTCATAGGTTTTGCACCTTTGCTTCGCTACGGTAAAACCGTCATTAAAACCAATGCTATCAAGTGTTGGATTAGACGCCTTATTATCATGGCTTTGCACCTTTGCTTCGATATGGAAACCCTCTCTATAAACTAATGCTATCAAGTGTTGAATTAGATGCATTATTATGTTCTTGGAGATAATGAAGTCGCATCCTCCTTAGCTCTGAAATGAAAACGACAGGCGCTCTGGGTGGTCTCAACGCAGCTTTTTTTCAGTTCTTTTGATTTATTTATCAAATTTCGACATAAACCTCATTTTGGAAAATTGAAATCTTCAGGTAGAGCAACTCTACAGGTTACACAGTTTTCAGCTTGAACAGGAGGCATGACAATTCCATTTGATTTTAACAGAAGATATTTGCAAATTGTGATGCTTGATGTTCTTGTATATATAATGATTATACCTGGAATAACAACTCGCTATTCATGAAACTGTTTAATTTGAAATAGTGTAAATGTTACATACTCTAAACCTATGTCGACAAAAGTAGACTTATTCCAGTTAGTGCTCCTGAATCTCGCTGTAAGATTGTGAACACTCTATATACTGTCATGCCGCAGAAAAAAAAGAATTGGGTGACATTTTTTTTAAAAAAAAAAATGCGAGAAGAGATGGTTACCATCAGCATAGCTAAGGTCGAGAAGCCACATCTGCCATCTCTCTATCTACTAGCAGCAATCTCGGCCGAGAAGAAACCTTGGCACTCTTGTCTGCATGATTCCTCTTTGTTCAAAGAAATTAAATCAATCCAGAACCACGCAATGAATTATGATCTTCAAGGAACCAGCAACATGGTCTTGATTGGCTTCAGCAATCAAATTTCCTTGGACAATCGATGAATGTTGCATGCTCCTCATTGTAAGTCAGACACACAAAAGTCATCAAGATTGGCAATGCCAGCATTGATATTTAAGTAATTCTCACGAATTGGTACTTTAACTCGTCTTATCATCTACTATTTCGCAGATACACCCGATCTGCTGGTTTTCCTGACGTTATAGACGTCAGTATGGCAAATTAAGATACCAGCTTTGTACTGTAAATCATTGTAGGTAAATCACATTACCCTAGTTCGCTATCAAACTTAGTTATTCAATCTGAAGAACTCATCAATGCATTTATAGCGTCCTTCCTAATGGTAATAACGAGCATTGAAAGTACAGAGGTATGCTTGATTTGATTGGAATTGCATCTAAAGCCTACTGATGCTGCATTTCATCAGCATTCACGTCGAACCAACGTTTTGCTACACCTCCACATCTGATTAGCACACACAATCACCAGATGCCGAGAATGGCATACATAATGGAAGTGACACTAGACAAATCAATGCAAGCTGAAAGGAATAAACTGCTTAAATTTAGCGCATGCTGAAACCAAACAAGCAGGCAGATTTCACTGGTTGCTTCTGGAAACAATCGCACTAGCACTAAAAAAAAAAAAAAAGTGTGGTGTATCTTGGAGTGAGGAACATGTCATCTCAGACCTAAAAATATAGGGAGGAACGAGCATCGAATCCACCAAAGAGGAGGTTGTGTTGCAATAAAAGAGATTGGTTCACTATATTTTTTTTTTTTTCATCTCGTTTTTCTTCTTTTCTCTCTCCCTCTCTCAACACCTTTTCGATTCGATTATCATAACACCAAAGCAACAGTATGGCATCTTATCAACAACAAGAAATGGCTCGAGGTATATTCGACAAACAGACAGATGGCAATAGAAGATCTTACTAACATACTGATACGCAGGTCGCAAGCGTCGCAATTCTGAAGATGAAGAGATGGCAGATGCTTCAGCGATCAAGCCCACAGCTGCAGCAGCACCTCGCCGTTCCTTCAAGTGCGTGAAACTCTCAGAGAACAGCAAAAGAAATCCCAAGAGATCTACCAGAGGGGCTCTGCTAGGTAACCATTTAGTTTACGCAGTTATACAAAACAAACACTAATAAAAAAAACTCCCTGTTTTATTTAGACACATTGGAGAAGGATGCATTAATTAATATTATCAATTCGTTGTTGACGACACAGCCTCAAGTTCGACAAGATATCATCAACAATATTCCTGCACCCACCATTTTATCCACAATGAATGTCTTGATTGATATGGAACGCAAGTTTCATAATAGTTTTCCATTCAACAAGAACGGACCTGGAAGAGACGACTACACATTTTCCAGAGTGCGAGATGGATTATCCGATCTGATTGTGAGTATTTTGTGTGTGCTTGCGTATACCATCTTGTGTACTGACGGACTGCTGTATATGTAGGACACTATCACTCAATATGCCAATCACTTTACATCTGCCCAAGTGTTTCCAACTACTTGCTTCGCCTTTCTTGATCATGCAACTCAAATGGCGCATCGGTTGCCAACATGGGACAATGAAGGTACGAGATTGCTCATCAACGTGTTGATAGTGTGCAGCCGTATTTACCTGGTAAATTCTTCTAGATAACAACAAATTGAAAAGAGACCTATATCAAGATTTAAATGATTTCTGGAAGCTTGCTATCCAAACCACATCTTCAAACTTACGTCAAGGAGAATGCTATAGCTCTGAGTCTGTTAGTGATTGGGCTAGAAGGTAATAACAATAATACGCTGATACGGTAGACATGCATTACTTATGCTTTATGTTTATAGTCTTGCTCAACACAATAGCTTCACGCACGGCTATTTCACTGAAGCAGTACATGATTTCACTCGACACTTGGGATACATGATTGGATTGCCTGCTGCAAGCAATGAAATGGCAGAGGCCGCCAATGTAGCATCAGCAACGCCCATCTGTCATCTTGCCCCATTAGAATCTACCTTGACTTCTGCTTCTGTTGTTGGCGCCAGAAGATAACGCACGATAAACCCACATCTAAACCTTCATATTCCCCCCCTTCCCCTCTTTCTCAAGCACGCACACACACACACACATATATATATTCATACACACTATTACTATTATCAAACCCATTCACAGACATACACACACACACACACACACATTACATATACACACACATTTTGATTAAACTGTTCGAAAATATATAGTTTCTTGGCACACAACATATGGATCTGTAGAGTGTGGCTTTTTGAACCCAAATCAACATTATAAATTGAGATTTTTCTTTTTCTGTTGGGTCCCTTTCTCTTTTTCCTATTAACCACAAATAATGTCAGCCAGTCCATCACCACCCAGCTCACCTCAATCATCCACCAGTGCATCGAGAAGAAAGCCGTTGCGTCCACCTTCCGTGGTTGTTGAGACGTTGGGTGCAACCACTTCAGAGACGAAAGAAGGTTTGCGCAAGATCAATAATTACCTGCTTAAGAAGGAAATTGGCAGAGGCGCCTTTGGTACAGTACATCTCGGCATTGATGAAAATACAAATACAGAATACGCCATCAAAGAATTTAGTAAATCAAGACTGAGAAAAAAAGAGCAGATGGACCTATTCCGTAGTGGAGGTCCCCGTGGAAGAGGTCGTGGAAGAATGATGGGTCTAGGCGTAAACAGAAGTGCTCCTGCCTCTACCGCCTCATCCAACCCTTTGGATCTAGTACGTGGAGAACTGGCTGTGTTGAAAAAATTGAATCATCCTCATATCGTCCGGTTGTATGAAGTCCTGGATGATCCATCAGGAGACTCGCTTTATATGGGTAATAGGCTAAATCTCTCTTGGATCTAATTTTTGCTCATTGTACTTTCTCTTTTGCGACTAGTGTTTGATATGATGCATAATGGAGTCTTAATGGATATTGAACTGGATCAAGTGGCTCCACCTTATACCGACGACATGGCAAGAAGATACTTCAAGGAAATGATGCTGGGTATTGAGTACTGTAAGTCTGATCTCATCACAGTAGGGCGTAGGTTACTCAACAGCTCTGTCGATATATAGTACATGCAAATGGTATTGTACATAGAGATATCAAACCCGATAATTTATTGCTATCCAAGGACAATGTGTTGAAAATTGTTGATTTCGGTGTGTCTGAGATTTTTGTAAAGGGAAATGACAAACTCAAGAAATCTGCGGGTAGCCCAGCTTTCATGGCCCCTGAATTATGTATCGCTAAGCATGGTGAAGTGTCAGGAAAAGCAACTGATATCTGGTCCATGGGCGTGACATTGTACTGTATGATCTATGGTAAGACACCCTTCGTGAGTGGCAATTTGCTGGAACTGTACGAAATGATCAAGGACGCACCGTAAAGTATTTGCTGGCAAAACTGTCAAACCTACCTATTCATTTGTATCCATACTCTAGAATCGAATACGGCGATGATTTGAGCGACAACTTGCTCGACCTGTTTCATCGCATTTTAGACAAGAATCCAGATACTCGTATCACCATGAGAGAACTTCGAGAACATCCATGGATCACCAATGACGGCACTGAAACTATGGTGTCCGAAGAAGACAATTGTGATATTGTATCTGAACCTACCGAAGAAGAAATGAATAACGCAATCAAGAGCATTGCCAGTATATTTGCAGTGGTAAGGTTTTGTCCATCGTTCTAGTTGCTTATCATTGGACTCAACATGTGCAATTTTAGATGAAGGCAGTAACCAAGTTCAAGCGTCATTCGCGTTCATTATCCCAGAAATCTTTGAATCAAATGATGGAGGATGTGAAAAAGGAAGATGAGCTCGCTGAAGCTACAAAAAATCTGCAAATTTGAGGTTGATGTATATCGCATGCTGTGAAAAAAAAAACCCCCCCGAGTTTAGAGTCAATTGGGCCAAGTTGAGCCTGCACTCACGGCACGTTAATTCAGGTCTTTATAATAAATTGCCAAATTCAACCGCGTCTCTCCTTATTTCTTTCCGCTTTTCATTTTCACCCAAATACACTATTCATGTTGTCAGACAAAGATTTGACGCTATATGGACCTGATAAAACAACTGAAAAGGCAGTAAAAGATTGCTCTCCCTCTGCCATTAGAAAATTTGTGAAATCATGGCTGGATTCACCAGATCTACAACCGCAAAACGAAGAATGCAAATATGAGGACTATGTGGGCTTGGCAAAGGGCGAGATTCATCAAAAGTTGCAGGCTGACTGGGTAAATGGGTGGTATTACTCATGTGGTCTATCTTGTTCTAATACGCATAGTCAAATAGTCGAGTGGATTTCGTGCTATCCAAATGGCACAAATGGAATTGAAAGCAATGGCAGTGGATGAAAACCCTAGAAGAAGATGGAAAGTGTTTCGAGTCATGAAGGAAGGCAGAGGAAAATTGAATCTGGACATGGATGCAGCAGCTCTTCAGGACTCGATTGACAGATTTCTAGCTCAATCGTTCGATTGCGTAAGTTACAAAATCTACAGCATGAGATGGACGTCCTCTGACATGCCATGATAGTACTTTTACTCTATGCATGACAGAAAATCAGATTTACACTGGCTGCGTATACATGTCCTGTCTGATCTGATTGGAGTCAACCAAGTGTTAGCTCGTAAAGTGGTTTATCTGGTATATTGTCCACATACAGAGTTTGTCATGTTGTTTGGTGCAGGCGCTACATCCAACCTGGAGAGCTATATCAGAGAAGCCATTCTGCAGACATTCAATGGCGACAATCTACTCGTACAAAACATTCGAGGACAAGCAGCAAGGCATTTAGCACATGTTGTTAAAACCAGAAAGTCGCAAGGCGTCTTTGCTGAACTACGCACAAACATCAGCTATTCCAACCCACTGAATATCAGACAAAAATCAAAGCTGGCAGACGAGGAAATTCATGTGGGGAAGGGTGAAGCAACCAGACGTATTAAAGCAGTAAATCAAGAGGAAATCGATGCTCGAGTGAAATCCATCCTAGAAAACTTTGGTCAGGACGATCAGTTTGGTAGAACTGTGTTGACATTGGATGTCAAGTTACCAATGACACTGGAGGAGGGCGAGGATCTCGACAAGAATGATCAAGAGCCTATTGCGTTTGAATTGACATTGAATGGCGATAATGTGTCCAACGGGCTGAAAAGTATGATCAGTCGTGGTCAAATCAGAGCACCGGTGCCTCAATGGTTGGAGAAGATGGGAAGCACAGATACCGCCAAATTGTTCATTACTGAGAACGGGGCCAGTGAATATCCTGAGGATGATGCATATGAGAATGAAGAGGACACGGATGACGACCAAGACGAGGATCAAAGCCAACATGCGCCAGTGGTCAGAGAGATGACAAGCACTAGCAATAATCAAGCATCCGATGAAGAACTAGATGAAGAAGGTGACAAAAGTATTCTGGACTCTACAAGTCAAATGGATTTGGATTGATCCTCAAAGGAGTATACCATCGTTCCACATATCTTGTATTTATAATTTTTTTTTAAAAAAAGGAAGCTACTATATCAAATGATATTCTTCCTACTGTTGTATAATAAACCTCATTAGACTGACTGATCCAAAGCAAAGGGCAACATTTATATTTTGACATTTCAACTCGGTTAAGGACACATACACGATGGAAGTGTAGAGAACAAATACTCATTAAAAAAAAAGTATCTCTTGATCCATGCCATTTGATATATTGGCATCATCTGTGAATAGAGTAGGCTGCATTGTATAGAGTGTCCAAAGTATTGAATTGAACAGACTGGTCGCAGGGATGTTTCATGCATCGAATAGACTGATTCCCTACTCCATCTGATAGTGCTATCACCAATGTCAATAGTTGAACCATCATCTATGCCTAAACGTAATGGCCATCTCGGTATTTTCTGTAATGTGATACTTGACATAATATATATATATATATATACAGCATTTTATTCCATCAAACCACACCTCTCTATCTGTCTATTCTGAAAATTCAATCGATAAGTGAGTCTCGTCTACCATGATTTAGCTTGTTCAATTTCCTCCAGCTTTTTTGCGTGCTTGTTGACAACTTGTAAGATGTTGCTAATCTTCAGTTTATCAGAATCTAAGGCGAGCTTTTGACCATCACCTGCAAATGAGGCATGAGTACACAGCCAAGCTCTCTTTCAATGAATCAAGAAACTTACGGTAAACAACGTGGATGTGAGAGGCAGCAGCAGGATCAGATAACACATCAGTAGTAATCTTGATGGTGGGATTCACTTTACGTGCACTGTTTGTGTTGACATGGTTCAAGAACAATCTATAAACGATACATGTCAACTGCCAGGGTCATGACATGTATACGCCTGTTGAGGCTCTTTGAAACTCTACCTTGATGATTTGGATGCAGTGTTGAAAGGAGCTAATGCGACCTTAATTTCAGTGATTTGTTTCATAAACATGTTGTAATATGTACTGTATATGTGTGTAAATAATTCAAGTGAAAAAGGAGAAAGATTTTTTTTTTATATATATTTTTTTCGTTGCTTAATAGGCCCTTGTTGTGGAAAGAAAGAGAGAGCCATGTTCAGGCTCAGTGCCACATCCCGGGGACTCAAACTAAGATCTCCATATACAACAATTGAAGCCTTTGAGCGACCGTGTCGTATTGTGTAGGTCCAACCACCATTCCTCAGTCTAGTCCTAGCCTTCAAACCCCCCCCCCCCATTTGGCTCAAAAGACTTCAAACCAATTTTTTTTTTTTTTTTTACAATTCATTAAACAATTTAAAAATTCAGGGAATGTTCATTAAAATTAAGTCGCGCCTTGTGCTAAGATATATTTACAATCTAGATTTTTTTTTTTTTTTTTTTTTTTTTTTTTTTAGTTGTCATAGGCAAGGATAGTGCCCAACCACTTCTCAACAGTCTCGACATCCATATTCTTACGAGCAGCATAGTCTTGGATTTGATCCTTCTCGATCTTACCCACAGCAAAGTATTTACTCTGTTCATGACCAAAGAACAGGCCACTGACACTAGCGGGAGGATCCATAGCAAGAGATTCAGTCAAAGTAATGCCCGTCTTCTCAGCAATCTGACCCAAATCCCACATGGTCTTCTTTTCAGTGTGATCAGGCTGAGAGGGATAACCAGGAGCAGGACGAATACCTTGATAACGAACAGCAAAGAGGTCAGCAGCTGATAAACTTTCGTCAGAGGCATAGCCCCAATCCTTTCTACGGACTTCTTCGTGGAGTGCTTCAGCAAATGCCTCAGCTAAACGATCTGCAATAGCCTTTGCCATGATACTGTTATAATCATCGCCATCAGCTTCGTATTGCGCGACCAATTCCTCACAACCAAAGCCAGTACTGACAGCAAACATGCCAAGGTAATCAGGAACACCAGATTCCTTGGGTGACACGAAATCAGACAAGCAGTAGTAAGGCTCATCGGTCTCCTTCTCCACTTGTTGACGAAGACCATAGTAAGTAGCAGCTACTTGTTCGCAAGACGCATCAGTGTAAATCTCGATATCATCGCCAACCGAATGAGCAGGGTAGAAGCCAACAATACCGCGAGCTGTAAGCAGCTTCTTGGAGATAATCATGTCCAGCATTTCCTTAGCGTCGTTGTAGAGTCGCTTGGCCTCTTCACCCACATGTTCATCATCGAAAATCTTGGGGAAGCCTCTGTTGGGATAGCGGCCACGCAGTTGGAAGACTTGGAAGAAGGGGTTCCAGTCAATGTGCTCAACAAGCTTTTCGAGAGGATAATTGTCATACACCTTCTCACCCAAGAAGGTAGGCTTAGCGGGAGGAGGGTTTTGGATCCAGTCAATGACCATCTTCTTGTCTCTGGCAGCTTGCAATGTCAAGAGATGGCGTTCTTCGAGACCTTCGTAGTATTCTTCACGCATTTCGTCGTATTCATCGCGAATGTCTTCGGCAAACTCTTCCTTCATGTTGTCATCCAACAGACTAGCGACTACAGGGACACTACGAGAAGCATCCAAGACGTAGATAACAGGAGCAGAATACTGAGGAGCAATCTTGACAGCTGTGTGCATCTTGGAGGTAGTAGCACCACCAATGAGAATGGGAATCTTGAGACCAGCCTTTTGGCATTCCTTTGCCACAATGACCATTTCTTCCAAAGAGGGAGTAATCAGGCCAGAAAGACCAATGACATCGGCCTTTTCCTCAATGGCCGTTTTGATAATCTTATCACAAGGCACCATGACACCCATATCAATGACTCTGTAGTTGTTACAACCTAATACGACACCACAAATATTCTTGCCGATATCGTGGACATCACCCTTGACAGTGGCCATCACAATGGTACCATTACCCTTGATTTCGGTTTCACCAGAGAGCAGCATGTCAGCCTCCTTTTCGATCTTGATGAATTCGACCAAATGAGCAACAGCCTTCTTCATGACACGAGCAGAACGAATGACTTGAGGCAAGAACATCTTGCCCTTACCAAACAAATCACCAACGACATTCATACCAGCCATCAAAGGACCTTCAATCACGTTGAGCGAACGAGGGTATTTCTCCTTGTCGAGACGTGCTTCTTCAGTGTCTTCCACAATGTATTTCATGATACCCTTCACAAGAGCATGGCTGATACGTTCAGTGACGGGCCAGGCTCTCCACTCTTCCAAATCTTCGTCCTTCTTGGCGTCTTTGGAATGAGCCTTTGCATAGTCCAACAGCTTCTCAGTGACTTCGGGATCGCGATTCCACACAGCATCCTCGCAAAGTTGCAGCAGATCCTTGGGAATATCATCGTAGACGGTCAAGAAACCCGCATTGACAATACCCATATCCATGCCGACCTTGGTAGTGTGATACAAAAAGACAGAGTGCATGGCTTCACGCACTTTGTCCATACCACGAAAAGCAAACGACAAGTTGGACACACCACCACTGATCTTGGCACCGGGGAGCGTCTCCTTGATACCCTTACAAGCATTGATAAACTCGACAGCGTAATTGTTGTGCTCCTCCATACCGGTAGCAATGGTCAAGATGTTGGGGTCAAAGATGATATCATAGGGGTTGAAGCCCACCTTGTCCACCAGGATGTTATAAGAGCGAGTACATATTTCAATCTTGCGATCTGCTTCAGCAGCTTGGCCCACTTCATCAAAGGCCATGACAACCACGGCAGCGCCAAATCGCTTGATGATCTTGGCCTTCTTGATAAACTCCTCTTCACCTTCCTTGAGCGAAATGGAGTTGACGATACATTTACCTTGGGCACAACGAAGACCGGCTTCAATGACAGCAAAGTTGGATGAATCCACCATCAATGGCACACGAGAACAATCGGGATCAGACGCCAGCATGTTGAGAAATTTGGTCATGGCAGCTTTACCGTCCAGCAAGCCTTCATCAAAATTGACATCCACCACTTGAGCACCGTTTTCTACTTGAGATCTGGCAATGGCTAGGGCTTCTTCGAATTCACCCTTCAAAATATGTCTACAAAACTTTCTGGAACCAGCGACATTACAACGCTCACCCACATTGACAAAACCAGTAGTTTCGTCCACACGAAGCACTTCAAGACCGGATAGCAACATGACATTGGATTTGTCTGCTGGCTTGGGACGAGGCTTGTATTTTCTACAGACATCAGCGACAGCCTGAACATTGGATAAGACTATTAGATCATATTGTGCGACATTGCGTTTTGTTTGTTTTACCTTGATGTGATCTGGGGTGGTACCACAACAACCACCCACAATGGTTACTAGACCTTCCTTTGCAAAGGGTTCCACATTAATAGCCATGGCCTCGGGACTCTCATCGTATTCACCCATAGCATTAGGCAGACCCTACATTTCTCCAGTGTCAGCGCTCTGTCGTTTTTTTTTTTAATCTACTCCTGCTATCCACACTTACAGCATTGGGATAACAAATAATGTGAGCATCGGTGAATCGACTGATATTCTGCACAAAAGGCTTCATTTGTTCAGCACCCAAAGCACAATTCAAACCAAAGGCCACAGGCTTGGCATGGTTGAGAGAGGTGACAAATGCCTCGCCAGTTTGACCTGAAAGTGTACGACCACTCTGATCCACAATGGTACCTGAGATGAAGATGGGGACCTTGGGGCGCCTATTCAAATAAACAAGATGTCAGGGTGCAGAACCGAGAAATGCAAGACAGCTCACCTACTTGTCGTCTTCAAACACTTGATCAATGGCAAACAAAGCAGCCTTTGCATTCAATGTATCGAAAATAGTCTCCACCAACAAAATATCGGCACCACCATCCATCAAACCACGCACTTGCTCTGAATAAGCAGTGACAAGTTCATCAAATGTAACGTTTCTAAAAGCAGGATTTTCGACGGAAGGAGAAATAGAACAAGTACGATTGGTAGGACCAATAGCACCACATACAAAGCGACGAATACCTGTTTCTCTGGTAACCTAATTGGACAGAGATGAGTCAATAGAAATCAAACAAGTTTTTTTTTTTTTTTTTTTTTTTTTTTTTGCCATACATCTTCACAAGCTCTTTTAGCCAAGGCAGCACCTTCCTTATTGAGACGATAAGCATAGTCTTCTAAGGCGTAATCCAATTGAGCGATTGAAGTAGAACTGAAGGTATTGGTTTCAATCATATCAGCACCAGCTTCCAGGTATTGGCGATGGATGCCATAAATGGCATCGGGCAAGGTGAGGGTCAATAGATCGTTGTTACCCCTCAAATCTTTGGACCAGGTCAAGAATTCCTCGCCTACAGATGTCCAATGTAAGCACAATGCGGCTCTCGTTGCGATCAAGCCATGACCTTACCTCTGAAATGGGATTCCTCCAACTTGAGTCTCTGCACCATGGTACCCATAGCACCATCAAGGAACATGATACGCTCCTTCAATGTTTTCTCAAGGTATTCAAAGGTATCTAACATGGTTGATTTAGCTCCCTCATCCAGCAACCGAGTAGCCAGTAAAATTACCCATTTTCTAGTGTTTTCTTTCTTGTAACAATGAAATGGAAAAAGAGACAGAAGTGCTAGTGTAGATGAAAGGGGATTAAATGTTGGGAAAAAAAAAAAGAGATGGCCCTACTCTCATTGTCAAATAAAACTTCAAAATTTGAAATCCCTCTCGTGAAATCGAGATGGTTTGCATTACACAAGGCTTCCCGATTAATGCCATATCTGGAGGATTGTCAACAGTCTTTGATCTGGATAATGACTCTAATGTGAAGCTGCTTTTGGGCGTGTATAGTACTTTGGCAGGATATACATGGCTGGCTAACTGCATTGACAGCACGTCTTGCACTTGAACACCGCTTTGATGTAGCAATGCCAATCACGGATGGATGCATCGTTCTAGATTATTGATGGCTTATGTCTCTTGGTTGAGCTCATACACGCCGCAACCAATATACATCAATCAAGCTCCCTTGAAAGCCCCACGAACATGATAAATATTACTACAATGAGCCTGCTTTTATTTTCAACATTTGATGCATGTTCAACGTTTGCTTATACTTCTATCTACTTCAGCTGCACCATGCTCTGCTCGCTCACTCGCCTTGGATTGCATCTCTGAGTCACCGGCAACATGTCCTATGGCATAATTGACATAGCCCATCAACCGCTCGTACTCTCCATGCACTCTGCTAGCTTCTCCTTGATTTAATCTATCTTCTGCCTCCCTGCGCTCCCTTTCTGCGTCTTGTTCTGTTTTTCTTCCCGATGTTTGCCAACTCTCTAAACCTGTAAGCGATCCAATGGCGGATTGAAGCTGTCCAGCCTTTTTCCAAATGGAGCTCTTTAGTTTGACTACTTCAGGATCTGTCGTGTTGGACGAAATGGGGCTGTTAAAGGCGGTGGTAGCGTTTTCATTGTTCAATGGGATCGTATCTTGCTCTGTTGACAGTGCTGGTTGGATGGGATTTCCTGCATACGCAAATGGGTTACTTAGATCGGGTGTGTTGGGCTGCTGTGTTGTGATATCGGATGGGGTGAGCAAGGGTGTGTCGGTCTTTGCAGTTGGTAGTTCTGGCATGGTCTTCTTGGTAATGTTGATTATGAGAGAAAGAAGTGAACTAAAAAAAATCGAACGTAATCAAGACTTCCCTTACATCATGCATTATTTTAATTTAGGTTGGCCGGTGACTCGATATGGTGTCTTGAAGTCAGCCACAATTAGATGCTGCATAACTATGGCCTGTATACTTCACGAAGCCAACATGCAATGCTTTCAACCATGGCTCATACTATATTGTTGAGCAATCTAGCATATCCAGAGATTGGGAATCAATCTTGTATAGATACTTCAGTTCTGAAACCATTTATCCAGGTTTCTTCTGCATACATGGTTTGACATAGAGAGAGGCACAGTGTCTTTAAGGATCTGGCGATACATAGCGTGGTAACAAAGACATGCCAAGTAAAGCCAAGCTCGACTTTTTCCTGTTGAAAAGAAAAAGGCGGCGAGAAAGGACAAGGGAGATACAATTTACTCGTTTCAAACGGCTGCATCATTCTTTATTAATCATGATGATTTATCGCAACATGTATTTGATGACCTTTCAAAAATTTCCCAACATTGGCAATTGACACACTCTTCTCTTTTCTTACATCATGTTGACCATAGACACTTTTCCAGATGAAATCATCATTCAGATACTCTTACAGCCTACAATGGACCTACGCACATTGATAATATTGATGACTGTGTCCAGTAAACTGCGTCGTTTAGCGATCCATGCCTTGACCGTGTATCGTTTGCCACGCCTCCAGCTTCTATTGACTGTGGAACAAGAAGGCAAATCTCGTATTACAACAAGCTACAAGTTCAGTCTTTTCCACACTACATCTCTGACTGTATTACTGACAGCGCATCATCCAAAGCCAAGACGCTATTACACAAGCAAAGCGTGTCCAGCTGTACGATCCATGGCGCTGAATACGATCAACACTGCAACATCATCCGCGCCAGGCACGTACTATCCTCAAGGTGCAAGGAAACTCTCTGCGCAAAAGGAAGGCTTTCATATCTTGCAAGCATCCTCGTGGCAACTTGCTTACCAAATCACAAACATCCAAAAACCTGAATACTACTTGACACCAGTCAGCATCGCTATTAAATTCAGCCATCTAGTCACTTTGGAATCCGTTAATCGCCCTGTAGATCATCATCATCATCATCATCGTATCTCGTCTTTTATAAAGCTGAATAAAATGAAAAAATGGGCTGCTGGCCGTTTTTCGACGTAAACTATCCATTCACTTGGTTTTTTTTTATTGACTTTGCCGTCGTTTATAATGCCTCTTTAAACTTCCATTCTCCCGTCTCCACCAGTTGCTGGTCAGCAAATGGTCTTCTTATCGAGCTCAATCGCTGCTAAAGTGTATGATTTCTGCTGCGGATCCAGAACATACATGTTGTCTTTGCTCTGCCCGTGTTAAAGATAGATTGGGGACAGCAATGTCATATCTGTCAGATAGCACATTTGTTTGCGTCAAGTCAAGCACTGTTCAATGCTCAATAAGCGCGTCTATACAACCAATACAAAGATGTTCTTTACCTGGCTCTTGTACTTGTAGTTTGTGCAATAATTGGTTATCTTGGATGCACCTACCAGTACCCAAGCCGATCGGCTGATGGGTATGCGGCAAACTGAATTTGGCTTGTAATGGCTGTATAAAGCAAGTACAGAAAGAGCATGGAAGCTCCACTGATTACTGCCAACCGTTTTCCCAATCTCAACTGCCTAGACATGATTGCTTAAGAAGAAGGCAATGCATCAAAAATGTACATGTTGCTTATCTCATCTTTCACGATTGTATATATGGTATGTATCTGCGATCGTAGACTGAAACCTTCGGGGTAACTCCCTTATCATTTATTGCATGTGCGTCATTGTTCTAGAAGCATACACCTGCAATGTATTTCCTTGATATGAATCAGTTGGATGATGGCTTATTGAATTCACAGGTGCTTGTATTACGGAAGTAAGACTGGAGTTGGCATTTAACTCTGTAATATATGCTTCGTTGTAGCATCGCCGGATATAGCGACCAGGTACATATCTGGCTCTATTGCAATACTCCACGTCTACCTCGATGGCAGCAATTCAAATATGAGCCTACAGAATATTTGTATTGCTTCCAAATACGCAAACATACACAAAAACTGCAAAATTTGGATGCATTCGAGTCGCGTTTTCTCGTGTTAAAAGCCGTTTTAGGCCGTCAGAATAGCACCAAACAGTTGCTTTCATTCAGCAATTACTTACTGATACCTTTGCTCAACTTTGTTGGGATCGGCAAAAATTGGCCAAAAATCGACCAAAAACCATGAATGATACCTCGTGATTTTCGTCGAAAATCAAACGATCGCGTTTTTGACCTCCAAAATGAAGACTTTTACTATGGTATGTATTACATCAAAATGTTGCTATCGATCCAAAGCAACCCTTGAAACGTCGTTTGTGTAACTTTTATATGTAAGTTTTTGACATTTTTGCCAAAAACCTCATTTCGTATTTTCAAATTTTGCTCAATAAGCTATTTCAAAATATCTGTCTTACTTGGCACCATTAGATGCGCCTTGAAAAGCACTTTAAGAAAGCTTAAGGATGCATTAGATTACCATTGCAATTTATATAGTCGAATGTAGCAAAATAGATTAATCGAGTCGAAAACAATCAAATCTGGCCAATATTAAGCAGACATTACATCGGAGATTAAATAAATTCTTGAATGCTGCTGGCAAGGAGAATAATCTTGTTTTTGAAGCGCATAGGGAAGAAATTGCAAACTAAGAAAGTCCCATAGCTTAGCCTTAGTATTTATTGGATCACAAAATCAAACCCGAGTCGCTCGGAGCATATTTATTTTAAACAGGGTACTTCAAAAAGGACCAAGATCGGCACATTCTGTTGATGGTCTGTAGCTTTTGAATGATGGATAGCTTGGGGTTTTCAAGATCACGCAAATCTTCAATAAATAAATCTCGCATAGAGTTTCGAGAGGGAAGATAGACGGCATAAGATCGTAGTAGATGCACTTCGCACAACAATATTCCTTGCGTTTCGCAATCCAATTCATTTTCTTTGCTGTAAGACAGCGTCAATAATCTTTCTAAGCGTCTATTATTGCATTCAAGGGAGGATAAGCCTAACGGTGTCTCTTGCGATACATTTTCCTAAAATACCTTATGGCTTGTCGCAAAGGAAGCCCCGTTTTTCCGATTCTTTGCCCAGTGCGTTGATCATAGCACCTTCTAAGCCATGCCACTGCTGCCCATGTCAGTAGCATTGAAGGAGCCACGGCTGAAGAAAGATGTTAGAGCGCTATAGAGAAATCATCTGTAGCAGCAACTTACCCAAGAATGCAAAATTCAATTCATTCGATTTCAATAGCTTGTCTAATGCAGCCATAGCTAGATCCACATCCACTTTGGTCTTTTGCACTTGGATCAAAAGTGTCTGTATGAGATCACCTATGGTTTGATGTATCAGCGTCGTTTGGAGTATCAGTGTGCCAATGGATATATACCTTTCACTGCATTCTTTAACGGGTGCTTGATTTCCTCTTCGTACGCCTTTAAGATCATAGACATATCGCCTTCTCGTACTCGGCTTATCAAACCTCCAACTTGATCTTCTGGCAATTGATAATGGTCGCGAGCGAATTCAGCCACCATTCTCTCTAAAGACTACCAGTATACACGATGGTGTTAGCTAGTCATCTATGAAATCAGCGCAATCCTACTTACGTCTAGATCACTACGAAGCCCCTCTTTTCCCAGCACGCTCAACCTCTCATCTTTCAATCGAATCGTATCCCAGACTTGCAACATCGGTTCCCAAATCCAATTGACAGCAAAGTCCCGGGCAGTAGTGCCAATTTCCCTTGACCATGCTATAATATCTTCTTGATGAGCTGTCAGTAGTTGCACTGCCATATTACCAGCAACACAACCCAGAATCCCGGGAATCCAGTATTTAGTGATGAAAGAGGGAGGTCCATTCGCATTCTTGATATTGTTTATCTGCAGTTGGCATTGATCCCAACCCTGTATGATGTCCAACAAGCCCTTCGCAACATCGAGTGTGGTGCCCTTTGAAGCCTGAGCCTGCATTACTTGATTGACATCAAACTGATCAAATCCCAATGTACTCTTCATCATAGTGATGCACTGCGCAGATTGCATCGACACATCTTTTGTGGCTGTAAAAGGAGCAAGTTTCATCATCAAGCCTAATTTCGATGCTTGCAGCTTCTTGTAGTGCTCTAGCTGCTGCAATTTTTGACGTATCTCTTCATGAATCAGCTGGGTAAATTTGTTTTGCTTGATGCTAAAGAATCGCAATGACTTTTGCTGCTTTGGGGACATGTTTCGAAACAACTGCTCCGGCTTCAGCAGTGATTCAATGCTTGTTGTGCGCAGCATTTTGATGGTATTGATACCCACTTGGCTGATTCGTATAGGTAAAACTGTGGATGTTTTACATTAATTTTACAAGGTTACGAATCATATACACATCTGAGGACTCACTTTGCAGGGCATAGTAGGTTTCATATCGTCTGCTGCCGTAGATGCCATTCCAGTAGCTTGTAGCCTCGGAAAGCGGCAGGGTTGAATTGAGCGTGTTGCTCAGCATGTATCCATAGACGGCCACCGTGCATTTCGCAACAAACAGCCATGCCAAATCCCCTTGTATTGGGTGCTCCATGTACAATTTTAGATACTTTTCCACAACGGAAATATCTGGTACAGTTGTCAACAGGTCGATTTCTTGACTGATGCATGTCAGAAAGAGTTGCTGGTCGTTCATGTCCAAAGCGGCCATTGGATCATGGCTGCTCTCCACATTGCTGCTTGTGTTGACGTTCTGAAAGAGATCAGACAGCACATGATTAAGCTGCACAATTTGCTCGTGAATGAAATCTGACATCTTGACAGGGTGAAGAGGGAAGTGTGGATTTAATCGGATACTCAAATGAAATATTGTGGTAAATACTTAGTTTTTTGGACCTTTACAAAAAAAATTTCGGACGTTCTCTTTTTTTTTTTTTCTGGACGATTTCCATTTATAATTAAACTTGGTGAATCCAAAGTCTATATATGAGCAATAGAGTACGATCATAGAAAACATAGACTTATCACTTTTATGTCATGTCATAATCCACTTCTGTGGTTTTTTTTCATTTTTCATTTTTGATGATAGAGTAGCTCCCGATGAAGGAAATAAATCAAAAGAAAAGAGTTCTTTTTTTTTTCCCCTGTATTTTATCTTTTCAACCGTGGCTTATTAGCAACTGCAGCAATTAAAAACAGGTGATGGATGTATGTTCAAATAAGTCTTTTCTTGTTCTTGTAATATCGAACATTTTTTATAAGCTACAAATTATAATCCTTTTATTCTTTGTGCTTAACAGTACACTTCAAAAATGAGGCACAAGCTGCAAGTTTTTTTTTATTATATGCTGTTCAATAACGCACAATCTGTCGCACTCTTGAAACAATTACTGTACGACCTACCATGTATAATTGCAAACCTGTAACTTATGTAACTTATGATTCATATGAAGGATAAAGAAATACAATCTCACTTTTTGTCATATTCATAGTGCTTTAACGGACTACAAAATATCTTGAGTGGCTCTTCTTTGCTGCTGTAAGCCAGTACAATCAGCGCCAAAGGAACAGCCTCTCCAAGAGCAGCCACCAACCCAAGAGCAACCACGGAATGATTTACGCTTACACGTTCTTAATTACATAGGAAAAGGCCATGGATGGCTCATTTAAAACGGGCAAGACAAGAAAATGATAATGATATACTGGCCATCCGATTGAAATTAGATGGGCTAGTTGCAAAACGCAAAAAGATGGATGATTTGATAGGCAGTAATTAGTTGCTTCAAATATTATTTGCTTGAAACAAAGAACATGAGTCAAGCATTCTCATACTAGCCAATTTATCTCACTACGCTCGATGTCGGCGTCGCTCTGCGGGCTCTCACCGAAGATATTATAACATTTTAGTATATCAAGTAAATTTTAAACAGACAACTATTAGTAAAAGAAAGATTATATCATAGCCTGGAGGAGGAGGAGAGGAGGTATCTCCCTCAGCACCCTGTTTACTTACACTGATATCAAACGAAGCGTATTAGTGAGACGCTGTGAAAGAAAATTCAGCATTTGTAAACCACAATCTCCATTTCTTGATAGTAGAATTGCCATATCATTCACTGCTGCTGATGCGCTAAATAAGATGGCGACATAAAGCTGGTTATAAGTAAATACAGGATTTGCGTAAGATATACAGGGAGTTTTTTGAGACATTGCCACTGCAAAAGACACCTTTATGTGGCAAAACTCCCCAAAAAAGTATTTGTGCTAACCAATTGTATTTTCAATTTCATGATCTCCATTTAAGCAGCATCGCAATCATCATTGTCATCATCAGAAAGGCATTTGGTGGGTCAGCCAACAGCAGAGCCAAAATTGGTTCAAACCCAGATTGCTTTTTCTGCTCAAATATTGGACAAATCTCGTTCTTTTCGACTTGATTGAACTATTTTGTAAGATTCGACTATGTAAACTGTGTTGATCACCCTACGCTTCCTAATACACCCTTGAAGTACTTTTCAAGGCGCCTCTAATGGTTCTAACTGTAATAAGTGTTTTGACTAAAATTATTGAGCAATTTAATAAAATATGAAATGAGGTTTTTAGCGAAAATAGCCATATTTGGCATATGAAAACCTCATAAAAGTGGTTGCAGAGGTTGCTTTGGATCGAGAGAAACATTTTGATTTGATATATACCATAAGAAAAGCCTTCATTTTCAAGGTGAAGATCGCGATCGCTTAAATTTCGATGAAAATCATGAGGGGTGCCTCATGCTTTTTGGTCGATGTTTGGCCATGTTTTTTTAGGTCTTCAAAAAGTTGAGCAAAGGTGTCAGGAAGCTACTGCTACTCAAGTACAATTGTTTGACGTTATTCTGGTGGCTCAGAAAGATCTACATGTCAAGATATGAAGGCTTGAAGGCTGTCCAATTTGGTTATGTTTTGCTTTATGGCTTTTAGTTACACGGCATGAATCACATCTTTGGCAGCTGAAGTCTTCTGGAAGGGCAGTTCTGCAGCTTGTGCAACTTCTAGTTTGAGTAGGAGGCATATTGATTTTGGTAAAGCTAAATCATGCAAATTTTGAAGCGATATGTTGCTGGTAAGCTTACTTACAATGGAAATGAAACCCCTAATTTTCTGCTGAATACTACGGTTTTGAACCTTCACTTCGCTACGATCAAGCTCTCATATAGATCAATATTACCAAGTATTGGATTAGACGCCTGATTACCATGGCTTTACACTTTTGATTTGCTACGGTAAACTTCCCCCCCCCTATAACTCAATGCTATCTAATGTTGGATTAGATGATTAGTTGTCATAGGATGTATGTCTTTGCTTCGCTACGGTAAACCTTCCCCTATAAATCAATGTTATCAAATGTTCTTGGTGGACGGGCTGAGCCCCTCCCCAAACCCCCCTCCCCATTGCCAGCTTCGCCGGTGGCTTTATCCATCTTTGTCCGGCTCTCAATTCTTTTTAAAATTATATTTGAAACAATGTGATTGGCTTGTCTTTTTTTTTCATAGTTCTCCAGTACATGTATTTTAGATTTTTATTTGGATACGTACTGAACTGTTTTAATAAATTATCCTAAGGTGTATGATGTCTTTCTAAAGAGTTTGTCTCTGAAATTAAAATGGAAATCGTCCTGAAAAAAAAAAAGAGAACGTCCGAAATTTTTTTTTTTGAAAAGGTCCGAAAACCAAGTATGCTTCTCTCTCCTCAACAAATTGATAAAAATAGGTACAGTGCGCAAATTTCAAATCACGGTTAATACACTTGATGAAACAGATAAAAAAAGAAAGTTGCCCTGTTCTAAACCAACTTCTTCTTCTCGTTTCTCTCACTTTCTAAAGAAATTACAAAAAATGTCCTTTGATACCGTCGCCATCAAGAACAACATCATTCCTCACGAGAAATCAGAGTTTGTCTATACCTATGGTACCGCTGGTTTTCGTTCAAAGTAAGTCTGCGTGTGTGTGTGTATTCGTAGTGGATAAGGATGTGCTATTGATCATCGCCTTCTCGCAGCGCTGACGTGTTGGGCTCTGTCATGTACAAGGTTGCCATCTTGGCTGCTTTGCGCTCAAAGAAGCTGAATGGCGCTACTATTGGTGTTATGATTACTGCTTCTCACAACCCTGAAGAGGATAACGGTGTCAAACTCGTGGATCCTCGTGGTGAAATGTTGGAACAATCCTGGGAGGTCTATGCCACCAAGCTCGCTAATGCAAAGAATGGCGAATCCCTTGTTCAAGTCGTTCAAGATGTGATTGCTCAAAACAAGATTGATGTCGAGACTCCCGCCAACGTCATTTATGCATACGATACTAGGTAACAAAAGATGGAGCGTGATTTTTTATATTGCTTACGTCTAACGACTTGAACCAACCAACAGACCTAGTTGCCCTCACTTGGTCAAGTGTCTTGAACTCGGTTTGAAGGTTGCAGGTGCTCAGAGCACCAACTTTGGTTTGAAGACCACTCCTATGCTCCATTACCTCGTTCGCTGTATCAACACTGCTGGTACCAGTGATGCCTATGGTGAGCCTACTGAAGAGGGTTATTATACCAAGTTGACTTCTGCCTTTTCTGCCGCTGTCGTAAGTAGATCTCACTATACCTGATTTAAGGGGATGGACAAGGAGCATGAATTAACCGCATTGAAATGTATGTAGAAGGGAAAGCCTCGCTTGTCTACTCTGCACGTTGACTGCGCTAACGGTGTTGGTGCTCCCAAGCTTCGCGAAATGACCAAGCACATCTCCAACGATGTTTTATCTGTTGACGTTGTCAATGAAGATATTACAACTTTAGGCCAATTAAACAAAAACGTGAGTAGTACAACACGATTAAAATGGCGGACAGAAACAGAAACTAACAACATGGTTAAAAAAAAACAGTGTGGTGCTGACTTTGTCAAGACACAACAACGTGCTCCTCCCAGTATCAGTATCAAGGCTGGTGATAGATGCTGTTCTTTTGACGGTGATGCTGACCGTATCGTCTTTTACTATGTCACTGAAGAGGGCACTTTCAGACTTTTGGATGGTGATAAGATTGCTGGCCTCGCTGCTCTTTTCATTGCTGAACTCGTGCAAGAAGCTGGTATTGATTCCATCAAGGTGGGTGTTGTTCAAACCGCTTATGCTAACGGTAGCTCCACCAACTACCTCACCAAAGTGTTGAACGTCCCTGTTTCTTGCGTCTCCACTGGTGTCAAGCATCTTCATCACGAAGCTGAAAAGTACGACGTTGGTGTCTATTTTGAAGCCAATGGTCATGGTACCGTTCTTTTCAGCCCTGATGCTCTCAACACCATCAAGACTGCTGAAGCGTAAGTTTTTTCATTATATAGAGTGATTGAACCAGTTACTCATCGTTTACATAGTAAAACTCCTGCTCAAAAGCAAGCTCTCACTCAATTAGCCGCCTTGACTGATCTTATCAATCAAACTGTGGGTGATGCCATCTCTGATATGCTCTTGGTTGAAGCTATTCTTACCAGCCGTCAATGGAGCTTCGAGGAATGGGACCAAGCATACACTGATCTTCCCAACCGTCTCGTCAAGGTGGTTGTTTCTGACAGACACATTTTCAAGACTACCAACGCAGAACGTCAATTAGTTGAACCTGCTGGTCTTCAAGCTGAAATTGATGCACTTGTCGCCAAGTACAGTAATGGTCGCTCTTTTGTCCGTGCCTCCGGTACTGAGGATGCTGTTCGTGTTTATGCTGAAGCTGCTACTCGTGCTGAAACTGATGATCTTGCATTCAAGGTTGCTCAACTTGTTTATGATCGTGCTGGTGGTGTTGGCGCTCGTCCTTAAAGAAGCAAACATTTATTCATTATACATTAAAATTTTACCCTGTCAACTGAACATATAAAATAAAATATTGTCATTAATTCACTTCAAGCAGTTTCATGAGATGATATTATAAGAGGTAGTATGGCATACTAAGCAACGCGATTAATATCATGGTGCTTGGATCAGATACATAAGCACAGAGATGCCTCTTAGAAATCAGCCACATCACTACATCATACCCATTACAGCGTTTGTTTGAAATGTATTTATTATAAATTTTTCGTTTCGAAAATGAATAAAAATCTACAAACTATCAAATTTTGTTGGTTGTTGTATAGACATTAAACGAAGGAAATTGCGTTTATCGATAGTTATTTGACAGTTGATTTGGTGTTTTTTGCTTGATGCGAATAAAAAGAGTTTACATGGTGAAATCAGAGAGGATAATGTGATGAAAGAGATTGACAAAATTTAATAAACGAGCTTCTCATCCTAAATCCATAGATTAGTACATCAGCATGCCACACAAAGCGCTCAGTTATAAACTTACCAATTCCTTGGCCTGAGCATAACACTCATCATATAATTCCTTGTAATCAGCAGCGGCCTTGGTGTCCTTGTTCTTACCACCGAAAACAACCATGGTAACAGAGGTAGGGCGCTTGGTGGAGCTAGCTTCACCCAATTGTTCCTTGGAGGGGACAAAGACGTAAGGAACATTAGAGTCCTCACAGAGAACGGGCATGTGAGAGATGACATCCAAAGGAGAAATGTCACCAGCAATAATGACAAGACCCTTCTCACCCTTACGGAGAGCCTTACCAACTTCCTTGACACCACGGCGAACGTGCTTGACTTTGCTGGCTATATGGTATTGTTAATTTCTACTGGATTTCAGCAAGGATGTCGATGCTTACCCTTCTTGATAGTCTTGTAAATCTTCTTGACGAGCTTCTTCTCGGCTAAAGGATGAGCAATGGGAGACTGGAAACGAGGAGTTTCGTCTTCGTTGTCTGAGGTATCCATCTTGGTAGGCTTAACCTTCTTTTCCTTCTTATGCTCCTTGGCCATTGTGATATGATGTGTGTTGAAATAAGATGAGGAAAATCTTTTTGACAAGTTGCTGAAAAAAATGTTTAAAGGCGACAAGGCTGACAGAGGACGTTCGTGACCTGTTTACTATTCCACAACCACACTATCCACAAAAGCCACCCATCATATTGAAAGGGAATCAGAGTTTATTTGCATTTTAAAAGTTACCACAGATGGTCAATTCACGCATTTGCTGCAAAACATCATCAACTCTTCTATCATTTTCATTTTCAGGAGGTATATAGTTTCTCATGCCTTCCAACTTTTCATAACCTGTTTGAGAAAAGATGAGCTGTGATTTGACTAGGGCTTCAAATACGGGATCCAAATAAGGCACTCGTAAATCAACCACCTTGGGCAAGTCATTGATTAAAATGGTGTTGATATTTTCATACATTTCTCGAGCCAAATTAGCCTCTTGTTCGGCTCTTGGTAAGCGTTGAGGATCCTCGACAGGTTTGTCAATCAACTTTCTCACTTTGGATCGTTGAGCATCGTAGTCGAGTAATTTCTTGTTGCGACGCTTCACTGCTTCATTTACCTCGGGAAAGTAGGATACAAATCGAGCAAGAGGCTCCATTACTGCTTTTTGATAGGCAGGGTCCTGAATAACATGTTGTTGCGCATGAATAAACTGTTTCCAAGCTAAATATACCATATTACTCACCAAATTATCCTTGGATTCCTTCTCTAGAGCTTCAATCGCTCTTTTGTACTCAGCTAAAGCAGTGTTGTTGAAAGCATCATCGCCATATAGTTTCTCCATCACTTGAACTAATCTAGACTGCGAAGCAATAATAGCTACAGCCATGACAAGTCAGACAATAGACACATTATGTATGAACACATATGCGGATACGCACCTCTGGTTGAATCAATGTACTCTTTTGCATGCTTTGATAACTTCTCAGATTTCTTCTCGAGTCTGCGCAATTTCCTCAGTATAACAGTTCTGTTGTAATGATACATTTACTTACGACTTGAATCTTTCAAGCTCTTCCTCAAATTCATTATCTAATGTCTTGTCGCCACCTCCTGTTCTTTGTTTCAACTAGATAAAGCACATGAATACCTACTTCTGCCTTGTAACAGAACGACTTACAGTTGTTCCTGCTCTGTTGAGATTCTTCTTAATTCCAGAACTACAGTCAAATGTTAGCTTGTGTAGTGCATGCATTTCATACAATGGCACTTACAGAAATGCCATTTCGCAATGCTTAAACCGAGATATAAATAGGTGTTTTTATGAGTAGAAAAAAAAGGCGAAGAAGAAAAGGGGATACAAAGAGAGATGAAAAGCTTAGCTTTTCTACTTTGCTTTGGCTTGACGTCATTCCCTGCTCGTCCTCTTGGGTCACTCATTGTACTACATTTAATCATTGTTGTATATGAAGCAATGCAATTACATCTAGTGGAAACGTGATGACCATAATAGCATCGAAGAAGGAGCTTTATTTTCGTGACAACATTTGAAACACGTAATACTCTACGAATCATTTTCTTTTGGAAAGCGTCGGATCAATGCCATTCAGGTACGATCGTGAGCGACTTTCTTACATCGTTACTTGATGACAATGGCTATCAATGTCGTGTTGGCTAGATTCAGTAGATGCTAACATCTCCATACAACATGTTTTGATTTCCAAAGCGTCATGCTATTTTTACAACGGCTGCTTACTCAAGGCTAGCAGGAAGAAGCCGTTTCACTATTGCTATCAAACTGTAAAAGCTAATTCGTGCACTAAAGAAATCACATATCAATTCAAGTTTTATCTCAATCATATTTCTTGACTTGATCAATACTTGTACTTTATTTTGAAGAGGCTATGTACAAAATTCATATAAACACCAGATTCTGTAGAGAAAAGTCGCATTCTCTCGCAACTTCCTCCCCATGGGCTTCAAAAGCATCAATTACCTTCATAAGAAAGGCATCCATAATTCTTGGCACCGGCCGAAATATGCTTTATACTCCGCTATGTTTTTGTTCAGGATTGGACAGATTTGAGTATTTTCGACTCGATTAATCTATTTTGCTACATTCGACTATATAAATTGCAATGGTAATCTAATGCATCCTTAAGCTTTCTTAAAGTGCTTTTCAAGGCGCATCTAATGGTGCCAAGTAAGACAGATATTTTGAAATAGCTTATTGAGCAAAATTTGAAAATACGAAATGAGGTTTTTGGCAAAAATGTCAAAAACTTACATATAAAAGTTACACAAACGACGTTTCAAGGGTTGCTTTGGATCGATAGCAACATTTTGATGTAATACATACCATAGTAAAAGTCTTCATTTTGGAGGTCAAAAACGCGATCGTTTGATTTTCGACGAAAATCACGAGGTATCATTCATGGTTTTTGGTCGATTTTTGGCCAATTTTTGCCGATCCCAACAAAGTTGAGCAAAGGTATCAGTAAGTAATTGCTGAATGAAAGCAACTGTTTGGTGCTATTCTGACGGCCTAAAACGGCTTTTAACACGAGAAAACGCGACTCGAATGCATCCAAATTTTGCAGTTTTTGTGTATGTTTGCGTATTTGGAAGCAATACAAATATTCTGTAGGCTCATATTTGAATTGCTGCCATCGAGGTAGACGTGGAGCATTGCAAAACAATCAGATCTGGAGTTACAAGCCGTTTATAAAGAGTCTTCGCATAAAAGCTTATCACAGCTCAGCTATCAAGCAGCGGTAAACCTAGTAGTCAATTCATTGTTTTCAGCGAACGTCAAACTGTCATATAGGCTGAAAATCATGCAAAGCGCAATCCCTAGTATTACAATGCAGCTGATCCCTAAGGGTTGCGCAATGCCGTAGCATTATAGTAGTACCGTACGCACAAATGGTTGATATCTCAACACATCATTACTACCTGGCTGTTCAAATGTATATTTTATTGATATTAATACGAAGCTAAAATTACAATCTATTTAAAAATGTTTCTTTTTTCATCATAATTTATTGGTATGATTTCAACGCATTATTATGATAGTTTTTTGTTCAACCTCTGATCTTGGGAGCCAACCTCCTTAATTCATCGCAATTCTTCATTTTCATATTTGCCGCCTTATTGTAAGCCTTTTCATTTCGTCCAATAATGCCAAACACAACACCGTCTGCTTGAGCCATCAAATTTGCCCTTTGTCTCTGCTCTTGAGTACAAGCAGCCCTCAGCTCACCCAACCATTCACTCTCAATCTGCCTCTCTGTTCTCTGAAATTTATACATGTTGTTCTTGACGGTTGTATCAAACACCTTTGGATTGACGTAATAATTGATGTGGTTGGATTTGGTGCTTCTCAGATTCGTGTTGGGTGGTTGAGGACGGAACGTGTAGAGTGGCTCTCCGTCAAATGAAAAGAGTAGCGCGAAGATGGCAAGAATAGATATAAGAATAATTGGCATCATTTGTGATAAACCACTAGACAGATCCCCATCACCCGCTCTCTGATGTCTTTGTTGTTGTCTAAATCGTTGCTGTTGCTGTCTATATCTTTGCTGTTGCTGTTGTGCCCTGAAACTAGGTCCAAAATTGTTACGCATACCTCCACCAAAGAACATGTTGAATAGATCCTCTGGCGACACCTCATCACCATATCTTCTGTTGTATGCATGCTGTTGATGCTGTTGATGATAAGACGATGTTCGTCCTCGACTGCTGTCTGCGTCTCCTCCTTCGTCGTGGATGGCTCGTTTGTTTGAGTCTGATAATACATCAAATGCCTTGGCAACCACTAGACGTATCGACCCGATTAGACCCAAAATTCTCCTGAAGCGATATACCCCCCCCCTCTATAAACTTACATTTGAAAGCTTCGTCCGCACCTGGCGCACTATTTTTGTCAGGATGAAATTGCAAAGCTTGCTATCAGAGGTAACGCGTTTTTTAGTAAAATGTTCTGAATAACCCATGGAATTCATAGCTTACTTTTCTGTATGCTTTTTTGATTTGTACATCGGTTGCTGTTCTTTCTACAGACAATACCTTATAATAGTCTCTACCACAGGCCAAAATGGTTTTTACAGCTTTCACTTGTTCAGCAGTATACTTTCGCTCTTGCGCCGGTTCAGGCGTGCTGGTTTGTTGGCGAGATGGAGTCGATGTGGCATTTGTTGATGATGTGGTATAACTTGATTTATTGGGTTCAGAGCTCTTCTTTTTCACCAATGACAACAATTGTTCTCCTTGAGCAGTTGGAAACAAACGAATGGACTTTTCAGTGAATCGTAATGCCTTTGCATAGTCTCCCTTTTCCAAGGAACTTTTTGCTATTGAAAGACATTTTAATGCTTCGTCTTTATTACTTTCCATATTTGACTGAAAGAACAAGCTTTTTTTTTTATTTCTGTTTAAAGAAAGAATAAAGAGAACTATGAAAATCTTCAGTGCGACAATCCCCTTCATCTCCTAATATCTGTTCTGCAGTGATTGGTTGAGAAATGCCTACTTTTGGGTAGATTTTATTGAAACTCTCTCTCTCTCTGGAGACGCTAATCAAATGGTCTCCATAAGAATTTACCATTAAAATGGCTCTTGCTTTGAGCTAAGCACCTATTTTAAGACTCGAGAGCTTCATAGCATATCTTCTTTGAATTGATCTCATCTACAAAATAAGGTTTTCGAGACATCATGGAATGATTGGGGTAATTGTGTGTATTGTGAAGTTTGTGTTCATCGATGATGAGAACAATCTCATAACAAAATAGATTAGCGAATCACTTGTCAATATCTGTTGTCTCATCTTCAATTAAGGCGATACGGTCTTGGTCAAAATACGAACGCTTTTACGCGGGTATTGAACCCTAATGACAACGATAAAGCTTTATATCTTCTTGATGGTGCCTGCTACCTGTTGATCTTGAGCATGTAAAAGCGTCAACGTATTGGCATTCAGCAATTAGGTGTCTACGTTAAAGATTCACTGATGATTGAAAGATATTTCATGGTATATCAAGCAATTTTAGGATTCAAGCATCTGTGTATTACAAAAACGAGACATGTGCTTATCGCTTCGAGAGATAGCTATGAAGACTTGGTCTTTATCTGATTCTGCATGTTTTGGATAGATATTATTTGCTGTGCAGTACAAATAAGATGCCTTCCATCTGATGTAGATCAAATCCTTGTACGAAAAATCAGTAACTTGAATGATTTCATCAGGACAGAAATTAGCTGTAATATATGTTTTCGTGAGAATAATCTTGTTCAAGGCATGAGCCTCCTAGCCAAGTGCTCTCTTCGCAGTTGGCAATGACAGAACCTCACGGCACTCGACCAATGTAAGAAAGAGCTACATCATCTGGAAGCTTGTCATTTGAGCAGTTCCAAACACATCACACAGTCACCAAAACAAGCAACATTTACTTTCGAAAGAGAAATGTTTATGCTTCACCAGCAATCACATAAATATCTAGACACAATGAGCAAAAAGTCCTTGAATCTGGATTCATTCTACCAGCTGCTTAAGGGGCGTGTATTTCACAATATAGACTATCAATCCTGGCTACTCGAATGTATGAAGAATGCAACACTTCCAATTCACGCTAAATTCGGCCCTGTGATAAATGAGTTCGTGTTGAGGTACGACAACACTAGTTGCATTCAAAGCGATAATACTCACTCTTGAACAAAACCAGTACATTCTTAACAGATCAATGTCAGAGAATACCAGAAGATGTTGTCGAGGCTTATTTTGAAGATTACTCAACGATATCCACCAGCCAAATACTGATGCTGTTGTATATCTTGACATTTAATGACTATATTATTGCTTTTCGAACAGAACCCAAGTTGATGTCAATGAACAATGTCAAAGAACAAAAAGGTATATGAGCAGGCCAGATAGTTGCGCCGAAACTAACATCAATTGCAGCTTACTCTGTGGATTTATTCGACCGTATTCCTATTCGCTTCATCCTGAATCATGTCGAATTATATCAGAGTGGAAATGCGTACAAATCTATATGCTCAGATATGCTAGCACTATCAGCAAACTTGTATCCAGAGCTGTTTGATATTCAGAGCTTCCTGATGCAAGAAGGAAGGGATTCGACAGTGGACTCATTATGGCAGATAAAGACAGTTTATAGAGATTGGAAAAAGAATTTGACGACAACAGAATTAGAGCAACTGTTGGGTCAATGGGAGACAAATGTGTCAACAGTAGTAGACGGTATGTCTTTGATGAGTGGCAAGAGGATGTGATATTCACGCCATACAAGTACTATCTTATTTAGAGACAATTGCTACTGTCCATGTTCAGGATCATGCTTTGTGCATGTTGTCTACATTGGTGCCGCCCTGCTTAGGTGGAAAGCTAGATACTCGAATTGCAGAAGCATTGAGATCAACGTGGGAGACATACAATAGAATCATTCCTCATACATTATGGACAATGACCATCAACTTACTGACATCAGGGTATGAGCAACGTAGACGCTTGAATAGCATCAATGCTAATTTGTGCCAGATCTAGAACCTACACAATGAACGACTTGATCCAAGATCCACATATAGCTTTCAAAAGCGACCCACGCATCTTCAGATCAGAGCAACTGCTGCCTATTTGGCTGCATGTATTATCTTGTTTGCGAACTACATCAAAGCACCGCATCTGGAAAAGATATCATACCAAATTTCCTAATGCCAGTGTAAGCTAATACCTATAGTACAGGAAATTTGAGCTAATCATGGCTTGTAGAATCAATTCAACTCTCGAAATGTTCTTGCCTTGACAAATGCCCAAGATACCGTAATGCTCCAATTACTGCTTGAGCTTTGTTTGGTTCAGCCACATGACAAATACAACACTCATGCTCTCGAGAAATCAAGGAAATCAATATGCGAATTTATACACTCTATATTTATAGATGATCGTGAATCCATCTTGATCAAAATCCTACACTTCCAGACCTACTCTACAGACCTCATCCCCATGGTTGTAGAACTGATACCCTCCATCTATACAGTTTTCAATTTCGTTTCCGAGTTGACAAGGCAGCCTCAAGTAGAGAAGCAAGTATTTGGTATTTTGATAGCGTGCCATTTATGCGAAAAATACCCTCTTGAGCCTTAGTAAGTTGCAGACATTTACTCACAAGATACCAATTCTCACTGACATGCCATAGCTTGATAACAGCAGAAAAGCACATACTTCCTCGCTTATTGAGAATTGCATTCCCTGTTACTCGAGAAGGTCAGCCGTCAAATGCATGTGTTCCATCAGAATTTCTAGTCAAAGCGATACCAGGCTTTGTGCATCTTGCTCGAGCATTTCCCCATTTTGGGCCACAGATATTGCGAGCTTTTGAAGGTGAATGATAGAATGTGAATGCGACAAAGCAACACGACTAACGACATTGACAAGATATTCGAAAAGGATTACCAGAGCCTCGACAATTTATTGGTCAAGAAGGAAACAGTAAGATTATTCTAGTGCTTCAACTACATAAAGTACTCCAAGATTCGAAAGCTTTAGTGCAAGTAGAGGTCGACAGAATGGATCAAGTCAATAAAGTAACTCTTTAATGAAGCTTTCTCGCTAAAAGTATTGCAGAACGATTGTTTTGGGTATTAATACCATCCAGTTGTTTGGAGGAGGATGGTTCGATATCAGTAGCATATAACCGTAAATAGCCTTCCACCGTTTCGGTATAGGCATGTTTAATGTCGTATACAGAGTCGATTTGCAATTCTATAAATCATTAGATTTTTGTTCAGCACCAAAAAATGTATTCCGTACCTGACTTCGTATTCAAGACGATGCAGCCTGTCTCATCTCCAACAATATATTCGTAAATGTGAATGATGGCACCAGCTATATCAACAAAGATCAATAACACTTCCTGAAAAGGCTACAATAAGACATTACACTGTTCATGCTTTGTTTCCAGGGACACAATGAGCTCTATGACTTGTATCCGCAATTCAATGCGAAATTGATCAGGATTCAGATGTGCAATTGTCAACATTAGAATAAGAACGAGTTAATTGATGGATTATATATATTTTTTTGCGAGTTTTTTTTTTAATGAAAACTATCCAATATTTCTAAATAATAAGACTTGTGTGTGTGTGTGTGTGTGTGTGTGTGTGTGGTGAACTAATGTGCGTGTTGATTTGTGTGTGTATTTGTTGCGAACGTATAAGTGAATGAAAAGAAGAAGAAATGAAAAGAAAAAGAAAGAGGGAAAATATTAAATTTTTAAACGGTTGAAACCCAACATTATTTACAGATGTTACATATAAAAAAAGTGGTTATTTCTTACTTGTTTCTCACATACTTGCCAACAACAACAGCGTGATCTCTTTCATAAGGTTCAAGAGTAAGTTGTTCTTGAGGCTTGATTCTTTCTTCTTGGAGCTTCTTGACTTCACGGGCAAAAACGGTAGCAGCATCAACAGTGGAATCAATACAAGAGGCCTTGATGGAAATGACAATGTGGCCTTCGTTCTTGAGGAAATGGTGAGCGTTCAATGCAATGATACGAGCTTGATCGGGTTGAGCAACATCAGCGAAAATGACATCAACCATGGGAACAAGCATACGGTACTTTTGAGGATGACGAGCATCTTCAATGATGGGAACAACGTTAGTACGCTTCTTGGCCATGTTGATCAAATCACGACCGGGACGATGAGAGAATTCAACTGCATAAACAGCACCTTCAGGGCCAACAACATCGGCAACATGAGAGACGGAAGTACCAGAGGCAGCACCGAGATAGAGGACCTTCTTGCCGGGAGCAACATGGATATGATCAAGACCACCCAAAACAGCAGCAGCCAACTTGGATCTGAAAGGATTCCACACACGATATTCAATCTTGGTACCTTCGGGACCATCAATGGAGATACGCTTCTCACCATAAACAGCTTCTCCGGGAACCAAGTTCTTGGTGACCAAAAGATCTTCCTTTCCACGGGCAACAAAGATACCGGCATGTCTGTGGGGTTCAACAACGACCTTGGCACCACCACGGGCACCACCAGCACCGCCACGACCACCGCGAGGAGCACCACGGCCACGAGGGGCACCACGGCCACCTAATTCAATGTCAAAATGAGTACTAAATTCAACATTTACATCAATCAGATCACACAACTTACCACCACGACCACCAAATCCACCACGGCCACCACCACGGCCGCCACGATCACCACCAAATCCACCACGGCCGCCACCACGACCGCCTCCGAAGCCACCACGACCTCCACGGCCACCACGATCACCACCAAATCCACCACGGCCTCCTCCACGGCCTCCACCAAATCCGCCACGGCTGCTGCCGCCACGACCACCTTCGTAAGCCATTATATGTTGCTGTTTGTTTGTTGTAAAGTTACTGAAATAAAAAAGGTATTGATTTTGTGTTCCAAATCTACAAAATCAACAAGGTTTCTTTAAATAAAGATTCAAAAAAGAAGATGGTTTCTGAACAAACTTTTTCAATTGTTGTATGAAAAATATTTTAAACCGCAACACAGTTCAAGTTTTGACATGTGGCTTATAAGACATTCTTTCAATGCGCATTGGTGCAAAAGATGGTTGCTAGATAGGTTGGAGCTTACATAGACTGCTTTTACTCCCATCACAGAGATTTGAGCATTGGTGTGTAATGCAAAACGGTGGCTGAGTTCCTGGTGGAGACCTGGGATGGAAGCCAACATTTTTTTCATATTCTTTTCTCCCTCACACCATTCTCATTTCATCACATTACAAATGGCTCAAGGTTCAAAAACAAAGAAGCCCGGAAAGCCCAAGCAAAAGGGAGGTAGAGAGAAGAAGGGTGTCATGAAGAAAGGATGTACGTAATGTTAGATTGCATTGTTGAATGACAGGTCAATTAATCAGAGAAACTAGCTAGAAGAATCCCACCCAAGCAAGCTTCCTTGGTCAAGCAAAGATCATTGGATAAGGTTTGTCATTGGATTCTCTGTTAGCTTGTATGTCTGTAACTTATCAGATCATTGTAGAAACTCACTGCTGAGATTAACAAAAATATCGAGAGACAAATGTCTGTCAAGGCTAATGCTGTGGGTAAACTCACCATCATGAAGAAGCTGGCCGATGAGAAGACAACGCCCGAAGATAAATCAAAGATCAAGAGATCAAGCAATACTAGATTGACAACTTAAATCAATGATTCGTTTTTTCCGTTATCAGCATGCCACCTTTTGTACATTAATGTTACCATATCCCCTTTCAACCGAATAAAGCACTATGTTTTGGTTAACTTATATTTACCTCGATTGTCGACATTGATTGTATGGATTGCATTAGAGCTTAGATTTGGATTACATTGCTGGACTCAAAGCAAACGCAACTTGTTTTCGGGTAGGTGGGACCTACGACAATGTGTGCTTTTGTTCATTGGCTGATTTGAAAGGAAATCGATGTGCGGGATTCGTTTACGATAGCACTTTTGCGACCAGAGGAAGGGAGAAATTTAAAATGTATCAATGGGTGGTTTTGTACCAAAGCATTGCACCAGATCAATTTGTTATGTCTGTGGATTAATGCTTCAAGATTATAGCTCCTTTGTATAGTTCAATTTCAATATGGAAAGGTTTACAAGATGCAATTTGGGCTCCTTTTGGTCATATGTTGGACACCTTAGGTTGCTGGAGGATGGGTTACAGAAACCTAGGCAGTGTTTGATTATTAGGGCTTATTTGAAGTCACCAACACCTTGTTCCTCAAAGCTCTTTACTTATTATCTCTCTCTATCTTCGTAATTCACATCCATCAATACCAAAATTAATTTGGTTTTTGTAGACATGCTTACTATGGTCAAATATGTATACCTTACGGGCAATTGATTGCAAATCAGCTATCACTTGTGTATTGACCATACGCTCTGACCCTGCTTCATTTAGTATGGCCATCTATTTGGGCCTTTGTTTTGTTTAAAAAACTTATAGCCATAGTGACCTATACATATAACTCATTTTTGCTTGAAAAACTCTCTTATAGCATGCCACACACTGAGCAACTAATTGCATTCGTTTTGATTAAACTCTCTGACAGTCGGAAATCAAATCGGAGATAAGTAAATATGTGCCCCTGAATTTTCCCGATTTGGAAATTTTGACAGGTGGCCAATATTGGTTGATGGACAACAGAAAGCTCATTGCTGCAAAACCAAAGGCAAGCAGCGGCAAGCAACCAAGCCGCCATAGTTTGATTAGTGCATTACGTGATGGACCAATTATGTGTCGGGAAAAGAAAATATTATGGTGCACAAGAACAGTAAAAAGAAAAGATAATTTCCATCAGAATGCAATTGTTCTTGTACAGACATGTTCATTCTCTGGAAGACATTCCAAGAAATTATACGAGAGGCAAATTAGTTTTTCTGTAAAAATTTGAGTTTATTTAAAGACTGTACAATGACAAAAAAATTCCAGCTGTGAATCTTTTTGAAAAGGTTGTGATTTTGTGTATATGTGGAGAGAATAAGAGAATCACTTTACAAGTTATATTATAGAAAGAATATTAATGGAATGCATAGTTAATGGTAGTGATGTAGTTGTGATATCGATTATTGTGAAATAATTTAAGAACGTTCACCACGGAGACGACGAGCCAATTGAATATCCTTGGGTTGAATGGTGACACGCTTGGCGTGGATAGCAGCTAAGTTGGTATCTTCAAAGAGGGACACCAAGTAAGCTTCGGAGGCTTCTTGAAGAGCGCCAATAGCAGAAGATTGGAAACGCAAATCAGTCTTGAAGTCTTGAGCAATTTCACGAACGAGACGTTGGAAAGGGAGCTTACGGATCAAGAGCTCGGTAGACTTTTGATAACGACGAATTTCACGAAGGGCGACAGTACCAGGTCTGTATCTGTGAGGCTTCTTGACACCACCAGTAGAGGGAGCAGACTTACGGGCGGCCTTGGTAGCCAATTGCTTACGAGGAGCCTTACCACCAGTAGACTTACGAGCTGTTTGCTTAGTACGAGCCATTGTTATGAATTTGTATTATATTGAAGAATAGAGAGAGGCAAATTTATTGAAACTTGCGTTGGTATTTATATGTTTTTACAAGGAGTCACATAAATATAATTAATTCTTGATTTGGAAGCAGTTGGATATGTTTTTTGCGATCCAATTTTAAAAAATATACATTTATTTTGAGCGCGTCGTAAAATATGCACTAAATTTTCCCAAGATGTATCTTTTTTTATAAAAATTTCTTGAGAAAAAAAAAAAGCAAATTGGTAAGTACCAGACATTGGTATATTCACAAAACATTGCCCTTCCATTTTTTTTTCAAATACTCAACGAAATTTCACATTTGATGTAATCGAATTGAGATTCCAATGTAGATGTAGATGTAAGTAATCGCACATATTGTGCGATGCAATGACATGTAGAGAATTGGATTGCTACAAGATGAAATCCATGCTGCTTTCAACTTGGAAAAGTTTTTTTTTTGCAAAGTATATTTTTTCGCATGAAAAGGATGCAGAAAGATATATATTTTGCAGTTGCAATTAGACTGACGAAAAAAAATATATATCCAAATGTCTACAGAAAAAAAAATGTATACATTTTTACTAGAAAAAAAAATCGGTGATTAAATCCAATTGAATATATAAAGGTCAAGAATGGACTTCCCTTCTCTTCATTAACTTTCACAAGTAAAACAATACAAACTATATACAATGACTGGTCGTGGAAAAGGTGGTAAAGGTCTCGGAAAGGGTGGTGCCAAGCGTCACAGAAAGATCCTGCGTGATAACATTCAAGGTATTACCAAGCCTGCTATCCGTCGTCTTGCTCGTCGTGGTGGTGTTAAGCGTATCTCTGGTCTCATCTATGAGGAAACCCGTGGTGTTTTGAAGGTCTTCCTTGAAAACGTTATTCGTGATGCTGTTACCTACACTGAACATGCCAAGAGAAAGACTGTTACTTCTTTGGATGTTGTCTATGCTCTCAAGAGACAAGGTCGTACTCTCTATGGTTTCGGTGGATAAATCCCTTTACTTTAAACATCATACATATTATTTCGCTATTATTACTCTAAAAGAAGAAGTCTCTACATAATAAGCCAATTATTATATAATTCCCCCCTCCCCTCAAACAATTTTTCTTATCAATTAGCATACTGTAAATAAATATCTGAATCAACTCACGTTGATCTTTTTCAATCTATACAACATTGTTCATGTGAATTGAGTCTGATGAAGAGGTGCCTTTGTTATAGTGGTCACGTTGTAATTGATTATGGATGGGAAACTACAGAATGTTGTCGCTTCCTCTTTCTTCTCCTTAAACTATTATTATAAAGTGCAAATATTCATGGTATACTCAACAATCAATGAATAGCAAACATAACGGCAGTCCTTTGATTAGTGAAACGACGAGAAAAGTGTACTTTATAGCAAATCCAAGTAGAAAATATCCATCCGCCTTGTTTGTTCCTGCTTTAGTCACTGCAAAAGGCCTCTATCCTCCACCAATTGTTCTTTTAAAAGCTCCTTTTGATATTAACAACTTAAATCAAAAAAATACAATGATACCTAGAAAGTCCTATTCTGTCCCAATCAAATTAATAACCATGCAAGGGCATTCAACATCAACCATCATAACCAAAACTACAACTACCACTACTACTACTACTACTACTACTACTACTACTGTAAAAGCTGAGGTTCCACTGCAAAAGTCTCAATCAACCCCTCCTTCACCAATCACAACCAGCAGTGAACTTCAACCGCACAAACCAATCTCTGCTGAGAAAACTGTCATCAACACAACCAAATCCTCTCGTAAGCCCTTGAAGCATTGGGTGCTCAAGAAGAAACCCACTACAGCCAACAAATTACAGCAGACGTCCAATGTGAAAGCAGACGAGGATGAGGAAGATGAACCAATGACAAAGCCAATGTCATTAACTGAAAAGAGAAAGCGACAAGCCAAGAGAGCAGATCAGGTCAAGATTTGGAAGGTCAGGGAAGAAAGAGAGGCGAGAGAAGCAAGGTTAGTTATCAGACGACAAATAGTGAATGGCACAAACAAAAAAATCACACAATCATCATCTACATCATCCACAAGCACTATCAGAAAGAAGAAACGTGTCAAGTTCAATTTTGATAAAAACAGTATTATTGAACTACCCTCATTTCACGATAACGATTTAGAAGACATTTAATATACATTCGGTTTGAAAAAAGAGGAATATGTTTATTTCAAATTTTCGTAAATAAAACAGCAACTAACCAAGTGTTATGTACAAATATAATAATGAGGAAGGGAAATGTAGTTGATTGCGTTTAGGTTAAAGAGTATAAAATTATTTGAAAAAGCAAGGGATTTTGAGGACAATGATTGCATTTAAAGCTCTTGAGAAGCACCAGCCTTCTTGGACTTGGTAGGTAACAAAGAGGCGTGAATGTTGGGGAGGACACCACCTTGAGCAATAGTGACATGACCCAGAAGCTTGTTCAATTCTTCATCATTACGGATGGCTAATTGCAAGTGACGAGGAATAATACGAGACTTCTTGTTATCACGAGCGGCATTACCAGCCAATTCGAGAATTTCAGCGGCAAGATATTCGAGAACAGCAGCAAGGTAGACGGGAGCACCAGCACCAACACGTTGAGCATAGTTTCCACGACGCAAGAGACGATGAATACGACCAACGGGGAATTGGAGACCAGCCTTAGCTGAACGAGTTTGAGACTTTGAGCCAGAAGCAGACTTTCCACCGGATTTACCACCAGACATTTTATATATTAATTTATGTGTATGTTGTGAAGAAAAAAAGAAATTAGAGCAAGATCTGGAATCTGATGGCTACTATATATACTAAATCGAAAATGGCCACTGTGACTTTGGACTACCTCGCAATTTTTTTTTTTTTCGATTTGCATTCCAAATGAAGATTTTCTCTTCAAATAATGAAGGTGATGGTTAAAAAAAAAAAAAAAAAAGGAAAAAACGTATATAGGTTCTGTATAGTATATCTACGTGATTAGACGTGTTACATCACGTTGATTTATATACTCAAAATCATCAAAATGTTATATATCGACCGTAATGGCTAAAAAAGGAAATAGAAATATATATACATTTGCACCTTTCTACAGGCAGGATACTGATTGCGATATCTAACAGTTGTTGATCTGGGTTTTTCAGCCTTGAGATGTAGTTTTTTAATTTTTTTTTTTATTTTTGAAGGGAAAAAAAATCAACTGGAGTCACAAAATATTCTGGAAGAAATCTCCAAATGAAAAAAAAAAAAAAAAAAGAAAAAAAAAAAAGACCAAATTGATATATAAAAGACGATTTAAATTCACAATGCCTTCCATTTTCTCTTTTTTTCTCCTTTATAACAAAATCAATTAACTAAAATGGCTCCTAAGGAAACTACTGCTGGTAAAGCTCCCGCTAAGACTACCAAGGTCAAGTCTGCTGATAGCAAGAAGAGAAAAATCACTCGTCGTGAGACCTATTCCTCCTACATCTACAAGGTCTTGAAGCAAGTTCACCCTGATACTGGTATCTCCAACAAGGCCATGTCCATCTTGAACTCTTTCGTCAACGATATCTTTGAACGTATCGCCTCTGAAGCCTCCAAGTTGGCTGCTTACAACAAGCGCTCCACCATCTCATCTCGTGAAATTCAAACTGCTGTTCGTCTCATTCTTCCTGGTGAACTTGCCAAGCACGCCGTCTCTGAGGGTACCAAGGCTGTTACCAAGTACACTAGCTCCAAATAAACAAGTCAATTGGAATTCAACATGGTGGATACATAATTGCAGACAAAGGATCAAGTGGAATTTGCTCGTTTTCTCTTTAATCATTCTACTTAGCCATGATCATATATCCCCCTTTTTATCACTCTGGACAGCAAGCAGCTATTCATGTTTGATCTCTTTAAATCTCTTATAATCTCCCATTTCAATTGCTAGTTTCTATATAATTTCATTTTCTCCCTTTGTATGTACAGAAAGCTCAAAATACTTTAGTTTACTTTATTTTGATATCCTTATAATTTTATATTAAAAAACAAAGCTTTACCAAATAAACATTGTTTAATGTAAATAATTCAAGTGTTTCGTGTCGATGCTTTTGACGTGTTCAGCCGCGATAAAAGCTTTTTTTTTGGTAATTATCTGTTTGCTACAAAGGATAGCAACTTCACATTTTGTATTTAATTCGCACTTAAGTGGGCAATTCGCAACTATAGAGCTATCAAGTATAGAAATAGACAACAAAAGCTAAAGAAGTCAGACTAGACTGCACTTTCATTTCGCAATCCTCTTCTTATTAGCTTTTAAAACATCAACTGCCTTCATTAGAATGTATTCTGCCAGCAAAAACTAGATTTACATTCCGGCCATTTTCTTTTGTCAAGATTGGTCAGATTCTAATCAAAATCAACAAAATTAATCTTCTTTGCCAAGTTCGACTATATACTTTGTCTGATAATCCCACATCTCCTAATAGTTTCTTGGAGTACTTTTCAAGGCGCATATAATGAAGCTAATCATAAGATAGATTCTGAATAAGCATATTGAGCAATATTTAAAAATGCGAAATAAGGTTTCCGGCCAAAATATCGAGATTTACATTTGAAGGCCTCATAAATGGCATTTTAGGGGTTGCTTTCGATCAAGAGAAACATTTTGAATTAAGATATGCTATAGTAAAAGTGTTCATTTTGGAACCCTAAAACGCGATTGATTGTTTTTTGATGAAAACCATGAGGGGTACCTCACGGTTTTTGATGGATTTTTGATGATCTCAAAAATGTTGAGCAAAGGTGTCAGACAGTTATTGCCAGATGAGAGCAACTGTATGGTACTATTCTGGCAGTCTAACACAGGTTTTAGCACGAGAAATCATTGTCCAAATTTATTGAATTTCGCATACTTTCAAGAAGTAAGGGGCAGTGCAAGTATGCAGCATGCTTGTACTCAAATAATTTCGATATAGTTAAGGAAGTAGTTTAAAGTAGCTGTTGTGCCAGAAGGGCTACAACTGTCTATAAAGATTAAGGTATTCTTGATGGGTAGATATGTCTGTGTTGTGCAACAACATGGACAAGCTATGATAAGTGAAGTGCATCTCAGCTATCTAAATACTGAGGTTCACCAGATGTGATAAGCGTTGTACAAGATAAATTGCTACTTTGGCATTCAGAACTTAGTATAAATAGAATAACTCTTGTCTTCATCAATAAATCTTTAGTTTTTGTGTCTGATCTTATTCAAATAAGTCTTTTCTTGTTTTTATAATATCGAACATTTTTTATAAGCTACAAATAATAATCCTTTTATTCTTTGTGCTTAACAGTAGCAATTAGCATGGAGTACTGTTGGGACTTTTTCGCCTTCTATTCGAAATTAGAGCATTATATAATAATGAAAAAGGACATCATCATGTCATTTTTTATTCATTAGTATTGTTAAGCACAAAGAATAAAAGGATTATTATTTGTAGCTTATAAAAAAATGTTCGATATTATAAAACCAAGAAAAGACTTATTTGAATAAGATCAGACACAAAAACTAGAGATTTATTGATGAAGACAAGAGTTATTCTATTTATACTAATAAGTTCTGAATGCCAAAGTAGCAATTTATCTTGTACAACGCTTATCACATCTGGTGAACCTCAGTATTTAGATAGCTGAGATGCACTTCACTTATCATAGCTTGTCCATGTTGTTGCACAACACAGACATATCTACCCATCAAGAATACCTTAATCTTTATAGACAGTTGTAGCCCTTCTGGCACATCAACATGCTTATTTCCGTGATACTAGCTACAGATACTTTATGTACTACATACTTGTACTATATATGAGACATGCTATAGACATGCATACGATATGCTATAGACATGCCATATATCCAGATACATGCTAATAAAGATGTATGCTCAGCGATATACACTCAGATATATATATGTGCTACTATTGATATAGACTAAGAAGACTGTACCTATTGGATACATGCTACTAGATCGATATTAATTATCCTTATAGAAACGATAGATCAGGGTACTTCGGATGAGAGTCTAATTATTCATCCAGACAGAGCTAAATCATGATTAGCTTGCTGGAGTTGTCTTTTAGCATGATTAGACATTAGTTGATCTGAGTTGACTTATTTGTCAATCTAATTAATAGAACTTTTATCCATTGTTATAGTATATAAGAAGGATCATCTACCTGGCCAGTAGAGAGATACTTCAGTTTACTTTACACCTGTCAGTCTGATAATAAAACATACCTTTATCAAGTTGACATTACTGTTTTTTTTATTTTTTTTTTCCGTGAATTTTAGTCTATCAAGCCTCAAATTCCACAATTGTTGTATTTGAGGATTCATTTTATCCAATATCCTTTGTGTAATGTTGTGAGAAATCCACGTTAAACGATGTTTGATATTACGGGATGCTGGCGCTCTAGGTTTGAACCTGCGCATCTTGTTCTTGTTTGTATTCAATCGCTCAATAATATCCTGCAAATTAAAACTAGTATCAAAGAATTTTAACCCAGACAAATATAAAAGCGCGGTTGGTTAAGTGGTATAATCTTCGCCTGCCACGCGAAGGGCCGGGGTTCGATTCCCCGACCGCGCATTTTTTTTCGTCAAGGAAAAATGGTGTCCTTAGACATTTTTGGTTCGTATTGAACGCATCATCTCAATTTTTATTCATCGTTTTATAGTATGTAGCGTAGGAACAGCCTGGAGGCCGACGAAGCAAAGCTGCTTTTAATATTGTGCTGTAGATGCACATTTTGCGTTATTGAATTTCAGTAAAAGTGTAACGTGATGGTGATCTCGAAGCAATCCCTATGAAAATCGACATCGTCCAATATCAACCATGAGAATTTAGGCTGTTGGGTTCGATAGTAGATCTCGCATTCAATAAGCATATATTTAAAAGCACTAGAATGAAGGTACACTTTATTTTGCACTTTATTCAAGTAAATCATTGTCTTGATCACCAAGTATTCAATCACAATTATAATGACGGCCATCATATCCCACAGCGAAATTTGAAATACAAATTGCTCGTGAATATGCTGATCTCAGTAGACGAAATGCACAATTATCACTTTACTCATAACTGCAAGTGACGCTTATAGTAAGTCTAATATGATTAACTGAGTATATTATACCTATCGAATATGTGCCCTAGATTAATGCTTGTATCTGTCTATTGTCTGAAGCTATTGAATGTTATTGACGTATCTTTCGAAATGATACTAGTCTTTAATATATGTACTGGAAAAGTATGAAAGAAAAACAACGAAAGTGGCCAGTGAAAGGCCAGAAGCCGAGAACATAACGCATCTAATTCGACATTTGTTAACGTTGACCTATAATTAGAGGGTTTTACCGTAACGAAGCAAAGGTGCAAGACCTAGTATTCAAACAGCAAATTCGGCTCTTTTTCCTATTGTTGATAAGCTTACCATCAAAAATATCAAAATTTGCATGAATTAACTTCACCAACATCAACATGCCTCCTATTCGAATTAGAAATTGCACAGACTGCAGAACTGCCCTCCCAGAAGACTTCAGCTACCAAAGATGTGATTCATGCCGTGTAAATAAAAGTTCCTAAAACGCAAAACACAGCCAAATTGAATAGTTTTCAAGTCTTTATATTTTGACATGCAGACCTTTCTGAGCCACCGGAATGACGCCAAATTGTTGTATTCGAGTAGTAGTAACTTCCTGACACCGTTGCTCAACTTTTTGGGACCAAAAAAAAACATGGCCAAAATTCCACTGAAAACCATGAGGGGTACCTCATGGTTTTTTACGAAAATTAAACGATCGCCTTTTCACCTTGAAAATATAGACTTTTACTATGGTATATATTAATTCAAAACGCTTCTCTCGATTCAAAGCAACTTCTGAAACCACTTTTATGGGGGTTTCATATGCAAAATATGGCTATTTTCGCTAAAAACCTCATTTCATGTTCTGCCAAATTGCTCAATAGCTTCATTCAAAGCACGTATTATAATTAGTGTCATTGGAAAGCGTCTTGAAAAGTACTCCAAGAATGTATTAGGAAGCGTAGGGTGATCTTCACAATCCATATAGTCGAATCTCGCAAAAGAATTCAATCAAGTCGAAAAAGGACAACATCTGACCAATCTTGAACAAAAAAAAGAAGCTGAATTTGGATTGATTTTGGCAGGCTTCGCTGCTGGCTGGCTCAAATGCCTTTCTGATGGTGACAATGATGATTCCTGCGATGCTGATTAAATGGGAATTATAGATTTGAAAGGACAATCGCTTAACCTGTATTCTTATTTCTTCGGTCTTTCTGGGAGGTTTTCTCTATAAAGATATCTTTTGTAATGACTATCTTTTGAAAAAATCGCTGTAGATCGTAGACGTCCTGTATTTACGCATGTCCAGTTTTATGTCGCCATCATGGGAGCAACATCAGCGAATAAATGACCAAAAAAAAAGTGGCATGAACGAAGAAAGCCTGGCGTGCAAATGCTGCAAAAAACTTGAACTCTCTTTCGCATCGTCTCAGTAATAGCTTTCGTTTGATACCAGTGTATAAGCAAAGGGGGGGATGCAGACAGGAATATCGCCGCCCCGAACTCTGATACAACTTTTCTTTTACTATTAATTGAATGTTTAAGATCTATTTGATATACTAGTTTAAAATATCTTCAGCGAGAACCTGCAGGGCGACGCCGTCATCGAGCGTAGCGAGATTGATTGAATAGTAAGTTATACAGATTAAGCAATGATAGTCTTCTGTGTTAGAAAAGCTATGGTGACCTTTACGCTGTTGCCGTATTGGATACACAAAATCAGCTACCATCATAGCCCAATTGATGCTTCACCGACATATATAGATCTTGGTGATGAGGTCAGGGATGTATATTTTCACTAACACTAGAGATTCAGTGAAGGGAGGCTTGGCTGGAATTCATGAAACACATTAAAGGATTCAACATTGGAGACAATACGAGAGGTTTCAGCAGCAATGTTCTCACTCGATTCCAATAAGATAATACCCACAAAATTGATGAGGTCCTGAATGCGAAATAACTTCTGGGTCGTTAAATTGCTGACTTGAGGGCAAATCCATTCATTTATTAAAGAAAACTCATGCGACATTTCTAGGCCGTACTTGCAAGATAAGAGCGAGCACTAGCACCAAGGCTACAAGTCTATCTGTATGTCATTACAAAGCGGGCAGTAACCATGATCCGTCAACTTGTTTTTTGATTTATACAATTCAACACAAGGAAGACGAGATGGGGGCTTTTCATAGGCAAAACCTAGAGGTTTCAGACCATTAAATAGGCAATTGAATTGAATAAAGACATATACAACCACTTTGTCAGATTTGACCAACTTTTTTTATAGATCTTCAGGCACAAGTTGTCTTTAACAAAGATAACATTCCATAACACCACTTGAGGAGGCAAGATACCATACAGAAAGTGCGACTATTTGCGTAGTATTCATCCGCATGATATGGTACACGGAAAGAAAAATCGCTCGATTCTCGTACAGGGTGCCTCGTACTTTGTCAGTGGCAAGAATGCGCTAAAATATGCATGTCTTGATATTAAAACCTGTGTTTCAAACTTAAGATTCGAGTAGGAACCGTTATGATCAGGCATTAAATTTTCGCTTAAATGGTTAAACATTTCATTTACAACTTAATTTTATCGAAAAAGGATAAGAAACACAGAGCTCCATGGGTTGAAACTTGAATCACATCAACAGCCGTGAAGATTCTCGGTTGATTATTATTCTGTTTCAAATATACAATATGCATGAAACCAAGAGAAAAGCATTTTGTTGAGTTCAAGCGATTTTGTGCCTGGCAGATTAGCAAGTGTAACAAGCTTCATGGTAGGGCCAGCCTAAATAGCAAAGCTTTGACCCACATAAATGATGTAGATTTCAAATTCTTTCTTACACATTAGCATGGATTGTCATACAAGACGCAACCTGGACAATAACTCTTTACAAACAAAGATTGGCTTTCAAATGCTGAAGCTGTTCGTTTTCTAAAAAAGGCCCTTGTACAGTTTACTTGTAGAACAATAGAAAATAATAGAGATCGACATGCCATCATGTTCATATTACTATTCTTTTTACTCTCATCTCAGAATCTGAATGAAAGAACTGGAAAAATGAGGTGAACACTAGATGAGATGTACAAAAGGAAGGCTGCATCAAGCGAGATTAATCTTACTCAAACACGTAAAATACAAATATAGAAATTTGTAAGCATTTTAGTAAGTTTTAAATCAGTGAACGTTTTGGATCGAGGCGCAATCATCCGTCATCTATTTTTTTTTGAGGGAGGAAAGGAAAGCATGATATTCAGGTTTTTTTTTTTTTTTTTTTTTTTTTTTTTTTTTTTTCGCTGATCCCTTATTTACATGTCTTGTATAGCTATCGACGGTTTGCGCCGAATGACACACTACATAATCTAATTTCATCTTGCATCAAATAAAGTTTCTTTGTTCGTAATGTCAATATTGCTCAACTTGAAAATGTTGATTAACTGAATCTAAAGTAGATGTATATTTATAGCAGTGCAGTGATGGATTACTGTCAGCGCCATGATGTGAGAGAAGCGACACAGTGTGAGCGAGCATCAAGACGAATTTCACGTGCACTCACATAATGCGAGTAAATGATTTTTTTTTGTTTTAATCAATAATTTCCGTTTTCAATAAAAGAGTGTAAAATGTGGAAACGTGTCAGTTATGATTATATGGTTTAAACGGTAACTTGATTTGATTTTCAGGGGCAATTTTAAAATTTGGTTTCTTCGGAGCATGTTTGTAATCACCGCGCAAAACAAGCTTTCATATACAACCACATTTACCTAATGTAGGATATTATTATAACATTGGCATTATAAATAGATCAAACCAACACTATAGTCTTTGGCTAACCAGGTAAAAAAACAAACTGGATACGAAAAAAAAAAGAAGATTTGATTAAAAATTAACTAGGATAACCAGTGAGAGGGCAAGATTTGAGCGGATATTCCTTTAATTAGAAGAAGGGCGATGTTATCCTTTAAGCTTGCTTAGTTATAGGCTCCAATCTTACCATGTTGCACACGATGGGCAATTCAGAGCACGCACGCCCTGTGTGATAATAGAATATATAATGGTAATGGGTTTGTGACTAATGGGAAAAAAAGAAGCCAAACAGTTCAACGACATGTACATGTATTTGAACATTATTTGATCTGCAAGAAAAACTGGTATGAAACGTGGCGTGATAAATAAATGATTTTTATTAAAGATTAAGGGGCGAGGGAGGAGTGGGGTTAAATGACAGTAATTTGAATCTCTCCATTATGTTCAAGAGACAGAGGTGCTGTTCCGAGACCCATACCAGTTGTAAATATTGTATATTTTTAGTGTGACAGATCCCTCTTTTGGTGATTATGCACACATTTTGTATAATCCTTGCTTCCAACAACGCACGTCCGTCATTATAACGATGCGTTGCCAGCTTGAAAAGATAAAGAAGGTGTGCAAGTACTACATTTGTTTCACTATGCAGATCATTTCGAGCATTTCATCTGGTTCATTGTGTTGTATATAGAGATCAATTAACCCATCAACAAAAGGAAGCAGTAAGGGTTCGAAAAAAGAAGGTTAAGCTTTACTCATATCTAGTTTTTTTTTCTGACTCTGGTTGTTGTAACTTATATAGGGGATCCAACTATAAAAAAGATACACCCGCTCAGTGGCCTACATTGCTGCTTTGCCTCTCGCCCTTTCTCTCTCTCTCTCTCCATGTCTTCTATAAAAGATGTTCTGCCCCTCAACCTTATTGTCGTTCATTTCGACATCCGCCTTTTAGCTTGCTTATAAAGATCTCTAGATCCAAACGAGAAAGCTTCTTTTTCTCTTTTGGTTTTCGTCTTTTTTTATTCCACCTTTCTGCCATCACATTGCAAACATGAACTCTACTCACGAATCAAAAGAATGGCACCAAGCTGCTACATTGCAGCACCCAATGAGTGACAGCAATGTCTCTCAATCACCTCAGTTACAGCATTACTCTCCAATGCCAACAATGGATCACCATAGTTACGGTCAATCATTTCCTCAGGGCCCTATGCATCCACCTGTGTAAGTATTCGACCTTTTTTGAGTGATGTCTTTCCAATGAAAAATCACACACATTGATGGTGCAACATTGCACGCAGCTTGTTGAAAAACTATTATCGTTCATGTCTATTAACACAGTTTGATATATACATTATAGTCATCATCATCACCAGCTTCCACCTTCAAACAATTACTTGCCTGCTGGAAAATCAGAATCAGATCCTCGCTTACCTGGGTAATTACACACACAATAGTTTAGTATTTTTATATCTATTTTTTTTTTTTACTAACCTGCTTAATCTGACGACTAGTATGATGGCTCTTTCTCAACCTGGTACACCTCGCCCAAGTCACCACACTTCCCCAATCTCAAAAAAAGCACATGCTAATTATACCACCTCATCATTCCATGCTGCTCCTTATGCTCATCCTGCACTTGCTCGCAAGAGAGGACGAAGTGAATTATTCTCTACTGAACTTGGTCCATTCTTCAGTTCCACAAAGCCTGTTGACAATTTGTATGCATTGGATAGATCTACATTGTAAGTGCCTCGTCAGAGAGACAAGTAAAGCATATCACTCATCCAATACTCTCCTCCAGATTGACTATTCGCATTCAAGCCAAGATGGACAGAGGCTTCTTTTTGGCTGATAATGATTGGACCTGTTACCGCAGAAACTACTTCCAAGTGAGTGGCGCTTTTGCCATCCATGGTTTAAATCATTATTACGCCGAGCAAGAAACGCAATGTTTGGTTCAAGTAGATGGCGTCTTTCATCCTGTTCACAACTTTTCAATGAACATCTCGGCCCGTGTTTCGAATAGCGATAAAAAGATCGAATTGGTTCAACACACTCCTAAGAGAGATAAGGGTCCCCAATCTACACCTTCTGCCAAGCTGATCATGCCTGGTGGTAACTTGAGCATGAGCTCTGTTGGCGCTAATCAGAGCATCGTTACCTTTGAAAGAATCCAATTCAAAACAGCCACCGCAAACAACGGCAAAAGAAGAGCTGCTCAGCAGTACTACGTGTGTTTGGTCGATCTCTATGCTGAAATTGAAGGTAACAAGAAGATCAAGATTGCTTCTTGTCAATCTGCCCCCTTGGTGGTACGTGGCCGCAGCCCAGGTCATTACTCTGACAACCATGATCGCTATGAAGGCAGCAGTAACCCAATGCCCATGAGCGCTGGCACCCCCACTGGTCCTCCACCTCCACCTCCTCAACATCACCAACACCAAGATGATCGTTATGGTCCTGCTTCTGTTGCCAATGCTCCCTTCCCAAGACCTCCCATGACTCCACCCGGTGTAATGGGGCCCGATTATGGCTCGCCTTATCCTTATCAAGCATACCCTACCAACTATCCTCACTTTTCAGGTGGACAAGGGCCTATACAACCTGGCATGATGCCTCCTACACCCACTGGACAACATCCATCTCATCATCATCACCACCCTCAACAACAGCAACCACCTCAGCAGCAACAACAACAGCATAACGGTGGTTCTTATATGGTACCCAGCATGACATCAGATCCATCTTCATCCGAGACTTCATCCCCTGATCTTTATAACGGAGAATTCGGCCATGGAAATAACGGAGGAGCACCCGCACCTAGTAACAGTGTGTTGCACGACGAGGCCAATAAGCTGAGCCATTCTCAACATCAACAGCCCCAATTGCCCCATCCTCATCATAACCATCATGGTATGAGCAATATGCATATGCCTACAATGGATAACAATGATTGGCGTGGACGTATACCTAGTGGACATCCATCTCCTGCTATTGGATATGAACAACAGCAACAGCAGCATTCATACTTTTCTCAACCTCCCACAAACCCCAATGGCCCAAGTGCATTCTCCAACACCTCTGCGCCAACTACACCTTATGGCGGCCCTGCCCCTTCTAATGGCGCTGTGGGTGGACCAAGAAAGTACACAACTGGCCCTGCTGCCATCCAGCAACAAGCATCTTAAAAAACCTTTTTACATTTTAGTTATGACACCTTCTTAATACCACCAAAACAACCCTATTTAATCATTGTATAAGCTTTTTCTTTTCTTTATATGTAATTTCCCTCAAGACCATGCTATTTCACCGCTATTTTCATGCTTCTTTTTCTCTTATTTATATATTATAAATCTACTTTTATTGTTACCATTAAAAAATTGTTTCTTTTTTGACATTTACATGCAATGTTACACTTTTCATGTACACGCAACACATTGATGATCTTTGAACAACCTCCTTTTTTTTTTTTTCTTTCAAAATGAAGCCGTGAAAGGATACACGAGTAAGGGTCATTTTCGACAGCTTGTACGATTTTGCTGGCACTCTAGTCGGTATGTTTCACTTTAATCGTTGCACACAACCATGGACAGAGTGTCATAGCGTTATTGAGCTGTTTACGGTGGTATAGTTACATTTGTGCGCTGACGCTCAATGTGACTACTGGGAAGAGCTTGAGCAAGATGAACAGGAGCAGTATTGAGGCGCATTTTCCACTCAAGCGCTATTGTGTGTCATGATGGCTTTGGAATGGGAACGCTTTGATAGTATACTGCAACGCGAGCAACTGGATTCCATCCTCAGCAACCAGCCATTCATCCTATCTTTTCTGAATCAATTACACACAGTAAGAGAGAACATGCTTTCATTCAATGTCAAGATGGTTATATATAACCCTCATAGCGTATACTTAGAATCTGAAAGAGCTGAACACGTCAAATCAATGCTACGAGATCTATCCCCAAGCAGGGCCACTATTGACCCGAGCCTCAGTAATACATTTTTAAGCACATGCAATGCACCTGTTGGATTAATCAGATGCCGTCAGATACACCCCTATATAGGTCATGATCCCAACATCACAAAACTAGTATTATCTTGTCTGCTGGAATATGCTAAATTAGATCTCGATCCTTTTATGCACGATGAAACTATGCCAAAGTAATCTCTGCATGACAAGGATGCTTGTTTACATGACTGACATTTGAACTTATAGATCTAATCTGTGGTGCATCATTCGACTACGGCGACTCATCCATGTAGCAACCGAAACATCGCCTGATTTCATCGTTCAACTATCGGCACGCCTGGATAAACAAACCAACAGCAGTGCTATCGTATCGAATAGCAGGATTTCGGAAGCTTGTTTGGGTCTAGTGCACGAAGAAAGGGCCTTTCCTGTCATTGAGCGATTCGTTCGACTTGCACTACCGCAGCAAGGCATGGTTGATCCCGCCCATTTCGATCCACCTCGGCTGTTGTTGCCTGATCAGTTATTGCGTCATTTAGCAGTGGATAGCGCTCTGCATAAACATGTAATCGCATGTTGGTCAAATGATCTGAAATCGAGGTATTTTAGCTCATCTTGTGTATGTGTGGATGTTTCAGCTAAAGGGATATCGGCTAGGCTCCTGTTGAATTACAATGAACTGCTGGATACTGAACTCCTAGATTTGATTTCAGAGTTCATCGAGTCGGATCAGTACCAAGATCTCCATACAATGCAACACAGTATCAGCCAACATCACCTCTTGCAAGTCACCATCACTTGTCCCATTTTGAGCAGGATGTTGGTGACCAAATTAGCATCATACACTGTTTTGCTGTCGAACTGGAAGGTCGTACGCCTCATGCAGAGTGTATATCGTATTCTGGAGGCAGGGCCATCATGCAAGCTATTTACAGAATTCATGCCGCATCAATTTGACTCGATATCCAGATTTATCTACAGCGGGCCATTGGATAGCGTTGAATCTAGGAGAAATACAGTTTGGTGTGTATCGCTCGCGTCCATCCGAGATGTGTGGCCGCTTGTGCGCATGTTAGTGAAGTGGAATCAGACATCTGACCTATGGACTTGTGTGGTAGTAGAATTAGTCCTTTATATACGATGACTATGCTAACGTTACTTTCTGGGTGGGTAGCTGGAAGATGCTCTTACTCACATCAACTGGATTATTTGTCCAACAAGAGACAACCGAGAGTCTCAATCATTTTGTGATCTAAAAAGCTGGATTCAGTCAAATCGAGGTACCTTTCAGAGGGAGGGGCAGGGGAATTGTTTTGCCAGCACGCAGTTTGATAAACGCGTTTTCGATTAGGAAAGGATCTTTTTTACAACCTGGCCAGACTATGGCGTACATTATTCAGCAGCAATGCAATTATTCTCTCCTTGTTTGTCATATCGATACTTGATCACTTGCATGTGGATCAGCAAATATCGTTGGTACTACACGCACAATCACTTGTAGCACATTTTCAGGAAAAATAACCCAACTTTTTGGTATATTGCCATAGATTCAACAAGTCTACTTTGCCTCGGGGGAGAACAGCAACGACATGATCATGTAAGTGATGGCCATAGTTTCGTGAGCACCAAAAAATCAACTAAAAAGTCAATATGGATCTAGTGCCCAGAACGAAAAGAGGCCGTATATTTGGATTCTGTTGGATTCTCTGGATGAATTGAAATCGTCATTGTCCTCATCATCCACGATAAATATCCCACATCTCATAAACCATATTCATGTGCATTTATCGAATTAAACTCTAACTCGGATACAGCACCTCTCGCTTTTGTTCATGCTGTTGAGTTTTATACACACACCAGAAGATCTTGTTTAGTGCAACAGATGACAATGTACGAGGGTTAGATTGTGCCACCTAATTTCACTAGTGCTACATTGCACACTTTCTGTTGCATTCTTTTATTATCACAGTTTCACCGAAAAAGTGCTTGTGTAGCTACCGTCTTTTCAGAAAACTGGATCTAAACGCATAGGTGGCACAATTTCAGCCTTCATCTCTTTTTGATTTTGGTAATTGATTGGAACGAGTCTAGTACCTGGAATTATACACTCTGCTAGAGTTGAGGACACCCATAGATCATACAAGGATTTGCTCATTATGCGGTTATGTGAGACACCGACATCTAGGTACTGATATCATCATTAGATGCTTGGAATGGCAATGAAGCAATCAATAGCGCTCTGTGCGCACTCTGAGATACCTTTTTGCCGATTTTAGTTTATGACATTGTTGATAGAAATCATATTAGACAGCCCCACCTGCATTGCTTATCATGAGTGGCATCAAATGCCGAGCAATTGTCCTTTTTGTTAAAAAGCAGATATTGACTATGCAACATTTCAAGCCATCTATAACGGGTGCAATTTGAATAACAATGCTAGATGGGTATTAGTGGGTATTACAAAGAGTACGTGGCTGTAGGGTCTACTAACAATTGCATTTTGTATGTAACGGCGTGTTGTCAACGATGATTTAGCGTCTACAATAAGTCGATTTGATGAGCTTTCTATTACAGCACTGGTTTGTGAAATACGTCAATGATACAGAAGCTGAAAAAAAGAAGGGTAAGTGATAAAACGTATTACAGCATGTGGCCACCATTGACGCCTGAATGTTATATCGTCATTTTTCTCCTCCCAAAATTTTCTTATCGGTTACAATGACCCCTAGGCATGAGTAGCAATAGCATTCAGGTTCATTGACATAATGATAGAGAATCTTTCGTTTGCGATGCTCAGCTGTACGCCAGCACTGGACCATACACAACTCAATGTGGCGTTTTTAAAACTATTTATACAGCTTTTTTTAATAGAGGCTTTCATTCATTGAACCGGCGTCTATAGCATAATTCGGGTTGCATGCAAGATTGAGACTAAGGGGATGAACAATCATTTGCAAATCCATCCTTCATGTAAACGCATCTCAACAGCCAACAGGCGCAATGATTTACTAAAGAGCTCAGAAAACACATAAACAAAGCATCCAGGTTCGGTCAGTTGATCACTATGATTAGACGCCATGACACTGGAAAACCTGTTTATAGTTGGTTTTAGAAGGGTGTGTAATCAGTCTACTTTCTTTCCTCCCCATTTCCTATATTATAAAAATCGTCTGTATTCCATGTCTAGAAGTCGTATACAGAAACAGTTGTCTGGCTGCAATTGTTAGATGTGGACATGTCTTTGACAAAACATGATACGTATAGTTTGCTTTCTCTGCGTTAAATCTTACTGTAATACATTCTGTTCAACATTGGACAAGCATTGAGTAATGGGCGCGGCCAATGTCCAGTCTGTAAATCACAAATTGTGGACTCTTTCTCTTTTAGACTACATTACTTTCGAACCTACCCTTCCAAAAGCGAGTACCTTGATAGTTAAGAGTGCATCAATTTGAAGAAGAAATTCTGTGAAGCAAACCAGAGATTACCTACACTACAATTAGTCCTATCAGACACCACGAGCAAACTAAATTCCTTATGCCAAATACAAAATGCCACATCTTCACAGCACAAAGAAGTCAAGGCTGCACTGGAGATTGCACCAAAATCGATTAAAAGGCTAAAAAAAAAGACGTCGAACACCTCAAACGAGCTAAAGACGGATTATTTAAACGTAATGATAAACTCAAGGCTTCAAATCAAATTCTCACCAAAAATCTCAAGACATCGGAAAGCTTGCGCCAGATTTTGATAGAGCAGCAGGTATCTAGGGATGTGCAATCAGGTCAAGGTACGCTGGGTAATATTGTTTCAAGTTTAGACAATTTACAAGCAAGGCAGATATCTCAAAAGGACTGCCTAGATCTGAAGAGAAACCATCAGGATCTCGTCATAAAGGAAAGGCTTGTAGAAAAAACCTGAATGGCCTTACACTGCAGCAGGAAGGCTTGAGCTGCACAAAGGATTTAGTAAATACTCAAAGACTATACAAGCAATTGATTGAGGCACTATCAATTGAAACCAACTCAAGCACAAAAAGAAAGATATAGTGAATGAAAGTGGTCTCTGCAACATTTATCCTAACGTGATAAGTTTATAGTCCCTAGACACTTTTACAACTTAATATAGAAGCTGAGTTGCCAGGCATTTGTCAGACATGGTTCATATCATAACATAATAAATGTTCAGTACTTTTGCACTTTACAATCCTAATATGGAACCTGAGTTTCAAGGCATCTATCAGACCTGGCTCATATGAGAATAATGATTTTACAATCAATCAACAAAAACCACTGTAATTTCTACCCTCTTTCCTCTGCTCAATGCTGTCAATGTTTTATTTGAGCGACGTCTCAGAGCCTCAGAGATTTCATTACTTACTGCAGACATTTTATGCAACCCATGCATTGTCAATGTCCAGACTAACGTTATTAAATATAGAATGCAAGACGATGTCATTATAAACAATAGTGCTATGACCTTCTACCTACTTTCTATACGCTTCGAGGGCATTTACTACTGTATTGCCTTATGAAAAGGGCATGAGTTTTCCAGCTGGCCCCACCAGCCAAAATTAATTCAAACCCAGAATCATAGTCTGTTCCAGATTGGACATATTTTGATAATTTTGGACTCGATCGAGCTATTTTTGCAGATTCGACTAAGTGAAGTATGATAATCACCCCATGCTTCCTTAAGCTTTCCTGGAGTACTTTTCAAGGCGCTTCCAATGGTACTAAGTAAAATAGATGTTTTGAATACACTTATTAAATGATTTGTAAAAATATGAAAAGAGGTTTATGGCCAAAATGTCGAAATTTTACATATCAAAGTCCCACAAAGATAATTTCAGAGGTTGCTTTGGATTGATAGAAACATTTTGATTCAAGATATACCATAGTAAAAGTCTCCATTATCAAGATGAAAAATGCGATCGTTTGATTTTCGATGAAAACCATGAGGGATACCTCATGCTTTTTGGTCGATTTTTGACCATGTTTTTTTGGTCCCCAAAAAGTCGAGCAAAAGTGTCAGAAAGTAACTGCCAGATGAAAGCAACCATTTGGGGCTATTCTGACGATCTAAAACGGCCTTGAACGCAAGAAAATTCAGCTCAAATGCACTCATATTTTGCTGTATTAGGGACACTAAGGACTAAAAAGTGGGAATACCAGTATGCTGCTTGCCCGTATATGAAGTAGCTACGTGTATATGGATGTAGAACATCACATAAGAATCAGATCCACAGATAATATGAAGGGTTGCTATGTGTAAGTGGAGGGTCAAAATGAAAGTAGCAGTATTTTGATAAAATACGCAAGAGAAATCAGTAGCACGAGCTGCCGCTGCGCAGGTTGGTTCTCTACCTTCGCTACGCTTCGGTGAGAACCATCCGAAGCATAAACACTCATATGATTAGTGATTATATATCAATCAACAATCAGGGTTCCTCTTCTAACATTTTAGCTATATTAATTTTGGGATATTAGCCAAAGGCCCGCGGCAGCGCGAGCCGTTTGAACGTAGGTTGGTTTCCACCGAAGCGAAGTGTAGGTCAGGAAACCACCCGAAGTGCTGAAAGGCTCGTATGATTAGAGATTTTATATCAAATTGCTATCAATCCACATACTACAAATGCTATCTAACATTTTAGCTAATTAATTTTGCAACATTAGCCAAAGGCCCGCGGCAGCGCGAGCAGGTTGAACGCAGGTTAGTTTCAACCGAAGCAAAGCGTAGGTCAGGAAACCAACCAAAGTGTCGAAAGGCTCGTAATATATAGTAAAAAGTATTGCCTAAGGTTTCAGGGCCTACAAATAAAAACATCAACCACGCTCATTCCTAGTACAGATGTCTTCTTACTACAAGACCATCGTACTGTATTACATGGAACAACCAAAAGTGAGCTTTGAAATAATGATGCTTTTACTTTGAAAGCAACATGCGCCTACTATAACTCAATTTTCCAAGAGAAACGGCGGTGGAAATAGAATGGGTTTGTTGCTGAGAAATAGATGAATTTTGAAACAAGTAAACTTTGAGTGATGAGCTTCATATAAAAACCACATGTTAATCAGGAGCGGTTTCGAGCAATAGATCGATAGAAGAAATGTTTCAGTATAGCCTTAAAAGCAAGGTTCTCCATCATGTCAAGTATCTATTGATAACTTGAAACCAGCAAGTTAATATGGCCCTTTTCGTACGCTCCGATTTTTAAAATGCTCGGTCAAATTCATACATGTGTCGTGTACACATGCCAAGGCTAAACGGAGCTTCAATTTCTATTGTTCTGAATGATGATCCATAGGATTCCGAAATCTATCGACCTTCAAATTACGCGTTTCTTGATAGTAACCATCCCTTCAAACTTATATGAAACTTGTAGAGAATTCAAAGGAGAATACAATGGTATTTATATCAAGTCTCTAGTGTACATTTTTTATTTGATATTTAATGAGATAAATTTTGCGATTTTTTCACTGTTTTCTAAAGATCAATCAGTATCTGTCATCAAAATATTTTGTCGAGCGTTACTAAACATTGTAGACCAAAAAATTTCCTATCAAATGAGCTATCGCTTGAAGCTCTGGCATAATTCTATCATGAAATATTGGCAATATTGTCCTGACCAAAAAAAGGCCACCCAATTTTTTCGCTTGCTATCACAGGCAGACTTTGAAGAAAAATCCATGATTTTGCATGATACCCTTTTTTGAGTATATCTCGACAAATAATCACCAAATTCGCACAAAACAAAGAGCATTCGATAGCTCTAGATTATATCCATTATAATGTGAGAGTTTAAAGTACCAGGTGTACATTCCCTTCATGAATTTGCTGAAAATCATATATTTCATGAGCTACAAGCAGGGGATAACCAAAACTTTTATTTATTTATCTATAATAACTATACTATCATATAGAGAATTGAAAAAGAAACAGAAGCTATTAAGTTTGAAGCTTTCGTTTACTTAGTAAAAATCAGAGATATGGCCCTTTGAAAATCGGTCATTTGGAACATTTTCCGTCATTACTCATTCGCATCACCTTAAATAACCACATATCAAGCATTCCCTATTCAAAAAATGTACCCTCTACAACTTTCACTACACATACATCTCACATTCATATAGTAATTTAAAAAGTTTTACTAGCAGCATCTATTCAAAATGAACTATTTTCTAAAATCTTTTTTTTTCTCAACAACCATTGCACCATCGTTTAGAGCGCAAGAGCGGGGCTTCAAAACCCGAAAACTTCGAAATCGGGGTCCGAATTAAAGAATAAACCAATCACAGCGAAGATATGGAATTCTTCTTTACATGTGGAATATAAAATGACCAAAAAGTTTATGTGCATACAAAAAGTAGTCCTTGGGTTTTCCAATCTGATTTCAATGTTGCTGTATATTGCCTAAGCAGATCAATCGATTGCTCTGAAAAGTTGTTAGATCTGATATATATATATATATATATATATATATTATATTATATTTTACATTATTGATGGTCTTTACACAATTAGCATTGGTTGAATCAAAGATGGGAAACGATAAAAAAAAAAAGAAGGGAAAAATCCAACCTAAGTAAAGAAGTGAATGCAAAGATGAGGTCTCTTTTTATTTTCGGGAAGGAAACTATTGAGAACGGTTTAATTTACAAGGCAACTATCAAACTTTACAAGAAAATCACTCTTTCTTACCAAGAAGAAGGACTGTGACAAGAAGATGACTTTGCACTGCATTGCAGTTGTTGCATGGCGATGGTGTTTGTTAGACAGTATCTACTTAGATTAGACGATGCAAACAAATATTATGACGCGAAGAAGGAGGTTATATGGAGATGATAGACGAAGAGGATGCTGGTCGTAAATGGGAAGAATTTGAATTTGGAAAAAGGATCAAGAACAAAAAAGGATAGTGTTTGGAAGGTTAATATTAAGAAGAGCTAACGACATTTCGTGTATGAAGGCAGCAAGCAACGATTTGGAGCATTTTTGTAGTAAATTAAAATTAGTCAAAAACTTTTTGCGAATGGTACAGGGTACGAATACTTGAGCTTAGGCCTGAAAAGCTTCACTCAAAGCTTTGAATCGAAAACTTACCATTATCATTATGAGGCAACGTTATTCAGATACAACATGGAACAGTAAATCCAAACAAAGAGATACAAGAGACCAATTAGTACGGTCTACAATCCATTTAAAAAATTTCGAGCAGTAATTTTACGGACGAGGTTGAAGGAAATGATGAAGCAGCACATCAAATACCGGACGAAAGAAGGGATTGAATAAGGAGGTGTGGACAGGCTTACTTGCTGCTATCAAATATTTATTTGAATAAATACTGATCTAATATATAAGGGCAATCATGATTCAACAGTGACCTTACTATGCCGTTGGTACCTGACGGTAGATTTAATTGTCTTCATACCATAACACTTGTTTCGTAGCCCATTCAAGCAGGTACAAATTTTATGCAAAAAGAACCACCATCTCCACAGGAAAGCATAAATAGGATAGTGGCTTGTACATGGTATTTTAAAAAGGCACATTTTTTTTAGCATCTCAAAAATTTGTTGAACCCTTCTTCAAAATTCTTACAGTAATATTAAATATGGTCAAGGTAATGTTATGGGCATCAGCGCCATCAAGCAGCGAAATACTGATACCAGATTGAAATAGACTATTGGTACTCACAGCGGTCATTTTCACTGGTAAGATTGCATTTTTCATGAATGCAATGTCATACTTACAAGACATACCATTGCTAGCGATGAAGCTTTGGCTGTCTCTTTGTTAAAGAAGACCAAGGAATTCACTGGAGCTCAACTTATCCGTACTCGTGATGCCAATAAGTTGGCTGAATGCGATATCATTGTGGACGTTGGAGGTGTTTACGATCCTGCCACTCATAGATATGATCACCATCAAGTAAGTGCTTCTACAGCAAAAAATGAATATGAACCCCTTGAATTAAACCTTGTTGTCGGGTAGCGTGGATTCACAGAGACATTTGACGATAAGCATCAGACAAAGTTAAGTTCTGCTGGTTTAGTGTACAAGCATTTTGGCAAGGAAGTTGTTATGCATCTCCTTGGCAAAGCTGAGGTGGATGACGATGTTGAAATGCTCTACCAAAAGACCTATCACGGCTTTGTTGAAGCTTTGGACGCCAACGACAACGGTATCAGTGCCTATCCCAACACCGTCTCACCTCTTTACAAGGAATCACCCACCAGTCTTTATCACAGAGTTGCAAAGAAGAACCCCAACTGGAACGAACCTATGACTGATGCTGAGATTGATGCTCGTTTTGTTGAAGCCTCTGACATGGCCGGTGCCGAATTAGCAGATTATGTAAAGGGCCTCCAAGTCTCTTGGTTGCCTGCTCGTTCTCTTGTCGTGGATGCTCTTGATAAGGCTGCCGAAGTGCATCCTTCTGGTCGTGTTATTGCTCTCGAACGTTCTTGCCCCTGGAAGGAACATTTGCTTGATTTGGAGAAGGAGCGTGGTTTAATGGAAGATAAGTCTGTCTTGTATGTTCTTTATCCTGAATCATCTCCCGAAGGTAACTGGCGTATTCAATGTGTCCCTCTTCGCCCTGAAGGTTTTGAAAACAGAAAGAGCTTGCCTGAAGCTTGGAGAGGTTTCCGTGATGATGAATTGAGCCGTATTTCTGGTGTTGATGGCTGTATCTTTACTCATGCTGGTGGTTTCATTGGTGGCAACAAGTCTCGTCATGGTGCTTACGAAATGGCTAGACTTGCTATCGAATTGTAAATATATTAATTATGAATAATAAAGTATTCTGCTCGATTGAAACATGTATATCGTCATTTTTTTTCCTGTGTGGGTCTGATGTGTATCATCCATTTCTTTTGCAAAAATCGAATATTCTGTGAATTCTTAACCGTTTGCTTTGTTGAGCCATGTTTTGCTAATGATGTTTCAGAAGTCAAACAAATTAGATATTTGGTTTATTCATATTTTTTATTAAGTGGTATAATTTACAAATGATAAAAGGAAGGGAAAAGTATTAATGATGATAATGAGTGATGCTGTATTATTACAAAAATGAAAGCGTTTACAAAAAGAATGCTGCTACTTGAAGGATATCAATGCCAAACTACCAGAGCCGCGCCTTAATGACAGTGGCCTTGAGGTAGATGTGATACTGCAACTGCTAATAGAATGTCGCCTTGACTCCTCTTCTTCTTGCTGCTGTTGCTGTTGTTGTCTCTCAGCTTCCAGCGCTAACCTTGATGTTGGAAGAGCGTATAGTGGAGGCGCACTGGGCGGTGCACTCGGTGTATAAGCAGGAGGTGGTGGTAGATTAGCGGATGATGAGAAGGATTCTTGTGATTTTTGTAAATGCTGTTGATGTTGTAGGTAGGAAGGTCGATTTGACGTTGTTGAGGATGAAGATGAGGATGAAGACGAGCCACCAGTGTCTGCCAGATGGGAAGATAGTGAGAGTGAGGGTAGTGATACTTCTTCGTCCGGCGCGATTGACGACGTGGCTACAGATATGGCTATCGAAGGATGATGTCTATGATGGCGGTGGTGCGGTTGTCCTAGGCGTTGCAACTCATCTTCATTCTCTTCCGTGATATCAAAGCCTTCGTCATCAAAAGGATTACCATAGTGTAGCGCATCCAATTCTTTAGCGCTCGGTGCAGAAGGTAATGATGTTGCAGTTGTTTGTGATAACATGGAAAGCGTTTGATTTTGGCGGTATTCAGCATAACGGCGTGGAGGTTCGAGACTAACAGGTAATGAAGGTGGTGCAGTAGGTTGTAGACTCATGCGTTGATCCAAAGATTGTATCATATTTTTGCTATTTGACAAGTCGGCAGGGTCACTAAAAGGATCTTGACTGAAGCCAATGACAGTATCGCCACCATCATTGGAGAAGCGAGTGTGGTAATGTGAATATGGCGTGAGTGACGATGGAGAGTGAGGAGGAGTAGGAGGTGGTTGTGATTGAGAACCTCTGTCGCTGTCATTACTGTTGTTGTTTTCAGCTACTTCGAGATCTGCTTGCTTTCTCTTTCTCTTGCGCATTCGCATACGAGTGAATACAAGGCCACCAGTAATAAGGGCGATACCAGCAATGCCACCCACAATAGAAAGTGCCGTTACCACTTTACGGTAAGCTAATTGATCACGCAACATTGCAGCAGTATCCTGAGATATTTCAGAATTATCAGACGATGAAGAGCCAGCTGAACCATTGTCAGATGTAGAGGACGAGCCGCCATTTGGGTCGCTTACTTCATGGTGCTTTGAGGTATCGCTCTTTTGCTTTGCTGAATCGCTGGATGAACCAGAGCCAGTGTAGATGGTTTTGGGTGTCTCGGTAGATACAACAATAATAGTAGTAACCACAGTATTTGTTGGTGTTGTTGCAGTGCCTGCCTTGTTGTTAGCATCATCTTCTTTACTGTTATTATGAGAGTTTGACTTTTTGTGGCCATCGTCTTTATTGCCATCGTCATCATCGCTGTCGTCGTCGTTACTGTTTAATTCATGATGTTTATACTGCTTTGATGTAGATTTTGTGCTACTGCCACTAATATTATCGGTGCTACTGCTGCTATTGTCATCGTCATTATTATCAGCTTCGTCGTCTCGGTCTTTGCGTTCTTTTGCCTTTTCTCTAGATTTGCGTGCCCTTTCTTTTGCTTTTCTGACTTTTTCTTTAGCTCGTCTGATAGCTTCGAGTTCATCTGCTATTTCATCATCGTCTTTGTCCGTTTTATTTAATTCCTGAACGACAATTTTCTTTAAAAGGTCAAAATTGACATTTTGGGTGGGTTTCGGTAAAATGGCTGTATTGGTTGAGGTGGTCGTTGCTGGTGGAGATGGATTGGGATAGCATTGATGTAAGTTTAGTAAAAAGAGGGAAATGAAGCATGCAATCAACATGAAACGAGTTGTTGCGGTTGCGGTTGTCATGTTGGAATATGACATTTGTTTTCTGTTTTGAAAAACGCAAGTTTGTCCAGCTATTTTTTGTTGAAATTCGAAAAATAGAGAAAAAAGAGGGAATTTCAGAAAATTACTATTTTCTCTTGATGAGATACAAGTCTGACTTGAAAGACGCAAATGTTTTTGAGCTAAATTATCTCACAATACTCACTGTTGTCCAATGATTTCAGCATCAAAGCGCCGATAGATATGTAAAAATACACATATGATGAGGAAACATCTTCATTTTCGAGAGTTCCTAGAAGCAACATGGCTGGCATTGGTATAATATATCTCTGCTATATTAACATGTAGATGGCATTCAATTACCACTGCAGTTTTCTTTTCATGTTTACACTCTAAAATGGTTTCAGTTGGGAATAAATATAAAAAAGCATACAACAACAACTAACCTGATATCACGCTTCCCGATCCAACAAGCAAAGTGTCAAAACCCTGATATTAGACTCCGTTTTAACTATTGATGCGAAATATTGCCAATTGAATTGAAATCAGCTTGATTATATCATGAATAAGCGTCGCGCTCGATCCACTTTGTTCATGTTTGATCTGGTCCCAAGAGAGCGCGTCCCTTGAACATGTCATTTAGAGCAAGATAAATTAGATGTTTGTGCATCACCGTACCACATTGGCTAAACTCCATTTAGCAAAAATGAAATTTGTGGGATCACATTTTTTATAATTGCATCTTTTGCTTTTAATTTGTGTATTCTTCGTAAAGCTTAAGAGTTACCCATGCAATTCTTTTGTGCATAATTGTCTAATGTCATTTGAGTAATTTGGACCTTCGAGAAGACAATCTCTCGTCTTAGCTCGTTCTTTGGATGTATTGAGCACTGGGTGGTTGGTGGAATACAGCATCCCGTTCTAGGTCGTAAAACCATTACTAATCGTCTTTGGGATAAGTTGTCAATGCGTTGATGCAGGGCGTATGCATCACGTTTCCAATGCTATGGAAACCCCTTGACTTTGCATAGTAACCGATCCTGATTGTTCCCTATCGATAACAAAATTGCCCAATCAACTGGTTCAGATCAGAAGAAAGGGTCAGATCCTACTATTTGAGGAAATTTTGTCAAAAAACCTATCCTATACATGCGGTCATTCATCAAGTAAATGTCAAGTCCATCTGTCATCCGGCTGAACCTCAGAAATCAAATGTCAGAGCTTGAAGAGAGCAAATAGCTACAAAGCATCTAATCAAGAGTAATCATACCAGTGACATTATTGTAGTCTTTTTGAAGTTAGCTACAATCAGCTAAATAAAAACTATTTTAAACCTTTAAAAGATAAAGATAGCATTCAAAGCATAGCATTCCTTCTAGATCAGCGTAAGAGCAACAATGGTAAATCTTGATGAAAAAGCGTCGTCGTGATCAATCAGTGGTAAATACAGTCTGTAGCATTGATCACCGGACAGGGCTCAAACTTTTTTATTCGTATTCACAAACATGCTCATAAGATCCAGAGTAAAGAAGAAGAACGACAACCCTGAAATCATATCAACAAGGACACTCACATTCAACTCAACCCTCAAATGAGATTAGAGCTAATTGCTGGTGAAGATGGGCGCATTCAGAATCTGCCAATTGTCAACGAGATTGCAGCCACCATTCCCAATGAATATTTTTGATACAGGTTGTAAAGATATCCTCATCACATTCCGAAATGGCCTTTCAGCCAATGGCGGTAGTCTCTTTGAAGTAATTCATGTATAATGCCTGCATGCAATGTTGAAATGCTGCAAATCATGATGAGGAAGTTGCAATTACATATATTTTGGTGGTGGGCCAGGTTGACTGGGGTTGTCAGGTATCGAAATGCCCAACAAAAGCAAAAAAAAAAAGTATCCAGTCTAAGCGATTGTCCTTTCAAATCCTTGCTCCCCATTTAATCAGCATCCCAATTATTATTGCTATCATCAGAAGACATGCTGGTCAGCTAACAACAGCGCCATCCGTCAAAATCCGTTAAAACTCAGAGGATGTGTTGTATTGTTCAGGAATAAAGGGACCACTATAATATATAGGAAGAAGAAAGACTGACGTTTATTGATGTGGATGCTTGGATCTTTATACCATTGATATGGTGTTACACAACAGTGTTCTGCTCAAGATTGGCCAACTTTCAAGTTTTTTTCGACTCGATTGAACTGTTTTATGAGATTCGACTATATAAATTGTGATGATCTTTCGATGCTTCCTTAAGCTTTCTGGGAGTACCTTTCATGGCGTATCCAATGGTACTAAGTAAAATAGATGTTTTGATTGGACTTCTCAAGCAACTTATGGTAATATAAAAAGAGGTTTCTGGCCAAAAAGTCGAGATTTTACATATCAAAGTCCCACAAAGATGATTTCAGGGGTTACATTAGGTCGATAGACACATTTTGGGTTAAGATAATAGGCTCTTTCGCGTAACCATCACTACCCCTAAGGTGAAAATTACGCCACTGCTTAAATCACATCTACAACCTTATAACCACCAGCGTTCCACTACCCATCCTCATGGCTACCACCACTGACCTCTCTTGGGTCACGGTCCTCTCTCGAGGCCTCTCCAAGAAGGTCATCAATGCTCCACAACAGCGAGCTAAAGATGACCATTTTAAACTAATTCCTGAAGTTATGTTCGAACACGAAGATCTGAAGGCCGAGGTGCTCACTCGTAAAGCTACTGCCATCCTGCAGCAAGCTTTGACACCGGGATCGGTTTTGTTTACCTTTCCAAACAAACTTTTTGTGCATCGTACAACAGCGTATCGCCTCATTCAGGAACAAATAGCTGCTAATGTCCAGTTTCGCCCCCTTAGTCTGTATCACCAGAAGTCAACTGGAGATCTCTTGGTGGAAGCTAAATTTGACTCCCCTGAGGATGCCAAACGAGCCATCAACAACGGCATCACTCATGGCGATGTGGTATACAAAGCTACTGCTGTCAAGGACAACAGCGAGGGCAAACTCACCCATGTGCAGATGACTATTGTCCGCATGCCAAACATGACCACTTTTCTGGAGGACTTGCAACGCTCGCTGAAATACTATGGTAAGCTATACCAAATCAAGAAGTACACTGTTGATGGCTTCTTTGAGGGTCATGTCAGCTTCCTGATCGACACTTCGGTCAAGTACACTGACGCGGAAGGTCACTCCTACGACGTACAGCCTTTGAGTCGCATGCTTTACCTTTCCGCCTGGGATGTCTATGTGCCAGCGACATACAGAGGAGCACCACCAGTTTGCCATTTCTGCCGTCAGAGTGGACACATTCGCGCTGCTTGTCCTATCCTAGCTAAACGCAAATGTTTCAAATGTCACAAGTTGGGACACACTGTTAAGTTCTGTCGAGAGGAAGAGAAGCCTTTTGACGAAGCAATCGCTGAATATGAGTCGAGCCAAAGGGATCACACTGATTCCTACTCAGTCACTCCAATTGATAAAGTTAACGAAAAAGAGAAGGGCCACAGAGCATCCCCCGCGATCAATGATATTCTCGCGCAGCAACTGCCATCTCAGCCCACCACCACAGACAAGCTAGCCGGCAAAACGACCGAGCTCACAAGTAGCCAGATCAGTACCTTGTTTTCCGCAAATGACAGCCAAACCTGGGACCAGTCTCCGGATGTGATGGAGGTCGATCCCCAGACCCTCCAGCGTTCTCCCAACGGTAGCGATGCTTCTAAGCATGCTCCGTTAGCTTCGTCCTTCCATATGCATTTGGATCCCAAGTTATCTGCTGACAATGTCTCCTCTCCCAATGATTTCCAGACTGATGTGCCCTCTCTCCGCCGTCATTCTATGAGCTCGACGTCTATGTCGCAGCCTCAAGTGTATCATGTCGCCCATAGGGCATAATGATACAACAATCATTGCGCATAGGTACCCTTAATGCCCGGAGCATCATTAAGGGTTCCTCAAAATCTATACAGAAGGAATTCACTTCCTTTCTGCGCTCCAAAACCCTCCAGCTAGATATTCTCTGTCTGCAGGAGGTCTCTCATTACCGTCAGCAGGCCCACCTCACTGATGATAATGTGCGTGCTTTCTCTTTTATGTTTCCTCGGTCTTTCTTTGTCGTCTCGAAGCATTGTGCAATAGTGTGTCTGAAGCAAGGCTTGGAGCTCGCGGATGCCACCATCTCTCGTGACGAACGCTGCATCACCGCCACTATTAAGGACGCTAATCACACCATATGCCAGATAGCTAATGTGTACATGCCCGTGCACAGAGCCCATCGCTATGCTTTCCTGGAGGAGCTGATGTCCATGCCCTTCTGGTCTGATATGCTTGACTCCCAGTGGATCTTGCTTGGGGATTTCAATATCCATTTGCATGATGCGGTCGAAGCTCGTCTCCCTAGAGTCCAACCTTTTGTTGAATGGCTGAACACTCATTTTTTCAACTGTTTTCCAAAAGGCACAATGACTCTCCCTAAAGCTGGCACCACCATTGACTATGTCTTTGCTCCTCCTCCTATGGCGACTCGTATCATCAACACTCAGACTCACCACATTCCACCTGAGTGGACCGATCACAGCCTCCTCACAATCGATCTGGTCACCTCTGGCGTCCAGTTGGGTCCTGGCAGCTGGCGTTTGAATCCGTACTTGCTTGAGAACCGTGAATTCCAAGCCCTTTTGGATAAAACCGTGGATATGTTTTTGGCGTCTGACTATTATACGACAGATGTGGCTGATATGGGTGTCTCTGCTCAGGAGAAGTGGGAATCTCTCAAGTCGATCATCAAGTACTGTGCCAAACAGTTCACCAAAGGCCAGAAGGCTCGCTTCAAAGCTCGAGTCTCCCACCTCCAACGTGAACGGGAACAGCTACTTGGGACCCCGGAGGAGTCGGCAAGGATCAAAAGACTGGAGCAACTGATTGAGCAACGGATTCAAGATGACACTCGTCAAGCTATGCTGCGTTCGGCTACTCGTTGGCTGGAAATGGGAGAGCAGAACAACAAATACTTTTTCAATGTGATCAAGGATCGTGAGGCGCAACAAACCATCCAGTCCCTGAAAAAGGCTGGCACTGGAGAGAAGCTGACAGACATGGGCGACATTCTCCAAGAAGCTCGTACTTTCTATCAGGATCTCTACACACCTGAAGACATTGATTTGGCTGCCGTCAACTCTCTCTTTGACAATATCCCTGCTGATGCGAAGCTACAAGAAGCTGAGGCAGACCGGCTGATTGAACCACCCTCCACAGACTCTGTCTTGCTGTTACTGGACCATGCACCCAAGAACAAGTCTCCTGGTTTGGATGGCCTTCCGTTTGAGGTGTATCGCTATTTGGCGGCGAAGTTCCCTGCTGTTCTGCTTCTCTTGCAGCAAGTGCTGACTGATGCGCTGCGTGGTGTCTTCCCTGACTCTTGGAAAGAAACGAGGATGGTACTGCTGTTCAAGAAGGGCGATCCAGAGCTCCTCAAGAACTGGCGACCTCTCTCGATGATCAATAGCGATGCTAAGCTGTTCACCAAGATGTTAGCCAACCGGTTCAAACGTGTCCTCTCCCGATTGATTACGCCGTACCAAACAGGCTTTATGCCTCACCGGCTCATCTCGGACAATGCGTGGTTGAACCAGACGCTGATGACCAACCTCCGTGATGCAGCTCCTCAGGATCCCAATGTCGCCGTACTCTTGGATCAAGAGAAAGCCTATGATCGGGTCAATCCGACTTATCTGGCGATGGTTCTTCGTCAGTTTGGCTTCCCGGCATCGTTGGTATCCAGTGTGTCAAGTCTGTTCTTTGGTACTCGTATCTCCTTGTCAATCAATGGGTGGTTGGGCGCCCCCATCGATCAACAACGTGGTTTACGACAGGGTGATCCGTTGTCCCCTTTGCTGTTCAACCTGGCTTTCGAGCCGTTCCTTAGAACCATCTTGGCCTGCCCTTCTCTTCAAGGCGTCTCAATGTCTACCGCTGTCCGTGCTCCTCTCGCAGGGCGTATCTCTCGTGCCTCCTCTCTCGTGCCGGTCCAAGGCGACCATGATCTCCTACGCGCTCCGGCGACCCCTCCACGGGTGAAGCTGTTGAGCTATGCCGATGATCTGGAAGTCTTCCTGACTTCTACGGCGGAATGGCCTGTGCTGCTGTCTCTTTTGTCGCTCTATGGCAAAGCGTCCAACGCCAAGGTCAATTTGGAGAAAACCGTGCTGTTGTCGCTGTCAGGCGAGGCTCATGCTGATTGGAAGCGAGTGACGGAAACGTCTAACATTGAGTGGTACGACAGCTCGTCAGTTGGCTCTGTGAGGTATCTAGGTTACCCTCTGTATCATACAGAGGAGCAGTTGCAGCATTTCCTGAATTCCGTTACCGTGAAGATTCAACGTCATTGCAATCTGCTCACCAAGCGGCAGCTATCCATTCGTGGAAAGGGTTTAGTGGCGAATTCCCTTCTGCTGTCTCGCTTGTGGCATCTCCTGCGTGTGGTTGTGGTTCCTGACAAGTGGCTGGAGGAGATACAGCGCGTGGTACGCCAGTACATCGTCTCGTTTTGGCCTACTGTGGCTTGGGATTCTCTCTGCCTTCCTAGGAAGCATGGAGGTATTGGTCTGGTTGACATCAAGAAGCAACATCTCGCCTTGCATCTCATATATGTCAAGCGTCTGCTTCGTCCCAGATCCCCAGCGGATTTCCTCACTCCCTGGCTGATGTATACATTCCATGTATACTCAGGTCATGCTACTGTGCTGCCTTTGCTGCTATACCCACGTACCTGCTGGCCGCGTGTGCGGAAATGCCCTCACTTGGAGCATCTGGCTCGTCTACTCACTCGTTTGCCTCCCTTGACTCTCACTCCTGAGTGGCCGTCTTGGTGGCTCCTAGATCTGCCCTGGTTACAAGTATGCTCCCTGTCTCCCACAGCGACTTTGCCTTTGACTAGGAACAGTGACAAACTGCCACCTCATGCCTTGATTGCCAGCCTCTTGAGCGTGCTCCCCGACTCCCACATCTTGGTTTGCGTGCGCCCCCGTGATACTGCTGCATTGCAACATCTGTTCAATGCCTTGTGCCCCATCGAGGGTCCTCCTGTTTGGGTTGTCCCTGCTCCTCTCAGGTCCGTCATGGCCTTCACCGCTCCAGAGCGAACCGCACTGCTGGAGAGTTCCACTACCCCCTCTCCACCCACGGCTAGCTTTTCGCATTGGTTCATCACCACTGGCCCTCGCTCAAAAGCTACAGTGGACAAGATCACTCTCGGGGCGTTACGCCGTTCCTGGCATCCGTCATTTGACATGTTGCGTCGCCCAGCCCATCCTCCTGGCTATCGCCCACCACATCTCCTGCTTCCTCCTCACCTCTGGCGTGATTTCTGGTCTCTCTGTCTCCCGCCCAAGGCATTTACACCGTGGTGGCGTTTGCTGCATGGACATCTCTCGGTGCAGGTTCGCCTGCACTCCATGAACCGTGTGAAGTATCCTTCCCCACTGTGTAAGATGTGTCATGAAGCAACTGAAGATGAATACCATATGGTCATTGGCTGCAGTATGAAGTCCCTCTTCTGGTATGAGTTTGTCTCTCACCTTGGTCTTGCTGATCTGTTCCCTACGGACGAGGCCATCTGGATTGGGTTGACCACCCTTCACGGCCAGGACAACAATCCTCTGGACATTTCCATCTTGGAACTTCTCGGCGCTGCCTTCTCATCTATCTGGCAACATCATTGGGGCTGCACAATTGATGGTAAATCTTGGATCACTCGGGCTGTTTTCTCCTCTTTTCTGGAAGATCATTCCAAGTTAATTTCTTCTTTCTTAGACATGTAAGACCCTTATGGCACCTTACTGTCTATAATATAAATAAAAAACACATTTAAATACAAAAAAAAAATTTTGGGTTAAGATATACCATAGTAAAAGTCTTCGTTTTTGGTGTCAAAAACGCGATCGTTTGATTTTTGATGAAAACCATGAGGTATCCCTCATGCTCTTTGGTCGATCTTTGGCCATGTTTTTTTTTGGTTCTCAAAAAGTTGAGCAAAAGTGTCAGAAAGTTACTGCTACTCGAGTATAATTGTTTGGTGTCATTCCAGCGGCTCAGAAAGGCCTACATGTCAAGATATCAAGACTCGAAAGCTGTTGACTTTGGCCATATTTCATACCTTTGCTTGCCAATAGGCGCGTTTTTGATATGACGCAAAGCCGTAAAGACATGGTATGCATTAATCTAGATTCAGGGCATACTGTTACATCCAAATATTCATCTGGAAATAGTAGGTAGAGTGGCATTGTGACGTGACTGAGAATGATACAGCTTATTAGTAAGGTGATGGCGGTTGTAAGGCACGCTAGATATTTTAGACGCAATGCATAGTCTGCATCTAGTATATATATGTGTGTGTGTGCATGTTTATAGCCTTCACTTTGACAGATATTGATAATTTCCGTCATTATTCCTCTCACTACATTGATCATAAAAACTACGCCATTTAATTCTAATAGCACTTGTTTCAATCATGTATTCACATATATCAAACAGTAAGTATTGTCTCAAAGTTTAAGGGCCTACACATAGCAATACCAACTTCCATTCCTGGTACATCTGTCTTCACGCCACTACAAGACCATTGCGCACTTTACACTCATGCAATGTCAATCACGCGCAAATCTCTGGTCTGTTCCTGCAAACCATTGCAACCCACACACCTCTTTAACCCAACTCAAATATTACCATATATCCTGATTCAGAGAAAACAGTTTATTGTGTTGAATCTAACGAGAAATTTATTCCTCATCGTCCTCGGCCTCCTCATCGTTGGCGATGTTGAAGTAACGGAGCTCGAAGGTTTGCTTGTCAGTAGCAATAACACGGAGCCAATCACGGATTTGGTTCTTCTTCAAGAACTTCTTGGTGAGATACTTGAGGTAACGCTTGGAGAAAGCAATGTTGGCAACAACGGTGATCTTGTTGTCAGCAGAGCGAGAGATAGTGACAGCCTCACCGAGGTTGTTGGTACGACCATCAACCTTGATACGGTCATGAAGGTACTTTTCCTATACATACAACATGGCGTCAATCTTCTGTGCAATTTCAAAGGATGGAATGTATACGTACGAAAGCAGCAGCATCGATAATCTTGTCGTTAGCGGGACCGGAACAGTCGATAACGAACTTGGACTTCTTGACAGCAGAGGTGTTAGCCTTGACGGGAGCCATTTTAAATATATAAATGAAGAGAAGGAATCAAACGGTTTGATTACTTTCCACCAAAATAAAAACCCACTTGTCCACAGAAAAAATTTTTGGTGGCTTTGTGAGCAGTGGACTGACTGCTGTCAATCAGGGAAAATGCAACATCTCCCGGAAAATAGGTTAACATGTGTGATCTGCGTCTGAACCCAATCGTTAGAGGGGTTTAGCTAAACCCAAAATCCATGATTCATTGGACAAGACATTATATAAGACATATGCTTCTGTTGTTTTGTTGTGTTTACCCTTTTCTCTCGTTGTTTGTATCACAGAATTACAATGAAATTGCCTTATATTGTACTTTCTTTGGGTGCATCTGCCCTGTTTCTATGGCAATGCTCTCAAATGTTGAATCAAGACAGTAAGACTTTAATGCATAACATGCTTAATGATTGGAGCGCATTTGATAATCAAGTTAATCAAGCTCTAGTTCATGACAAAAAATACGGCTACTTCCTTCAAATTACGGATACGCATGTAAGCAACTTTTGCCCTTGAAACATACATATACTGACATGTACATGTTGGCAGTTGGATGATCATTACACTGAAGGTGCCACGCTCAAATCAGGCTGCCACTCTATACCCGAAAAGCACTTGCATTCCAAGCGCAAGCAGCTCTGCCATGTCATGGGTGTTCCCGGTGTACGCATGGATGCACCCAGTATTCTCATTGAGCATACCCTCGACTGGATCAAAAGAGAATGGAGAGACAAGCTTGATTTCGTTATTTGGACCGGTGACAATTCCAGACATGATTGGGATGAAGCTCATCCTCGCAAAGAGACCAAGGTGCTTGAATTGAACCGTCAAGTAACTCAAATGATGTCTGATCTGTTCTGCTCCAGCCCTGAACACCCTCGTGCTATTCCTGTTGTCCCTGTCATTGGCAACAACGACGTCCAGCCTCACAACAACATTGAACTCAATGACGATGTCTTGTATTTTTTTGAAAAGCTTTGGGATCATTGGATTCCCAAAAAGCAACGCAAAGATTTCTTGGAAGGCGGTTATTTTGCTGTTGATGTTGCACCAGGACTACGGGTATTATCTATCAACACCATGTTCTTTCTCAAGAAAAACCCGCTAGCTAAATCCTGCTCCAAGAAGTCTTCGTCTGGACATCACCATATGAAATGGTATAAGAATCAACTACGTAAGGCTCGTCGTGACAACGTCAAGATCTATGTTATTGGCCATGTACCTCCTTCTCCAAGGGATTTTTTCAAGAGCTGTATGACAGATTACATGAGCATTACTGCAAATTATTCAGATGTCGTCTATGGTCACTTTTATGGTCACCTTAATATGGATCATTTCCTTTTGTACGATAAGCGCGAACAAGAGATCCACAACTCCGAGGACCTTCAACTCCCTTACTTAGAGGACTCTGTTGAGGAGCAGCATGACACAGTTAGCATTCAGCGTAACGTTAGAGAATACGTCGATTGGTTAAAGGGCATGTACGAAGAAATTGATGAATTCGAAAACAAGCATCCAGATAGACATGATTCATTCCATCATCAAACGCCCATCATGCACAAGAAACCAAAAAACTTTGATCCAGAGCCCGTGGTGGTTGTTCACATTGCTCCATCTGTATTCCCCGTCTATATGCCCTCTGTCAGAATCTACCGCTATGAATACAGAAACTCTCCTCAACAAGGTGCTACACACACGTACGGTACTCTGCTTGGTTATTCTCAATACGTTGCCAACATCTCTCGATACAACGAAGAAGATGGCCACAAAGAGCCTAAACCACCATTAAATTTTGACCTGGAGTATGATACAAAAACATTGTATGGTCTCCCTGATCTCTCTATCGATGCTTATATAGAATTTGCTGATGCACTTACCCAAAACGACACAGAAAGCAAGCAGCTGTGGAACACTTTTTGCAAAAACATCTTTCTCCAGACTCTCAATAGCACCTTTGACAGTCTTTAGACTTACCATCATTTCTGCATTTCTTATCAATAAACCTTTTATCCATAGAGCTTTTACTGCTTCTCTTCTGCTGTGCTAATGATAATCATCATCTAGACTAGGCACTTGCAAGGAACGAGAAAATCAAATGGGAAAATGTATGACTTGACACTTGAGATTTGAGGATCTGAATCTGATACAATAAATAGCATAACTCGTACTGATATCACATTTAGCGATTATCAAGCAGAATGGGAAGATCAATATCCTTCTTAGAATGAAGCCAACATATCAGATCAATGCATTGTTTTTCAACTTCAATCAAAGATCAGATCCACCTCATCCAGAGTGAAATGTTTGCATGGCTTTTGGTTTTCCATTGAAATACATTTTAGGTTTTGAGAGGTGATTACATGCATTTGAGCGAATGGATAGAGTTACATAGCCTACCGAATAGAGACTCTATCTATGGCCTCTTTCTTTATATAATGTTTGAAGACCATCTTTTGCATCCTTCCTCCAGTGTAGTAGACATCTCGAATTTTATGTCAAATCTTTGCTCGGATTGAGCTTTGTGCTAGATAAAAGACCCACAAATAAATACATTAATAAGCCCAGGCAGCCTTTGATTCTAATGAAAAATTCCATGTGTCCATCATTCTAGGCAATCATTTGATAGAAACGGCTTCAAATACATGATGCGGCTGCCAAATGTCAATACAATCTGTCATGTATTCAAAAGAAAGATGTGACTGCAGCAGCCATCAATTTTTTCCTTGTTGAACCAAAACCGGGAAAGCAGTAAAATAATAGATTTCTTTATTCCACACCAACAACACTTTTTCTTCATCAAAAAGATGAGTAAGCGAAACAACAACAAGAGCCACCATGGTAACGGCGGCAATTTCAAGAACCAAAACAGAAACAACGTACACAAGCATCACAAATATCAAGGTGGTCACAACAACCAGAGACCCGCACAACATAAGCAACAGCCAGGCAAAAAGGTCGAAAAGGTCAACACAAGCATCAAGGCACCCTTGTTTGACAAATCCAAGCTGCTCTCCTCCTGGAAAATCAATCGCAGAGTTGGCCCTGGTTATGTCAATGGCCAGAATACGTGCTTTTTGAATTCAGTGCTGGAATGTCTGACTTACACTCCACCATTGGCACAACAAATGTTGAGAGAGGAACATCAAAAGCAGTGTCGTATGGATGGATTTTGTGCTCTCTGTGCCATGGAGTTGCATGTGAGGCGCTGTTTGAAGGATGAAAAGAGCTTCTCCAAGGGTGCTGCTATTCTTCCTAGATACTTTACATCCAATTTGCGAGGTAATTAGCTGTGGCACATGTTGGATCCCGCACTTGTGTTTGATTAACGCCTTGTCAACAGCCCTTTCAAAAACATTGCGCTTGGGTCGACAAGAAGATGCACATGAGTTTTATATGTTTATGCTATCCGCATTTCAGAAGGCTTCCATCCAAGGATTAGGGTATGTATTGTATATAGCTAAGCCACTGAACTCAGCTCACAATGACTGAAAAAATTGACGCTTTTGTTTTGTACCTAGTAAATTACCACCCAAAGTAGAGGAAACAGCTCTTGTGTATCAGATCTTTGGTGGCAAGCTTCGATCACAACTCAAGTGTTACAGCTGTAAAGCAACATCCGACAACTACGAAGCCTGTCTTGATTTGAGTGTGGATCTTACCAACAAGGCGGATTCCCTGAAGAAAGCATTTGAGAATTTCATCAAGGTGGATGTGATTGGCAGCGACGATCCCAACAACCGATACAAATGCGACCACTGCAAACAAATGGTCAAGGCAGGAAAGCAAATGACGATCAATGAGCTCCCCATGATGCTTACTATTCATTTGAAGCGTTTTGCCTTTGACATGTACCGTGGCTGTATGAGCAAGATTACAACGTTTGTGGATTACCCAGAGACACTGGATATGGCACCTTATACCAGTCAGGACAAGAAGATAAAAAAGGCCGAGTACAATCTGTATGCTGTGCTAGTGCATTATGGTTATAGCTGTGATTCGGGCCACTATTATGCCTATGTCAAAGCACCCAATGGACAATGGAATCGAATGGATGATGAAGATGTGACACCTGTGTCTCTCAAAGAAGTGCTATCGCAAACTGCCTATATGCTGTTCTATCAACAATCTTCCATCACAACCACCGCCGATATTGCTATACCAGCTGCTGCTCCACCCTCCATCTCTACCACCAAATTACCCGAGCAACTATTACCCCTGGCGGTGTCCGAACCTATCCCCAAAAAGGTGTTGGTAGATATCACAGCAAAGAAACCATCCACACCCGAGAGAAGAGTCAAATTTGTTGATCAATCTGCCGCCATCTCAGATAACCCTCGTGCTTGGACAGTGAGTTCAACAGATAGACCTCGTAGATCACTTCGCGGTAACCTGTCGCCCGAAACCTACTCTGCCAACGTGGGTGACATTAGCGCATGGAGCATTCTTACAAAAGAACAGCTTCGAAAGAAACAGCAGGAAAAGAAAAGACGTCGTTTCCGCATCAAATTGGAGTCAAAAAAGAACCCTTGGGTTGTTGGCAATCCTTATTAATCCGCACACACTAGAGTTGATATTTATACTATGCTCCCTCCTTTTTTCCCGCTGAATTTTGTACATATTTGAATACGCCATGGGGAGGGAATAAACATCATGTCCAATGCTACCAGCAAGAAAGAAGGATCTATATAAGTACATGTTTATTGAGAGTGGTAGCTGTAATTTGCTGCATAGATGGGACGGCTTTCTTCATCATCGCCTTCCTGTTTAAGTGGTATCGGGGAAGGCGCCAAACTATACGCTGTGACACTGATGATCACTAGAGCATAAGCAATGGGGTAAAATGGAGGCATGTGTGCATTCAGGAACAGCAATCCAACAACCAGAGAATAAAAGTTGCTTGTAATCAGACTCATGCTGAGAAATGTGGCACCCATCATCCTGTACACAGTCGGCACAAGAGAGTACATGCAAAATAGACACAATACATAGGTGGCCACTAACGATACTAGATGGCAAAAATGGTCAATGTCTGTGCTCTCTCTCCCTCTTTACTTACACTACTTACGCACTGACCATGACCACTGGATTTCAATCACCCGATCAAATTCAAAATAGTACCTGAATGAGTTGACATGTTAAAAAAATCACTGCAACAAAGGGATTTCGCCCTAATCGAATACATTACGCTTGTAATCCACACAAAATGCTGCCCCAAAACCCTGCCTTTCCCAGAAATTCTGTTGCTGTATGCTGTTTCACTAAATGTTCCTCTGTTACATTACTGATCGCATACAAGGTTGCACTAGTTAACTGTAATTTAAACAATTAAATTCCATATTTAATGCAAACCAAAGATTTCAAACTTACACAGATAATATCTCCAATCCAGCTGTGGTTTCCTACATGAAATGACCATTCAGCCCACCAAATCCAATTGAATAGAAGTATTGACTTACTCGTCGCTTCATCATCATCGATTGTATCGCCCCATATCAGTAATGCGAGTCCAACAAGACACACAAGCGCACTTTGCACATGACGTTTACTATAGGCTGCATTAAGAAAGTAGGTGGAAAGTAACATGATGCATGGGATGGACCACGATGAGAGCACGAGCGCTGACAATACAGATGTATTTTTGAATGCCAATACAGCCAGTACGTTGCCTAGAGTTGAGCATATAGGAATTAGTTTGGCATGAGGGTTGCTATTGGCTTTCAGTGTGTACCTAGAACATCCGCAAATGAAAAGCCAAAGACTAGATATCGCATCATCATTAGACATCACAAACAAACAACTGTAAACAAATGCCACTCACATTGCCATGGTAACCTGCTGTTGGACGGTGCTGGTGTTGAGGTAAGGCTTGTCCTTGAAAAAGTGGTATATATGATGGCTAACAAGATATAATTGAATAGATTCTGCGTAAAGGGTATACTAATGGCATGATGTCTCCATAAAGCTGAAGAAGCAGAGCTTGTGCCAGTGATACAAAGAGACAATAGCTGACCTAAACCCACTGCTACCACAGTATGACGTTTAGGCATAATTTTGAATGAAAACGAAAGAGAGAAAGAAGAGAGTGAAATAGACACCATAAAAATTTTAATATCCAATTAAATTTAATTATATGAGTATACAAACTAGCTATTTGGATAGTAGGAATTTGTGAATAAATGGTTGGATTCGAGACACTTTGCCTAACGCAACAAATTGACCAGCACTTGGTTTGAAGTAGAGGTAAGTATCGCCACCCAAATGTCTTTTGAGAATGCTGTTGTCTTTTCGCTGTATCCCGTTGATGGCATCGTCAAAATCTTTGGGCGAGCCAAAATCTTGGCCATTGATAATCACACGATCTGGTTTGTTCTTTATGTAGATGGATCCACTCGTATCCCCTAGTAACGTGGCCGGTTTGAATGTGATGGGCTTTGTATCGAACAAAGGCTGGTTAGAGTCTCGTCTTCCTTTGTGCAATTTGCCTCTTTTACTTCTGCCGCCGCTTCTGCTGCTACTGCTGCTGCTGCTGCTGTTGTTATTGTTGTTGCGATTGCTTGATGCGATCATTGGTGGGCCTGCTGTAGTTACTGAAGGTGGGCCTGCTGTGGCCACAATGGGTGGTTTCAATGATGCTACTGTTGGCGGCCTTGGTGATGTTACTGTAGGTGGCTTTAATGCTGTGGTTATGTCTGGTATCTTGTTTGTATGAGGTTTATGTTGTAGATGTTGGTTCCATGGCATGTCTCTATCTGTATCTTGACGATTCTTATTGACATTGAATCTCTGGTTATCGCGATGCATGTTTTTTTGCAATTGTTGGGCGGTTTGATGTGCAGTGCTCAATGCCCCCCTTTGCTGCTCGTTTACCGTTCTTCCCCTCTCCAGTTGCTTCTGCTTGTCTTTGCTATTGGGTCTAGGACTTTGCTCTTTATTGTTCCTTGCTGGACTGGACCTTCTGTCTGCTTTTGCCGCTTCCACTGGGGCAGGTAATGGAGGGGGAGGAGTCTCCTCTCTGATTGCATTCAAGTCTTCCTTTTGTAAATTTTGTAATCTTTTCAATTGAGTATCATGAAGTTTCCTCAATCGTACGAATCCTTTCTTGTACTTTTTCTATGCGAAACGATCAATATCTGTGCACCATATGACCCATCTGTGCTCACCTTGATGATGGATGAATATATCATCTTTTGATTGTGTACCGCTTCATTCTCACCATCACCACCTCCATTACCACCACTACCACCAATATTCTGTGGCATGTCATTCAAGGAATCTTCCTCATCCTCACTCGTATTCATTTCGTCGTCTGATGGCAATGACGGCGGCGGTGGTGCTAATGGCTTTTCCTCAGGTACGACTGAATTCGTCAACTCACTCATTTCTGTATCTTTCTCTGCTGTGTTGTTCATCAAAGGGATCATGGACAGCAGTTCCATAATCTGATCATTGCGCTCAATCAAGAAATCAGGGCCGCTCATCAGCTCGCACGCTGTCTCTGTTTGTGTAATAAAGAGATCTTCCTTGTTCTTGTTTGCGAAATCCTTTTGGTAGTCATCTAGCTCTGCTACCTGTTGAATCAAGAGTCGTTCTCGCTGTTTTGCATGGTGTATCTTTAGTAGCGCTTTCAGTCGCTGAGAATTTGTCTTTCCAAATGGTGTATCGGGAGGAAGGTAGAGTTCTTGATTACTAAAAGTTATAGAAAAGGTCAATGAGCATCCAATTTTTTAGGCCGATCCATGAATTGATATTCACTTTAGATCTGTCTCTTGCAAAACATAGAAAAGATCGTTCATACTCATGGCGATTTTTGACTTATGTAATAAAGAAGTACATACTATTGAATTTCGAGGAGAATTTTGTAAAGGCAGGCGAGTCACAATCGGCCATTTCCCTAATCACAAAACTTGCATGAACAACACTATTTGAACAGGATTGGAAGGACCAGCACGCGTGGCCAGACGCTTTGGTATCAACAAACATCATGGCTATTGGAAATTATATACAGATCTGTTGTTTTACAAACAGAGATATGGTAAGTTATCAGTGCAATTGCTCATCTTGGCCATAGATCATGGTTTTTGATCCTCCGTCAAATGTAAATCTCCTCATGAAGATGTTGGCGATGTTATACGTTGGGGTCTATCAATTAAATACCTGTGAGATATGTCTTTAACCAAAATCGAGAGGTAAATAGTAGTAATTTATTTCAGGGACACCAATCTGCTATCGTGCACTGAGTCAAAGTGATCCATATCTAGTGAGAGCACGCGCGGTGTTGATTGCAAATCAAAAGGTTGAGACCAGGCAATGCTCAGCATCCGTAAGAATGAACGTTGCAGAAAGATCCTGATACTGCTATTCAAATCAATTGATCATAATATCAATAGCTACGCCCGAGGTCTGCATGAGAAGTAATAGAGAGTGTGTATTTACAGAAACTATTTGATCCCAGTATGTTGCATCTACAGTGACAATGACCGTAGTGGATCAACATGCACAATGTCAATGGGCCTCTGGAAGACGTTGTTATACAAAGCGGGCTTTTTGACCAGGAGCGCATGTTTAACCATTCATGATTTGGTATCAAAGGTCATTCAATCAGCAATCGTAGCCTACCGCAAGTAATCTAGAGTATGCTATCTAGAAATCGTTTTTGTAGATGTGATGGCCTATTTTCCGGTATTGCCTATACTAATTCGAGAGCAGTAAACATTGGATTTATGTATTACAATCAAGAATCTCCATGTGCATCCGCAAGGCAAATAAAACAAAGGAGCCTGAGAAAATTTGTAGACTCTCGGGGTACACAATGCTTGAATGTCAAATCATAAGAATTTACTCACTGCCGTATTTGTAGAAATAAACCTATTGATCCCTGTTTGTGTAAGGATTAAGGTTGCTACTCTAAAAAATGCGCAATATGACTCCATCTTGCTCAATAAAAATTTGCAGAATCCGTTGTCATTTCCCCACGCTTCTTTTTTCTCGACTCAACATTTACAAACATGGAGGAGGCACCGGCAAACACCACAGAAAGCTCACCTACCGTCTTATCCATCAATGAGAAGGAATCCCTCAGAGACAGATTGCAGAGATCAAGACTAATGTCATGCATTGCAGGCGCTGTGGTCTTGTTTGCATCGTTTGGCATTCGACAGACCATCGGTGTGTTTCTTGTGCCTGTAACATCAGACACTGGTTGGGATAGATCCACATTCTCGTTAGCTGCTGGCGTCTTTCAGCTCTTTTGGGGATTCTCACAGCCGTTTCTGGTGTATTTTGCTGAGCGAAAGTTTGGATTTGGCAAGTCCATCTTTGCTTCCTGTGTGCTCTATGCTGTGGGGTTGCTGATCGTGTATGCATCGCCAGTGTCGTCTGGTTTATTCATATTTGCTTATGGCATTGTTACAGGCTTCGCATCAGGTGGAAATTCGTTCCCTATTGTGTTGGCATCTATCGGTCAACGATTCGCACAGAAATCCAAAGAGCAAGCCATTGCATTTGGTCTGGTCTCTAGTTTTGGCAGCCTAGGTCAAGTTGTGTTCCTGCCAGTAGCTAGAGTAATGGTGGTTACCATCGGCTGGAGACTCTCGTTCATTGTGTTTGGTGAGTAGACGTGCTTCTGTTGGGTGGCTCTATGACTTACCGTACATGTTCAATTAGGTATTTTCATGGGTGCAATTGCGCCTTTGGCATACTTTTTAAAAACAATCACACCTCTATCTCCAGCCCCTTCCAAATCAACAATTGCATACGATTCTGAGAAACATGGCATTGATGAAACATTCACAGAAAAAGGACAAGAGCAACATTTAGAATCACAAAAGCATACCGACTTCGATGATACTACCCTGCAACAAAAGGAACCTGTAGACATTAAATCCGCACTGAAAGAGGCATTGACTTCCCCCACATTCTTGATGATCACGTTGGGTTTCTCAGTGTGCGGTTTTCACGTTACATTTCTTGCAACACATTTCCCAGCATATCTGGTAAATAGAATATCCATTTCACTGCCATCAGCATATCTTTAACTGCTCTATCTTGATGTTTATAGCAAGACCAAGGCGTCGATCCTTCTATAGCTGGTAAGTCAAGTCAATCAGATAATATGAAGTACAACACATCTAACATTGCAATTGCATTGAATACGTAGCTTGGACCATATCCATCCTGGGTGCTGGTTCCATGATCGGATCCATAGGCGCTGGCTACATCACTGGCTTCATCAGTCCACGCATCACGCTCACTCTTGTATATCTGCTTCGGGCCATTCTCATTGCCATTTTTGTATTCCTTCCGACAACAGAGACAACAGCAATCATATTCTCATGTCTTTTTGGGGTAAACTGTTTATAATTAGATCAGTTGTGTGATTTTTTTTTACTAATAATAATAATAATGCAATAGTTCCTATGGCTGTCGACAGTGCCTGTTACCACTAAATTTATTGGTGATGTCTTTGGGCATAAGTTCTTGGGTACCTTGACATCTGTTAGCTTTTGTGGGCATCAAGTGGCCGCATTCCTTGCGAGCTTTATAGGAGGCAAGGTTGTAGACATCCAAAAGAGCTATACTTCCATGTGGTATGCCTCACTGGCATTGGCATTGCTAGCTGTGGTAGCCAATTTTTTTGCAGAAGGCATCCCTGGATTTAGAAGAAAGAGCATTTTCTAGACAAAGCGATAAAACAATAGGCTCAATAGATCAATAAACTTGATGCTTTTTTAAATACGACAATAATTTGTAGTAGCTGATTGTTTAGAAGTCTTACTTTCTTAGTAGGCGACATGCATAAGCATGCGGTTAAATACTACAGTAAAAAGGGGTTAAAAAAGTAAGTAGAATACTGTTAAAACTCTTCTTTATTTGAAATTAGGATAATGTGCAATAAAATGTATATTCTACGTCTCTATTTATATTATTTGGTTTATATCTCTTATCTGGCAGCAGTTTAGTAGTTGTCATTGATTCCATTATTTTATATATTTTTGTTGGGTCATTTAGCTGTTGATCTGACGGATCAAGAACGGTATCTCAATATATGGTTTTTGAGTCATGCGTAAAGAGTAGCTCTTTATTGTTGAGCCTGTATCCCTTTTAGGTATATTTATGTTACAACACATTACAATACCCTTGAAATTTACTTTAGTATCTGTCATCTCTTAGTTTTAGAGCATTTAGCCCTTGCTATCATCATGCTAATACTATTATTATGCATGCTTATCTGCTAATAATGGTAGCATGGTTTAATCGAGATGACATTTATTTTGGGCTTTGTTTATGATGGGAATCTAGTCTAGTTCACTTTAACTACTACGACTTCAAAACGGGAATTGATGGATTTATAGTAGAGCTATCGTCAAAGGGAACGAGAAACATGATATGTGATTGATGTTATGTCAACAATATTCGCAGTAGTAAGATGTCAAAGCTGTATTTTTTAATTTAAAACAACATTCTTCTCTCATATGCACATTAGAATGCTCTTCTCTTATCATCGACCTTGAATAAATTACTCCAGTTCTCTACTCATATTTCAGAATCATGATGATTTACAAATCGCTATATAAAATAGAGGCTTTATGCTTTTTATTTTGCTAATACATTCAGTTGGCAACCAATTGATTTTTATTAATATAGTCTATCTCGGCTTCAATCCTCCAGCCAATCAGATTGTTTGAAAACTCCGCTGACCTAAAAAAAATTTTGCGAGGGTTTCCCCCTGTTTTGATGTGAGGCAAAATTTTAAGCTCCGCTATATATAGCAATATAGCTGTTGCTATCATCAAATTTCCCTCAGGTGCTAGAGCATGCCTTACTTACACCACCTAGCTTTAGATTCTGGCGTTGAGACTCTCAATCATCACTAAAGTAAGTAGCGATAACCAAGTGGAGGCAGCCTATCTACTTCCTAGCCTCGGATAGAGTCTTGTTGAGCTTCAGTGATAGGCACATCCACCACAACGTAAAAAAGGTATGCTTCAAAGAAACATAAAAATAATAAAAGAAAGAAGAAAAGAACATATTGCTATAGGAATATAATAGTACGTAGGCAAAAAAAAGGGATACTCACACAAAGTGAGTCAAAGAAAAGCATATCACAAATATAACATCAAAGATGTTCAAAACAGCTCGTTGTTGTTGCAACAGAATTGCATACATGAGCAATGTGCTGCATGGTAATAGTCGAATGTAAAGTAACGCAAACACGCACAACTGCAAAAGCAACAGTGGTATAAGTTTGCACTACAACATAATGACTAATGTTGTCCCATGTGAAGCCACAGAGGCAACAAAACCCGCAAAAGAAGAAGAAACCGCAACAAAACAAACATCATGAATGCATTATCATGAGAAAGGAAGCAATAATACAAACGTTCAAAGAAGTTTTATATCATTGCGACCAGAAGAACGAAGATACTTACTACCACCAGAGATAGATCAGATAATGAGCATGCACCAAAGGCAGTAGATCAGGAAAGACCAGTTTAGCAGAAGCCGCAGCAGCAACACCAGTACCATAAAAATCAAAGAACAAACGCCACCAGAAGAGACCAGACAAAGACCAAGCAAGTTCATTATAGCTTACCACCACAACAGGTAGGCGAGATAACACGCAATCACTAAATATAGGCCAGATAACGAGCATGCACCAAAGACAGTAGACCATGGAAAACCAGATTAACAGCAGCGGCAGCAGCAGCAGCAGCGGCAGCAGCAGCAACACCAGCACCGTAGAAAAACCAAGAAACGAACGACACCAGAGACCAGAAAAAAATCAAAGAAGTAACCGTCAGACATGGTAAACCAAAGAAGCAGACAGTAGAGATAGGATAGAAGTAATGGCAGCAGCACCCACTTCAAACAGGCAAAAAAAAAATTATCAAAGCTTAATAGACAAACTCAATTAATGTAAAATTCTACACCTTCCAATGCTCGTTATCAAATGGCACTTACTATATTCCACTTCAAAGAAGCAGTAACAAGTACTTATAACAGTACATGACCGTGTTATCAGAAGCTAAAGTGTTATTTTCAATCAAGAGGTTTCCAAAACCAACATGGTTTTGATACTAGACGCGTTTTGCAAAAAGGGTAAAAAAAAGCGGGGGAATGGAAAAAATGAAGGGGCACCCTACCCGACGTCACGGCCAGCAGATTTGGTCTCAGCCTTCTGCCGTGGCAGCCACAGCTGTAGCACTTTAATTTGAAATTTTGCAGTAGGTATTTTCGTGTTCAAATTTGACTTGATTTCACATTCTTTAAACGTTTTTGCTAAATTTGACTATGAAAACTGTCGTTGTTATACTTTACTTTCTAATGCACATATAAAGAGTCAATGAACGCGCATTGAATGATGCTGGTTACATTCAGCTTTCAGACCGAAAATAATGAGTAATTTTGAAAATATGAAAACCGGTTTTCTGCGAATATGTCAAAATTTAACATATGAAAATCTCATAAAAAAAAGCTTCCGGTGCTGCATTCTATTCTTACGGTCAATTTGGTCTGATATGTATCATAGAAAAAATTTTCATTTTTGGGGTGAAAAACGCGATCGTTTGATTTTCGAGAATTTTCCTTTGCTAATACTCATAAAAAAACAAGGATATTTGTGGGTTTGCAATAACCCAAAAATTTTGAGATAAGGCATCAGTTAGTAAGGCGTACCAAGGGAGAGCCATTTGGCGTTATTCCTAGCGCTCAGAACGCTTTGTGGCATGAGTTATTCGTGCTTGAAAAGGACTACTGTAGGGGGGAAAAACTGTCCCGTTCGTTCAAATAATCTTGACATTTACTCAGTATATTGCCAAAGCTCAGAAAAAAATCCCTTCCATACTGCGTTCGACAGAACAGCTAACAGGAATTACAGCAACATAAAAAACTTATGGTTGGACTATATATTTAATCCCAGTATAACCAACCAAAGTGAGAAGTGTCAAAAATGTTAGGTGGGTAATTCTAGATGATATAAAATAGTTGATATCTTTACTTCCAATAAACGTATCGAAGAGATCTAAAAAACTACCTGCGGTATGCTCAGAATATTTAATACCCGAGGAGCATTTTAAAAATATAAAAGAAGCTAGTTTTTTCTTTATTCTTTGCTTTCTTATTTTTTTCAGAACTTTCATTATGCCTGCTCGTTTAACACAAGATTTACGCAACACTCTCCAATCTTTGCTCCAACGTGGTCTTTCGTTCTTAAAGATAGAATATATGTATCCAGGAGTCGGTAACTGTACTCTCACAAGGCTCAGAAAACTCTATTGCCCTGACTTTGTTATATCAAATGTCATAGCAAGGTCTCACACTAAAGGTTTTAGGCTATTCTTAGGTCCTTTGGGTAAATCATGATTATCATGATTTACAAATCAATTGTTGGGTAGATAGTAAACCTATTTGTATTATAGTTCATCATCATGCTGTAAACCCTAGCATAATGAAAAGTATATAAATGCATCCTTGGGATGCATTCTCAATAAAAGTGTAATTTGGCAGATTCAATTTTACATTGTATTTTGACATAACAGACTTAGCTATACCTGTTGGCGGAAGACCGAAAAAAATTGGTGCTAAAACTATATCCCTAGTGTCAAGAGGACTTCAATCAGGTAATTTAGATAGTCCCGGAGCAGCGCAGGAAAGTTTAAGATTGATGGGTCAAGATATGTCAATTAGTGGCATCCGCAAGTCATTGAGAAGAAATGGTCTTAAATCTCGAAGAAACGCAAAGATCAATTTTGTTAGCAGGACAAACAAGCGGCTTCGATTGGCGTGGGCTAAAAAGCATAGGCATCTTACTATTGCTGTTTGGCGTTGTTCAGTGTTTCCGGATGAAACAAAAGTAAACATTTGGGGCTTAGATGGTAATTCGTTTTACTGGACGAATGGTGGCCGAATCATGCAGCCGTATCAAGTCAAGTCTCAGATGCAGGGAAATAACAATAGAGTCATGTTCTGGAGTTGCATAACAGCGGAGGGACTAGGTTATGGTACTACCATTATCGAAGGCTCAATAAACTCGGGCTTGTATGTCGATATTCTGAAGACATCATTGGACGACACTCTTGAGCACTTTGGGAAGACACTTTCTGATGTGCGATTTCAACAAGACAAAGCAACACCACATATCTCGAACATTACTAAGCGATGGTTCACCGACAATGGTTCAACCTAGACAAAAATATGAATTGTCCAACCCAAAGTGCCGATCTTAGTCCCATTGAACATGTATGGCATCTCCTAAAGCTTCGTTTTGGTAAGTGTTCCACTAGACCCTCTACAAAAGAAGAACTAAAGCGGCGTATTAACATAGAATGGCACAAAATAACAAAAAAAGAGTGCCAAAAATATATTGATAGTATGCCTGCCCAAATCAAGGCTGTCATCAAGAGCAAAGGTGGTTCAACTCACTATTAATGATTTTATAATAAAATGTACATTCTTTTATATTTATTTTTTAAACAATAAAATCATTCGATTTTAGTTTTTGAAAAATTCATGATTATGTATAGATAGCACTACTTTCTCTCATTCAAGCGATATATATCTCGACTTTGTATCCAAAGAAATGACTAAAAACTAATGCAGAAAGACAAAATTTTAAACGAACGAGGCAGTTTTTCCCCTAAAATAGTTTGCACAGAATTTGGCCTAAGAATAAGGCATAGTAGTTTGTTTTGTGAAGTAAGTAAGTAGATTACAGCTCTGTCTAATGTCTCTGAAGTTCCGCATTGTACGAAAGCTAATTTCTAAAGAATAGGCGCAGTTATTGTACTTTGAAGATACAAACCTTTGTTGGACGTTTTGGCGTAGGAATACATTTGATGGAAAACAAAACTAGAGAGGATACAGATTTGTGAAATTGAGCTTGTGGTGCCTATTATTGCCGTGCGACGGCCAACGAAATAATAGATGTAGAAGAAGAATGGGGGAACATCAAGGAAGGATATTTAATTACATAGTTATATGACTGCTTGGAAGAAATGTATGTTACAAGCATGGTTTATAAACAGATGTGCAGTGAAATCGGGTTTAAGGGATTTTATAAAAAAAAATAAAGCAATGATTTATCAGAAATAAATTATTTATAAAAGAGTATGAAATTAATCAGGTAAAGAATATCGTTTATTACATTGAAAATACGAGGGTTTATATACTATTTGAATTGAGGAATTTGATGCGAGGATAAGGTATTAGATAGGTTGATTTGGGTGATAGGATAATAAATCCAATCCATTATCCTGAACATGCCATGATATGGATCGTAACTGAATCCTGTTTCATGTCAAAGTCTATGATCTGATGTGACCGGTGCTTGAACTGCTTGTTTCTACGCATTTGGAGATCCGGTTTAGAAATGATACATCAGTACACATGCGAAGGCTAAACGGAGATTGAATCTTTATTGTTCTGGATGATGGTCCATGAGCTTTCTAAATCTATCGACCTAAAACTATTTGATTCTTGAAAGTAAACACCCCTTCAAACTTATATGAAACTTGTAGAGAATTCAAAGCAAAATACAATGGTATTTATATCAAGTGTCTGGTGTACATTGTTCACCAAATATTTGGTACAATTGTTTTTGCGATTTTTTGACTGCTTTCTAAAGATTAATTACTATCTGTCATCAAAACATATTGTTAAGCATTACTAATCATTGTAGACCAGAACATATCCTACCGAATGAGCTATTGCTTGAAGCTCTGGCATAACTCTATCATGAAATATTGACAATATTGTCCTGACCAAAAAAAGGTCACCAGATTTTTTGCTTGCTATCACAGGCAGATTTTGAAGCAAAATCAATGATTTTGCATGCTAGCATTTTTTGAACATACCTCGACAAATACTAACCGGATTCGCACAAAACAAAGACCATTCAATAGCTCTACATTAGATCCATCATAATGTAAGGGTTTCAAGTACCAGATGTACGTTTTCTTTATAAATTTGCTGAAAAATATAAATTTTATGAGCTACAAGCTGATATATTCAACACGGTGCTAGATAACTAAAGTCATACAAATGAATGTATCAGTAAATTATCAGTTTATCATTCTGTGCAAAATTAAGACGATCCTTTATTAAATGAATTGTGTGGTCCCATTTATATCTTTGTGAATAATGTCAAATCCTGAGGTGTAAAGACAAGTGTGATGATCCAGTAGATTTTTGTAAATGATATGTGTAGATAATCTACAGTTAAGTGTAATTGTAACCGTTCTTGTATGTCATTGAATTAAATGGTATTGTTTCAGTAATAGTCATCCTACTAGTTGACTATTTGTTGGGTCTTGATGTGCGTGTAGACTGTAGTTTGATGTGCGTTTAGTAGTGTATGTAAAAACCGATGGGATGTTGATGGGTTGTATTAGGTGTAATATAATGGATTATGGTGTGAATTGCATCAAATGAAAATAAGAAACCAAATTTACTGCTTTATTATGGCTTTTCACGTCTGCTTCCTTAGGGTTATTATACCTGTTTAAGGTCAAGGTTAGCAAATGTTGCCTTGACACCACAAATCACTTAATCCACAGCTAAGTATAGCAGGTATAACATCATTAAAATTAGATGCAGTGTGTTCTTGGGACAAGGGCTTGCAGTCTCTAATTTGCTACTACGACGCTTTTATGTTCAAGGCTTCCAGTATTTATTACTTGCACATTCATCTCGCTACGCTCGATGTCGGCGTCGCCCTGCGGGCTCTCATCGAAGCCGTTTTAAATCAGACATTATAACATTTTGGTATATCAAGTAGATTTTAAACAATTTATTGTTAGTTAGTAACAGAAAGGTTGTATCAGAGCCAGGAGAAGGAGAGGAGGTATCTCCGTTAGTATCCTTTTTGCTTACGTTGATATTAAACAAAGCCTATTATTGGGACAATGCGAAAGAAATTCAAATTTTATGCAGTATTTGTATATCACAAATGCCATTTTTTGATAATAGAACTGTCATATCATTCACTGCTGCTGATGCTCTTAATAAGATGGCGACATAAAGCTGGTCATAAGTAAATAAAGGACTTGTGTAAGATCTACAACGACTTTTTTGAGATGTTGACATTGCAATAGGCTCGCTTGTAACAAAAGCACCCAAAAAAGTGTTTGGGTTAAGCAATTACCCTTTCAATTCCATGATCCCCATTTTATCAACATCGCAATCATCATTATCATCAACAGAAAAGCATTTAGGTCAGCCATCAGCAATGCCGCCGCCAAAATTAATTCAACCTCAGCTTATTTTTTTCTGCTCAAGATTGGACAGATTTCGCCTTTTTTCGACTTCTTTAATCTATCTTTTGGTATTCGACTATATGAACTGTGATAATCACCCTACGCTTCCTAATACATTCTTGAGGTACTTTTCAAGGCGCTTCCGATGGTGCTAACTGTAATAAGTGTTTTGATTGAAACTATTGAGCAATTCAATAAAATCTGAAATGAGGTTTTTAGCAAAAATAGCCATATTTTGTATATGAAAGCCTCATAACAGTGGTTTCAGAGGTTGCTATGGATCGAGAGAAACATTTTGATTTGATATATGCCATAGTAAAAGTCTTTATTTTCAAGGCGGAAAATGCGATCCTTTGATTTTCGTAAAAAACCATGAGGGGTACCTCATGCTTTTTGGTTGATTTTTGGCCATATTTTTTAGGTTTTCAAAAAGTTGAGCAAAGGTGTCAGAAAGTTACTACTACTCAAGTGCAATTGTTTAGCGTTATTCCGGTGGCTCAGAAATGTCTACATGTCAAGATATGAAGGCTTGGAAACTGTCCAATTTGGTTATGTTTATGCTTTATAGCTTTTATTTACACAGCATGAACCACATCTTTAGTAGCTAAAGCCGTCTGGAAGGGCAGTTCTGCAACCTGTGCAGCTTGTAATTTCAACAGGAGACATATTGATTTTGTAAGACTAATTCATACGAATTTTGATGCCCTATGTTGCTGGTAAGCTTATTATTAACAATGCAAATGAGAACCCGAATTTGCTGCTTGAACACTATGGTTGTACACCTTTGCTTGGCTACGGTAAAATCGATTAGGACTAATATTAACAGGTGTTGAATTAGATGCAATATCACTACACTTGACGACGGTGTCACCCTGCGGGCTGTCGCCGTAGACATTCCAAATCATTAACAGTAATAAACACAGCTATAAATGTAGGTTTTAAACAATCCATTATTAATAAAGAAGGAGAGAAATCGAATTTACTACTAAGATACTACGATTTTGCATATTCGCTTCGCAACAATCAAGCCCTCGTATAGATCAATACTATGAAAGGCTGGACTGGATTATATGTGATTACAACACGTAGAAAGACATGGCTTACAAATTTACTGAGTTTATTAGAGATGCATGCATTGAATACCCCAAAGAGTAGCACACATTATTATGTTGCCTTTGTTGCAGAAGCGGGCCCATACTGTTTAATTTCATTAATAGGATGCTATCTGTTGCACGGCATGAGATAGTAAAAAGATAACATACATGAAAAATTGTCTTTTAATACTATACGATACAATGTTTGCCACAATATTCATTAGATACTGTTTCTCAATCGCTTGATGACCGTGTGAAATATACAAAATAATCCAATCAGACTGCAGATAATAATCTTCATAAACTGCTACTGTAGTGGAATTAGGTTCTCGAAACTTTGTGGTACTATATTCGCTTTTACTATGCCATCGCGTTGTTGAACAGTTCGTAATATATGAATGTTATTTTGAATGTGTACTAGAGCTGATTCGTTTAAAAGTTACTGGCAGATAAATGTAAGATTATCAAAAAGTTTCCGCATAGAATGTTACAAAGTGTTTTTTTATTTAATGGTGTTGTGAGTATAAGTAACAGATTTAGATAAATGTATATGTCTCAGCAGTATAAGTGAGAAAAAAAAATAACCTTTATTATTTTTGATATTCATATTAACTATAAAAGTTACTAACAAAGTCTGTGTGCACCTGTGTCGTGTGTATAGGTATAGTTTTAGAGTAGACTTAGATAAATGTATATAAAAGAATAGAATTGAGATATAAGATGATCTTTATTGTTTTGCAAACTAAGTTGATATTTATACTAAATTAAAAAAAGTTACACACAAAGTCTGTGTGTACCTGACACCTGCCAATGAAAAAAAAAGGGGGGGAGCTTGCTTC